CATTTTAAAACATTTTAATGTAGAGTAGCATTTCTTTCTTTAAAGGGCCATCCTCCTAAGAATACACTGTCCCCCAAGACTGGTCCTCAAGGGAGATCCTGGGAAGGTGCAAGAGTAGAAAGCCCCAGGAATCCGTCTTCCCTAGACAACAACTGCACTGGCAGAATCTGTCTGACATAACTATTTTAGAACTCTGGAGTCTCCCGAAGGCTTGGAACTTCCAGGTGTGGTATTCAAAATATTTAATGATCAGCATGAGATGGGCACTGATCAAACAGATACCCAACTAATCAGAACAGCCTTCAGCCCTGATGTCACCCCAGGGCAAACCAGCTAAATGTCCGGACGCTTTGATCATGGAACATGGTAAAAAATGAGCTGACTCATGGCACAGAACTCTTGAGTTTTTTTTGTTTTTTTTTTTTAAATATATTTTATTGATTTTGTACAGAGAAGAAGGGAGAGAGAGATAGAGAGCTAGAAACATTGATGAGAGAGAGTCATCAATCAGCTGCCTCTTGCACACCCCCTACTGGGGATATGCCCGCAACCAAGGTACATGCCCTTGACCGGAATCGAACCCGGGTCCCTTCAGTCCCCAAGCCGACGCTCTATCCATTGAGCCAAACCGGTCTCGGCGAACTCTTGAGTTTTAAATTACTTATTCTGATACTTGATATCATCCAAAATCACTTCTTATGATGCATTTTCTGTGCCTACAGGTATCCCAGATCTACTTCTATGAAAAACTTGGCTGGTTCTTTCTCTAGGTAATAACATGCTAGTAAGATTCCCAATTTTTATAGAAGCCTAATGTTTGCCATTTATATATATTGGGTCTAGTAATAATTAATGTCGTTTTTAAACCTTCGTTTAAAATCTTGCTTGGCGTTGACTTGTATTGACATAACCTTCAAACACGTGGTATCTACAGAACGTGTGAAGTGCAATTAACAAGTTTTGCTTGAAAAAGTTTGTGTTTGGTTTGGTTTTTGTTGCAAAACTAGGGCTAAGAAGATGGCGGATGAAGAGTATATTTGGCACTGCATGCTTTACGAGTTCCAATTAGGAAGAAAAGCAAGTGAGGCTGCAAAAAACATCTGTAGTGCTCTTGGTCAAGATGCAGTTAGCGCCAGAAAATGCCAGCGTTGGTTTGAGAAATTTCGCGAGGGAAATTTTTCGTTAGATGACAAGAGTGGTCGAGGCCGTGTGTCCAACTTTGATCAAGAAGCTCTTCAAGCACTTTTGGTGCAAAATCCTCAAATTACCCAACAAGAGCTTGCGACAACTTTCAATTGTTCACAAAAAACAATTTCCAATCAATTGCGTGCACTTGGCAAAGTCCAAAAGTTTGGAAAATGGGTTCCTCATGAGTTGACCGACAACAACCGTAATCAAAGAGTCACAATTTGCAGTTCGCTCCTCTCTCGTCAAAACCGTTTGCTGTTTTTAGAGCAAATTGTTACCAGAGATGAAAAATGGGTGCTGTATGTTAATTTGAAAAGGCGGCCTCAATGGTTGGACAAAAATGAGGCTCCAGCCCACACCAAAACCTGACTTGCATGCAAAAAAAGTGATGTTGTGTGTTTGGTGGAATTTTAAAGGAATTCTTCATTATGAACTTTTACCATCTAACCAAACCATTCCAAGTGCAGTGTATAGTGCCCAATTGGAAAGGTTAGCCCAAGCTTTAAGAGAAAAAGAACCCGCGCTGATTAATCGGAAGGGCGTAATTCTTCACCACGATAACGCACGACCGCATACTGCAAGAATCACTGCTGAAAAACTGCGCCAGTTGGAATGGGAAGTACTCCCTCAACCTGCATATTCTCCTGATATTGCCCCTTCCGATTACCATTTGTTTCGTTCTTTGCAAAACTTTCTTCTTGGAAAAAAATTTAATAATGAAGAATGCCTCAAAAATGCATTGACCGATTTTTTTGCATCAAAATCACAAGAATTTTACAACAGAGGGATTAAAATGCTTCCTGAGCGTTGGGCACAAGTAGTAGAAAACAACGGCAACTATATTGTTGATTAAATTTTGTTGTATTGTTTAAATAAATTCGATTTAAAAAAGTATTAGAAAACGACATTAAGTATTACTAGACCTAATATACCAAAGTATGGGGCATTAAATCAATAGTACAAAATCAATACTCTGTTTTCCAGTGAATACAACATGGAAATCACATCTTGCTTTTCTTGTTAAAAGTCAGGTTTGTGGCATTTGATATTTGGGAAGTCAGACAAATAGGATACAATCACACTGCTATCAAATTAGATTATCAGAATGGAGCACATCTGCACATTAGCTTATGTCCTTAGACAGAAATGCCTAAACATTCCTATATAAAGTTATATTTGTGGATTTTATCAAGATTCAATATAAGAGACAGAAGTTCTCCCAGCATAGACACAGCTGATCCTCACAGCCAATTGGCCTGGAGGTCAATTCCTCCCAGTGATACCAACAACAATCAAGACTTAACTACAGCCGGGACTGGTTTGGCTCAATGGATAGAGTGTCGGCTTGGGGACTGAGAGGTCCCGGGTTCGATTCCAGTCAAGGGCATGTACCTTGGCTGCGGGCAGATCCCCAATAGGGGGTGTGCAAGAGGCAGCTGATCGATGACTCTCTCTCATCGATGTTTCTAATTCTCTATTTCTCTCCCTTCCTCTCTGTACAAAATCAATAAAATATATTAAAAAAAAAAAAAAAAGACTTAACTACAACAAGGCTGTACACACCCCACAAAGGGGTGCGTACTGGGGAGTAACTGGGGAGGCTGGGTCACTGTTCCCTATAGGACACCTACTACACAAAGCTACCCCACCAACTCAGGGAAGCAGTGAAAATAGGGAGACAAAGAAACAGATCACAAGCAAAAGAAATGGAGGGGAAAAAATGACTAGATATAGAGTTCAAAACCACGATTATGCCAAAACCGGTTTGGCTTAGTGGATAGAGCATCGGCCTGTGGACTGAAGGGTCCCAGGTTCAATTCCGGTCAAGGGCATGTACATTGGTTGCTGGCACATCCCCAGTAGGGGGTGTGCAGGAGGCAGCTGGTCAATGTTTCTCTCTCATTGATGTTTCTAGCTTTCTATCCCTTTCCCTTCCTCTCTGAAAAAAAAATCAATAAAATATAATAAATAAATAAACAAATAAATAAAACAAAACCACGATTATAAGTTTTTTCAAGAATTTCCTAGAAAAAGCTGATAAATTTAACAAGACCCTCAAGGAAATGAAAAAGGACCAACTAGAAATTAAACATACACTACTGAAATAAAAAATATTATACAGAGACCCAATAGCAGAATAGGAATGCAAGAATCAAGTCAAAGATTTGAAATACAAAGAAACAAAAAACACTCAACTGGGAAAGCTAAAAAAAAAAAAAAAAAAAGAATCCAAAAATTCGAAGATAGTGTAAAAAGCCTCTGGGACAACTTTAAGCATACCAACATCAGAATTATGGAGATATCAGAAGAAGAGAGAGAGCAAGATACTGAAAACCTACTTGAAGAAATAATGACTGAAACTTCCCCCACCTGGCGGAAGAAAAAGATTTACAAGTCCAGGAAACGCACAGAACCCCAAACAAAAGGAATGCAAAGAGGACCACACCAAGACACAACATAATTAAAATGCCAAGAGCAAAAGACAAAGAGAGCCCTAACTGGTTTGGCTCAGTGGATAGAGCATTGACCTGCAGACTGAAGGGTATTAGGTTCAATTCCAGTCAAGGGCATGTACCTTGGTTGTGGGCACATTCCCAGTATGGGGTGTGCAGGAGGCAGCTGATCTATATTTCTCTCTAATCAATGTTTCTAATTCTCTATCCCTCTCCCTTCCTCTCTGTAAAAAAATAAATAAAATATATATATTTTTAAAAAGACAGAGAGAGAATATTAAAAGCAGCAAGAGAAAAACACTTAAGTTACCTACAAGGGAGCACCCATACAATTGTCAGCTGACTTCTAAACAAAAACTATGCAGGCCAGACAGGAAATGGCAAGAAATATTCAAAGTGATGAATAAATAGCAAGAACCTATAATCAAGATTACTCTACCCAGCAAAGCTATCATTCAGAATTGAAGGTCAAATAAAGAGCTTCACAGATAAGAAAAAGCTAAAGGAATTCATCACCACCAAACCAGTATTATAAGAAATGCTGAAAGGTATTCTTTAAGAAGAGGAAGAAGAAGAAAAAGGTAAAGATAAAAATTATAAACAACAAATACATATCTATTAACAAGTGAATCTAAAAATAAAGTGAATAAAAAAATCTGACAAATAGAATTAACTGGTGAATATAATAGAATCAGGAGCATAGAAAGGGAGTGGACTGACAATTCTCAGGGGGAAAGGGGTGTGAGGGGTGCGGAAAGAGACTGGACAAAAAGGGTACACCTATGGATGAGGACAGTGGGGAGAAGGTAAGGGCAGAGAGTGGGGTGGGAACCAGGTGAAGGGGAGCTATGGGGGGAAGGGGAGAAAGAACAATTGTAATAATCTGAACAATAAAGATTTATTAAATTGTTAAAAAAAAAAAAAAAAAAAGATTAGCCCTAACTGGTGGCTCAGTGGATAGAGTATCAGCCTGCAGACTGAAGGGTCCCAGGTTTGATTCCAGGTCAAGGGCATGTATAATACCTTAGTTTCAGGCACATCCCCAATAGGGGGCGTGCAGGAGGCAGCTGATCGATGTTTCTCTCTAATCAATGTTTCTAACTCTCTATCCCTCTCCCTTTCTCTCTGTAAAGAAATCAATAAATATATTTTTTTAAAAGATTCAATATAAAAAGTAACCACATGGACAAAAAAGCAACAATGTGAATGTTTCAAAAATCAAATCATAACAAAAGAAACATGATTTATTTCTGAGATCTTCATATTCCAGATTTATTTGTTAGTTATTTCAAAATCAGTTTGCCCAACCAACATACACAAAATGTTGGAGAAGCTCCCTCAGCTGGTTAAACTACAGAACTACCAAAAAACATGTTCCATTACATTGACTGCATCATCCTCTTCAGAAATTTCTGTGACTCCAGCCTGAGATCGAAGAGTGGAAATGATTTCATCACATAATCTGTCAAAGCCATTCTGTGAGCATATACTTGCCATTTCTTGCCAATTTTCTAGAGAGCAAAATGGATCATTTCCGATAAGATTTTCTATTGCATCTGGGGGAAAAAATATAATAATAAGTATGGCACTTGTTCTCACTTGATAATCCACATTTTGCAACTGTTCAAAAATAGAAAGGGATATTATTTAACTCAGTTACTATGATTCCTGTGCCTGGGTCCTATAAGTTTAATGTGGAGTCTTTAGTCCTGCTCACTGTAATACCTTCTTCTCTTTTTCCATTAATCTTTTCAGGCCTCAATTCAACCCTCCAGCATTTCTCACATTCCCCACTCCTCCACTCACCCCCTTCTTGGTAAAGTAGCAGGTACTGAAGGCTACAAGAAAGGGAGCTCAGAGAGTGAAGAATGTGGGCTCAGCATTGTGCAGAGTCTGTAAGGTACCACAAGAAACTATCAAATAACTGGAAGTTACGTGTCTACTTTACATGACCCTTCAAACACTTTTACAAATTCCCCTAGTAGTGCTCACCCAAGGCTGAAGAAACCCTTTGGCAAACCCTCCATCCTATTTCTAGATAGGGACTTCTTAGTGATAGGGCCTCTAGAACATTTTTCTACAGAAAATAATATTATTTCCTTTAAAAAATGCCCTATAAAATGAATCAGCCCTTCCAAAATCGGTTTGGCGTGGTGAATAGAGCATCAGCCTCTGGACTGAAGGATCCCAGGTTTGATTCCGGTCAAGGGCATGTATCTTGGCTGCAGGCACATCCCCAGTAGGAGGTGTGCAGGAGGCAGCTGATCAATGTTTCTCTCTCATCAATGTTTCTGACTGTATCCTTCTCCCTTCCTCTCTGTAAAAACTCAATAAAATATATGTTTTTTTAAATTACTAAATATACACATATACTAATATAAAGTTTTATAGGGTTAGTGACTATAATTATTACTAGAGGCTCGGTACACGGATTCGTGCACTAGTAAGGTCCCTTGGCCTGGCTTGTGCACTCTCAAAATCCGGGACCCCTGGGGGGATATTGGAGAGCCAGTTTTGGCTTGATCCCCATAGGCCAGGCCGAGAGACCCCACTGGTGCACGAATCTGTGCACCGGGCCTTGAGTATACATATAAGATCTTTGGTGAATCTCCTCCCACCCGCCCTCGTCCCCCCTTCCCTTTGTGATTCATCAGTCTGTTCCATGTTTCGATCCTTGTGGTTTCCGTTCCCGCATTGTCTGCTCCCTGGTCGGCCGGTCAGCTAGGCTTTTACATATATAGATGGTGTTCCCCTGAAGCTTCATAAAGATTCCCTCTTCATTCTAATTTCTTCAAAATATATACACTGCTGCTAACAAACTCTCATTGACATGGTGATCTCCACATTTATAAACTAAAGTTAACTGTTGTCAAGAAGGAACTATTAGAAGATTGAATAACTCAAAAATAATAATCTTGAACCTTCCCTAAATAAGCCACTACTATTTCTTCTATAACATTTTACTCTACTTACCTTTCCCACTTCTATTTAGTTCATGAAGTAGTTTAATGCCAACTTTTTTCATATCAACAGAGAACAGATAAAGTATAGTGAGACCAAAAGATAAAAGTGGTGGTTTTCCTTTCCATTCTTTAGTGAGACACTGAATTAATCCATAGTGGGGACATAACTTTATTAGCTGCATCAGGTCATCTGAAAACAAAAATGAAAGACAAAACATTTATTATTTATTTATTTATAATCTCATCCAAGGATTCCACTGATTTTTACAGAGAGTGGAAGAGAGAGGGAAAGACAGAGAGAAATATCAATGTAATAAGAGACACACTGATTGGTTGCCTTCTGCATGCACCCTGACCAGGGCCAGCTAGGGAGGGGCCTGCAACCAAGGAACATGTCCTTGACGAGAATTGAATCTGGGGACCCTTGATTCAATTCTCGTCAAGGACATGTTCATCACTGCCAAACCAGAATTATATGAATTGCTAAAGGGGGTTATTTAGGAAGAGGAAGAAGATAAAGATAAAAATTATGAACAACAGATACGTAACTATCAACAAGTGAATCTAAAAAACCAAGGGAATTAAAAAATCTGATGAACAATATTAACTGGTGAATATAATAGAATCAGAGGTATGGAAGGGGAGTGGACCGACGATTCTCATGGAAAAGGAGAGTGGGGGTGCAGGAAGAGACTGAACATAAACTGTGCACCTATGGATGAGGACAATGGGGGATGGGGAAAGGACAGAGGATGGGGTGGGAACCTGGTGGAGGGGAGCAATTGAGGGAGTGGAGAGAGGAACACATTTGGAATAATCTGAACAATAAAGATTTATTTTAAAAAATTTTCATACAAAAATATTTTAAAAAATAAAGCTACAATCATGATTTATATTCTTAAAATATATACTTTGTGTTAACTTCCTAAATTAAAAATTTTTTTTATTTATTCAGGGAGGGAGGGAGAAGAGAAGAGAGGAACATCAATGATGAAAGAGAATTATTGATCGTCTGCCTCCTGCATGCCCCCTACTGGGGATCCAGCCTGCAATTTGGGCACGTGCCCTTGACCCAGGACCTTTCAGTCCACATGCTGATGCTCTACCCACTGAGCCAAATCAGCTAGGGCAACTTCCTAATTTTTTTAAAGTAAAAATATTCTTGGATCACAATACAGGTAACTTTCAGAATAATTTCTAATAGATTTTGAAGAACTATCATAAACACAATCTGCATTCCCAAAGACAATAAAAAAGTAGCCTAGTGTTGATTAAATACATACTTACTGTATTGGGAACTTATGTGTATTAAATCGCTGCATTTAATTTGTAGTATAAGTGAGGTATTGTTATTCTCACATTACAAGCAAAGAAGCAGGCTTAAAGAAGTTAATTTTCCTAGGTTATACATATGGTATAAAGTAGAACAATTCATCTGATCCCCAGAGTCTAGGACCTTCTAATCAAAAGTGCTGGTCCTCCAAAACAATAACTACATGTGTGTGTGCACTGCATGTATGCAGATATACACATACATGCACACAAACACAGAGAAGTTGTAAAAGAGGAAACAAAGAAAAACAGAATATAATTCTATGTCAGTGCAGTTAGGTAATTTTTAGAAATTCCCTAGGGATAAAGGATAAATTTATGACTTAGGTCATTCAAACTATCCTCTAGTAAGGTGAAGCTATTTCTATAGCACCCCCTCTCTCCCCAGCCCCAACATTTTCTAACTCACCCATCTTCTTTTCATTCAATCAGGTATTCGAATCCCCTTCTCCATGAATTAATTAATCGATATTTACTCAATTATGTGCAAGATATGGTCTCTGACTAATCAGAAAGGACACACATTCAAATCCTATGACCTTTCCCCACTGTTTTATGACACTTCAAAATTCATTTCCTTATCCCTTGGTTTGATGTATTATTAATCATAATTTATCTTATGTTCTGTTTTAAGAAAATCCTAAGATATGGTATTTGTTTAACTCATAAATATCTAGAACAGTGGTTCTTAAAATATCGTCTCGGGTCTATAAAGTCAAAACTACTTCCATGAAAATGGGAACTTGTTACTTGCCTCTTTGCTTGTCATTCTCTCACAAGGACACAGGGGTGCTTTCCAGAGGCTACAACATGTGACATTACAACAAACTGAATATGGGAGCAAATATGGAAAGCCATATACCGTCTATTAAACCAGCCATTACAGAAATTTGCAAAACTATAAAATGTCACTCTTTCCATGAAACTATTTGATGTTGGAAAGTCACTTTTCATAAAAAATATTTATGATAACGTAAAGATTTATTTAAAATGAATAAATTAATATTTTAATTTTTATTAAATTTTAATTTGTTTAAATGAATAAATTAAAATTTAATAATTTCTCTTAGGATAAATATCAATAGATAGTATCAACATAACTAAAAGCTCTTTGCAATCATCAGTGCTTTTTAAAAGTGTAGAGGAGGCCTGAGCCCAGAAAGCTTGAGAGCCTCACCTCACATCTAGAATAAGCTAGTTTCCAGAAAAGTACGTTTATTTAATGATAATGAAGAAGGTGAACACACAAATCATTTTAGGCTTTATTCTAGGAATTATTAGGAAAGGAAAAAATGATTCTTTACTACTAAAACAGATACTCTATTAGCTTTATGTTTTGGAGACAAAAGACTTTTCTGGTTTTATTTTTACTGTGTTTTTTTAATTTGTAAATGTAAAGCTGATAACCTAAATCTGAGCAAGAATATTTTTCTATGAAACCAAACTATAACTGTTCCCCAAGGCCTTGAAAAGATGATACCTTTGAAAGCTATAGTTGTTTCTCATTAAAAAGTAAAATGAACAAGTAATTTTCAAACAATGTTTCTATCTTTTAAGTTTAATTTTTCTCAGGTTATTATTTTCATCTTATGATGTTATACTAAATAAATTCTGCAGGTAAATATCAAGGTTCTAATTATTTAGGAGTGTTATTACTTAATTATTATATTTAATTATTTTAGAGTGTAATATACTTCTAGAGGAACAGAATAATCATGTTCAAAGAGTAATTAAAACCTATAGTCCATGCCTGAATCACGGCTAAAATAATTCTCACCTATGGCAAAATAATAACACAAAACCTAAATCTGTATACTTAGATAATAATAAAATGTATCATTGGAAAGTGTATATAAAATGAATATTGAGTAGTTCCTACTATGCCAGATTCTGTTCTATTATTGTGAGTATATAGGCAAATTACTTACCTTTCTGTCCTTAGCCTCTCTGGACACATAGGTGTGTTTTTTTCCATCTATAAAATTGGGATCATCCTAAAACCTACTTCATAGAGCTAACATAAGGATAAGATGAGATAATTCGTATAAAAAGCTGAACTATTATCTATTTTACAGTAATAGTATCAGGCATGCTGTTATGTAGTAAATGAAGAAATTAATAACTTTATAAAAGAGATTCTAAGTAAAAGTCCGTTTATTGTTTAAAAATTATCAGATTCAACAGCCATAAAATATCCTTTTCCTGGGAAAATGTGACCTAAAAGTGCTACATTTTATTTTGTTTTGCAACGGGGGTACACAGCCTGCACACTGGGATTGCCACTGCCTGGGCTGTGGGGAGCTTTCAGGACTGCCAGTACATTACATCACTGCTGAGCCAGATTCATTATAACAGATCAGATCGTTCGACTAGGGTCACCCTAAAAGGTCCATAGTTCTCTCAGATCACGGCCCAGATGCAACCTAGATGTTTCAAATTTTGAAATGAATTTTATTTCACCAATTTTTCATTTCTAATGCTTATATCATAATTGAGAACATTATATATAATAAATAAGGTCAGTTTTTTAATCCTTTAAGTAATATGGTATAATATATCTTAAAATGTATCTTTAAAACTGTATATTTCAGGACCATCCAGTTTATTAAATGTTTAAGTATAGAGAAAACATGTAATATCTTTGAAGGTCAAACATGAAAGTCAAACAGCTTAAGCTTAACTGCTTTACTGAAAATTACAAAAGAAATCTAGTACTTATCACTATATGCAAGATGGACTTTATTTTTTTATTTTTTAAATATATTTTATTGATTTCAGAGAGGAAGGGAAAGAAAGAGAGAGTTAGAAACATCAATGATGAGAGGAAATCATTGATTGGCTGCCTTCTGCATGCCCCCCACTGGGGGTGGGAGCCTGCAACCCGGACATGTGCCCTGAACGGAATCGAACCTGGGACCCTTGAGTCCGCAAGCCAATGCTCTGTCCACTTAGCCAAACCGGCCAGGGCAAAATGGATTTTATAATGTAAAGCCAAAATATTGCTTACTAACACGGGCGATCTTACAATTAAAGTCTAGAATTCAAATATATATAAATAAGTAGGCTTTATTACTTACCATAAGTATAGTCCTTGAGTTGTTGTATGTATTCCATAGCCTCAAGCAGCTGATCCTGTTTACACAGGCAGAGAATAATTTTGTTGAACAGCTTACATTCACTGTAGATGATCAGAGCTAAAGCCAGGCACTTGGCCTTGTTATAAGTATCCTGATCTCCATAATCACAAATCATATCCCCAGCCTCCTCAGAAAATGTGAGCCTAGAGCAAGGAGATCAAATGTGAGCCTAGAGCAAGAACATTACTAAGTTCTTAATGAGAGGATAAAAATGAAGTCTTGGGTCCTAGCTGTTTTGGCTCAGTGGATAGAGTGTTAGCCTGCGGACTGAAGGGTCCTAGGCTCAATTCTGGCTTGGGTTGTGAGCTCAATCTCCAGTGAGAGGCATGCAGGAGGCAGCCGATCAACGATTCTCTCTCATCATTGATGTTTCTATCTCTCTATTCCTCTCCCTTCCTTTCTAAAATCAATATATATATATATATATATATATATATATATATATATATATATATATTTAAAATGAAGTCTTGGAAAATTCATCACAGCAGAACTGGAATTTCTATGGTCTGTAAGAATTCCAAATTAGTAGGCAATTAAATGTTGGAGAAATTTTGTACGGTGGGGCAGGGCGGAGCTATCCTCCATTTTGTATAACTGGACCCTAGCCCTCACCCAACCAATCAGGGTCAGCTAAAGCAGTGACATCACTACCCGTATAAAACCTCTTGACTTGTTGAAGTTTTGTCTCTCGTCCATCATGCTGCCTGCGTGAGTGGGACAGAGCCCAGGCTAGTTTGGAATTCAGGCTTTCTACAATTGCATCGGATTCACCTCCCTGGTGGTCCTTGGGGATCATGAAATCTGGGCACAGCACCAGGAAGCAGAATTTCAATGTATTTGGATAATGCTCCAAAGGAAATAAACAAATGTCGGAGAAATTAAATACATCTAAAATTTAACAGCAAGGAGAACAAAAACAATTAACATATATTCCTATGGAGAAAGACACTTTGGCAAAACTGAACTCAAGTTATTTTTTTTAAAATATATTTTATTGATTTTTTACAGAGAGGAAGGGAGAGGGATAGAGAATTAGAAACATCGATGAAAGAGAATCATCAATCAGCTGCCTCCTGCACACCCCCCACTGGGGATGTGCCCACAACCAAGGTACATGCCCTTGACCGGAATTGAACCTGGGTCCCTTCAGTCTGCAGGCCGACGCTCTATTCACTGAGCCAAACCGATTTCGGCTGAACTCAAGTTATTAAAAAACAGATATACAATGTTAAGACTCTCTTAAAAAGACTGGATGGATTTCAAAATATAAAGTCAATAAAAATTCTGGCCACCCTCCTCCGCCTTTCCTCTGAGATCTCACACTCTGTCCCATGCTTCCATGTCTCTTGATCCTCTCTGTTCATCAGTTTATTTTGTTAATTAGATTCCATACAAGAGTGTGATCATGTGATACTTGTCTTTCTCTGACTGACTTATTTCATTTAGCATGATATTCTCCAGATCCCTCGAAGATGTCTCAAAGAAAACTTAAATTTTTTAGAATGAACTTCTTTATTAACCAAATATCAAAATTAAGTTCAATTTTGCTTACTTTTCTTGAGTGATCCAGTGGATAACTAAATCTAAACGTTTTTCCGAAAGTCCACATTTGATTCCTTCCAGGGTTAGTTCTGCATCAATAGGACGTCTATTAGCATGACTTGTGGTAAAGATAGCCTCAAAAAATGATAGTAATGGAAAAGGCTTTCCTTTAATTTTTCCAGCAGCTACAGAGAAAAACAGAGTTTTTAAGTCAAATACTTTAATAGTTTTCTTTGTCTTATTTATATTATTTTCATCTCTTTGCATTTTTTAAAAATTTGAATCTAAAATTACATATTTATAATTTTTGTTTGTTTTTGTTGTTAATCCTCATCCAAGGACATTTTTCCATTGATTTTCAGAGAGAGTGAAAGGGAGGGGGAGAGACAGAGAGAGAAACATCAATGTGAGAGGGACACCATCGATTGCCTGCCTCCCCCATGCACCCTGACCAGGGCTAGGGATTGAACCTGCAACTGAGGTATGTGCCATTGACCAGGATTAAACCCAGAACCCTTCAGCCTGCAGGCCAACACTATCCACTGAGCCTAACTGGGTAGGGCCATATTTGTAATTTTTTAACTAATGCTTATGGATAAAACATTCTGTTTTGGATAATGACTAAACATTATATGCTATATAAAAACCAAAGCAGAGATTGGAGTGATTATAAGCCAAGGAATACCAAACATTGTTGTCAGCCACCTGGAAACTAGGAGAGAAGCATGAAATGTAATCTCTCAGAGCCACCAAAAGGAACTTTAAAAAGCTAAAGGGGGATACCATCTGGTGGTATCTTTAGGAAATGATAAAGATAGTCTTTCAGACAGAAAGAAAATGATACCAGGTAGGAATACAAATCTACAAAAGGAATGAAGACCAAAATGTTATATGCTCTGAATATAAGAATTTAGAAATATATTATTTTTATATAATATATTAAGGGGTATGTCACCTGACAGTAGCATGTGATAAATATCCTACCTAATAAAAGAGTAGTATGCAAATTAACCATCACTCTGCTCCACAAGCCACGCTCACCAGCCAATCAGAGCAAGTATGCAAATAAACCCAACCAAGATGGCTATAGTCATTGAGAGCAGGAGGGAGGCGTTTCCCCAGCAACGGAGGAAGCCAAGCTTTCCACCTGCCCTTGCCGGCCTAAGCCTCCACTCAAGGCTACAAAGTTTCAATTAAAGAAGGTAAACAAATCCAAACAGAAATGGCTGCCGCCACTGAGCAAATAGACTTATTTCCTCTCCAGACTACAAAGTTTCAATTGTAGAAAGTAAATATATCCCAGATACCAGGGCCTCTGCTTGGGTCACTGGGGGGCATGGCTGGCCTGCAAACCACCACAGGCCCCTTGCTCAGGCTGCCCTATGCCCTAAGGAAACCCCCACCCTGATCCCGGACACCCTTCAGGGCAAACCAGCTGGCCCCCACCCATGCACCAGGCCTCTACCCTATCTAATAAAAGAGCAATATGCAGATTGACCATCACTCCAACACACAATATGGCTGCCCCCATATGGTCCAAGATCCTGCTCCTATGTGGACACAAGATGGCTACCACAGGATGACCAGCAGGGGAGGGAAGTTGGGAGGGACCAGGCCTGCAAAGGTGGGCAGTTGAAGGTGATCAACCCTGCAGGGGAGGGCAGTTAGGGGTGACCAGATCAGCAGAGGAGGGAAGTTGGGGGCAAATGGCCTGGCAGGGGAGCAGTTAGACTTCAATCAGGCCGGCATAGGAATGGTTAGGGGGGTGATCAGGCTGGCAGGCAGAAATGGTTAGGGGCAATCAGGAAGGCAGGCAGGTGAGCAGTTGGAGGCCAACAGCCCTGGATTGTGAGAAGGATGTCAGACTGCAGTAGGATCGGGCCTAAACAGGCAGTCAGATATCCCTTGAGGGGTCCCAGATTGGAGAGGGTGCAGGCTGGGCTGAGGGACAACCCCCGCCCTGCCCCCATGCACAAATATTGTGCACCAGACCTCTAGTTTAATCAATAAACCCTAAAGCAACAACCAAAATAAATCAACAAAAAATTTGTAGCTTGTAAATCAACAAAGGAGAAAAATGAAATCATTAAAAAATTGAAGTAATCCAAAAGAAGGCAAAAAAGGGAGAGAAGGTAACAAAGAGTTGAGGAAAGCAGCAAACAAAACTGAACCAAGTCAATAATCATATTAAATATAAATGATCTAAACACTGCATTTGAAAGACAAAGATTGTCAGATTGTATTAAAAAGTAGGGTCCGACTATATGTTGTCTAGAAGGCATTGACTTTAAACAGAGACACAAATAAATTCAAAGTATGAAAAAATATATACACTAATATTTATCAAAAGAAAGATGAATTGCTACTTCTAATCTCAAAAGTTACTAGAAAACCATAGTATGATACTATCTTAGGATGAGTATCTAGAGCAATGGTCAGCTAACTTTGGCTCTGTTGACTAATGAGTTTGCCTACCACTGATCTAGAGCATTAGGATAAATTAAGAATTCAGAAATAAATCCTGGCCAATTGATTTTTGACAAAGGGGCCAAAAAAAGTCAATGGATAAAGGAAAGTCTTTTTCTTAACAAATGGTCCTGGGGCTGAAACCGGTTTGGCTCAGTGGTAGAGCGTCGATATGTGGACTGAAAGGTCCCAGGTTCGATTCCGGTCAGGGGCATGTACATTGGTTGTGGGCACATCCTCAGTAGGGGATGTGCAAGAGGCAGCTGGTCGATGTTTCTCTCTCACTGATGTTTCTAGCTCTCTATCTCTCTCCCTTTCTCTCTGTAAAAAATCAATAAAATATATTTAAAAAAAAAAAAAAGAAAAAGAAAAAGAAAGTAAAAGAATAATCCACAGACTGGAAGAAAATATTTTTATGTCATCCTATATAATAAAAGGGTAATATGCAAATAGACCGAATGGCAGAACAATTGAACAACCAATCAAAGTGTAATATGCTAATGATATGCTAAGGATGCTCAACTGCTCGCTACAACATACACTGATGACCAGGGGGGCAGACAGTCAACTGGTCAACCAGTCACTATGATGTGCACTGACCACCAGAGATGTCCCTCAGTCTGGCCTGTCCCCTCTCACAAACCGGGATCCCTCGGGGGATGTCAGAGAGCCAGTTTCAGGCCAATACTGCAGACCACACCCCTTGGAAGGGCATCAGATGCAGGGCTCATGGCTGGCGAGTGCTGCTTTGGCAGCGCGAGCCTCTCCTGATCGGGATTGATTGGGTGGGAGCCTACAGCAGGCACAGTGGGGCCAGGATGAGTGGGAGTGGCAGGTAGGAACTGCAGGTGGCGTTGGACTGTGGGTTTCAGCCCAATCCCTTCAGGCCACCCAGAGGGACCCCACCTGTGCATGAATTTGTGCACCGGACCTCTAGTCTTATCTAATAATAGACAAACATGTAAATTGACAATACCTTCACTACGCCTATAGACAATCAGAGTGACTATGTAAATTAACCCCAAAACCATAATGGTTAATTTGCATACATAGACACCCAGGGCCTGTGTCCCAGAACATCCTGGCACTCAGGTCACTGTTAGGTAAGGCCCTGGGCAGGAGTGGACCCCCTGCGATGGATCGCAGGGAGCTGCGGGTCACTTTGGCCTGGTGCAGGAGTGGACCCCCTGTGACTGATCGCCTGGGCAGGGAGCTGGGGGTCTGCTTTCGGCCTGGGCAGGAGCGGACCCCCTGTGATTGATTGCAGGGAGCTGGGGGTCTGCTCCTGCCCAAGAGGCTTTCGGCCTGGGCAGGCCTGGGCAGGGGCTGAGCCGGTGATCATGAGGGAGCTGGAGAGGCCCTGCTCAGACCTAAAGCTTCGACTAGAGGCTTTAGGCCTGGGCAGGCCTAGCCCTCGATTGGTGTGAACTATAGAGGAAAAATCTTTTCTGATTGCACATTGGCTAAGCTTTCTGTATGCTACTGGTAATATTCTTAGTAACTTGGGTAATAAGAATCCAAAAAGGTGACCTAAGATTTTTCCACCACACTCCTGGAGAAAAAGTGAAGATCCGCTACTGGAGGGCTAAGAAATGTCATATCCTGCCATAGCCGGTTTGACTCAGTAGATAATGCCTCAGCCTGCAGACAGCAGGGTCTGAGATCAATTCTGATCTAGGGCATGTACCTAGGTTGCAGGGTCCTCTCTGGCCGGGGCCCAGATAAGTGCTCATGCAGGAGGCAACCAATCAAAGTGTTCCTCTCACTTTGATAGTTCTCTCTGGCTTTCCCTTTCTCTTCCACATTCTCTAAAAGTCAGTGGAAGCATATCCTCAGGTGAGGAAAGAAAGAAAGAGAAAAGGAAAGAAAGAGGAAAGGAAAAAAAAAGAAAAGAAAAAGGGGAAAAAAGGAAAAGGAGAAGGGAAAGGAAATGAAAGAAAAGAAATGCATATCCTATGAAAGACACATCTTGAAAATGCCTAAAGAAAGTTGTGATTTTTTTCTTGGTGAAGGGACTGGAGTCTGTGTTGACGAAAACACCTTTGTGGCTGCGGTAACTGGCAGTAGCTGCAGCAGTGGGGTGATGGGGCTGGTGCCTTCCCCTGATTAACCAGGTTGCCTCCCACAAAGAGAGCCAGACTGCAAATTAGGTCTGCTCCCCTGAGGGGTCCTCTGAGGGGTCCCAGTATGTGAGAGGGGGCAGGTTAGGCTCAGGGACCTCCCCACCCCCAGTGCATGAATTTCGTGATAAGGAAATATATGATAAGGGAATATAGAAAGAAGTCTTGCAACTCATTAATAAAAAAACAAATACTGCACACTCTCCCTCCCGGGAGTACACCTGAGCCTTTCTCCTTCCCCTCCCTCTCTTCTCCCTATACTGTTACAGCTCAGGAAACTGAGTCAAAAGTAGAGATAAGATTTGGAGCCTAGATCTTTCGTCTCCCAGTTCTCTTTCCATTCTATCATGGGGGAAAGTATAACTGCATATATATAGAAGGTTCAGAGAGAAATGCTTACCCTTAAGTTTATTCACTGTCCCCATGTTTAGAAGAATTCCTCTCGGACTTTTTGCTGCAAAACAAGCGGCCTTCTCATATTCACCAAGTGAGATTAATTGATTGAACCTACAAACATTATATTTCATTATACATGTTTTTTAACATCAAGTTGACGAAAAAAAGAAAACTGATTAGAAATCTCTAATATATACTAAACACAATGGCATAGTAATATAGAATGATGAGAATATAAATGATGAGATTTATTCACTCTGTAAGAGGTTATTTCACTTCTTTCCCTAATATTCTACCATTTTTGTAGCCTCAGAAAAAAAACTCTCATCTGCCAGCTGACTGTGAACCTCATCCTGCACTTTATTCCTATAGTACTCTATAGCAAGCCATAGCAAATGAACAGAACTTGAGGTGAAGCTACAATGAGCTCAGATTTTTTTTTCTCTCATATTATCTCCAGATAAAAGGGGGTGTCAGAGAAAAGAAGGATAATCTCCTTGAGAGGTCCATCTAGGGGAAATATTAGATGAACAGAAAGGCTGCCAAGTTGAAGATCAAGAAGTAACCTTGGTATTCCGAATTTATGTTGCTCAGCAGACTCCCTATTAAATATGAGGTTAACACAAGGAGTAAAGATAATACTTCAAATAACTTAAGCCTCTACTCCTCTTCCTAGGGCAAAATATCTTCAAATCAGCCCTCACTTCACAATTAATAAAACTATGGCAAACACCGATTTATACAGTGTTGCAAATGAATGTGGAATCCCAGAGGAGAAAAATATCAAAGTAATATTAAGTAAAATACATAAAATGTTTAACCTCAATAAGGGTTTTTCTCTCCAATCTAGAGTTGGCAGACTTAGAGAAGTACACATTAAGGAAATAATGGGCTTTGGTGCCCCTCCCTCCCCCAAAATAATCTTCACTCCTTATTTGTATCAACATGCAAATCAAAGGTGAAAATTGTTTCACATGTAAAATTAGGAACATTAAATATGTTCATTACATATGGACTTTATAGCCTATGAAATAAACTCTTAAAGAATAAATTCTTAAATTTATTTAAGCCTCTATTTTACACTATAAATAATAACTTAAGTATTGGGCAAAAAATATGCCAGCGGTGTGGCTCAGTGGTTAAGCATTGACCCAGGAACCAAGAGGTTAACAGATTGATTCCCTATCCAGGCACATACCCAAGTTGTGGTCTCAACCCTCGCTCCCCTGTAGGGGGGCATATGAGAGGATGTTCCTCTCTCATAGAGGTTTTTATCTCTTTATCCCTTTCCCTTCCCCTTTCTCTAAAAATTAATAAAAACATATTTAGGAAAATATTTTTTAACATCAAGTTGACGATGAAGAAATGCAAGAAAAGTATAAATAAAATTTAAATCAACACTACAAACCTATATTCTCTGAAATATTGCCTAGATTACTAATCTAGTATTTTTTAAAATACATTTTTATTTATTTCAGAGAGAAAGGAATAGGGAGAAAGAGATAGAAACATCAATCATGAGAGTGAATCATAAATTGACTGCTTCCTGCATGCCCCACACTAAGGATCAAGCCCCCAACCTGGGCATATGCCCTGATCAGGAATTGAACTGTGACCTCCTGGTTCGTAGGTCAACACTCTACCACTGAGCCACGCTGACTGGGCCCAATCTAGTATTTTATCACAGAGAATTATCATTTAAAATTCTACCTTATTTTCTAATTTGTTTATTAGAAGTTAAATTTTTTTTTTTGCAATGTCTACACCATGCATGCAGAAGAGATGAAACGGTTATTCCATTTCAATTTACAATGGCCCAATGTTATTTTATTCCATGCGTATAACTACTCAGATCATTGAAAAGACTATGATAACAAATAAATGGGAAATAACAGGGTAAAATTTGAAAGATATAGCAGAAACCGGTCTGGCTCAGTGGTAGAGTGTTGGTCTGTGGACTGAAGGGTCCCAGGTTCGATTCCAGTCAGGGGCATGTACATTGGTTGCGGGCACTTCCCCGGTAGGGGGTGTGCAAGAGGCAGCTGGTCAATGTTTCTCTCTCATCGACGTTTCTAGCTCTCTATCTCTCTCCCTTCCTCTCTGTCAAAAAATCAATAAAATATATTTTTAAAGATACAAAAGTTAGATAGTAAATAAATAAAGATAGTAAATAAATGCTAAGCAGTTAATAAATATTAAAGATGTATTTAATAAGTATTTAAATACATATTAAATGATTGCAGTATTATTTTAAAGCTTTTAAAATATTTGCCTTTCAATGTAGGAAAGCAAAATTTCAGCTTCTTTTGCCTTGCCTGGATCATCTTCCATTAGCTCTTCGATAAAGCTTTGGCAACCTATAAATATCAACAGATCCACCAGATGATATTTAAGGTTATACATTAACCTATATTTATAAAGAGGTAAAATGCAAATTAGCCAGGATGCCATAACAGTCACGACCATTCGGAGGAGGCTGCATGTGCAGACGGGCGGGAAGGGACTGCTGCATGGTACGGCAAGCCATGGATGGCGCAGGCCCACAGAGAGCAGGGCGATGCAGGGTCTGCCAACCTCCATGGTGGCGAACAGGCAGGCCCACAGAGAGCAGAGAACAGGGCCTGCCAGCCACTGCAGTGGCAAGGAGGCCTACAGACAACAGGGCCTGCCAGCCGGGAAGCGCCTGCAGTCCCGCCTCTGCACGTGAGCTGCAAAGGAAACACCTTTTCTAACCCCTCATTGGCTAAGCTCCCTGTACACCACTCGCAGTGTTCTTGGTAACTTGGGTAATAAGAATCCAAGAAGGTGATCTAGGGTTTTTCCACCTCACTCCTGGAGGAAAAAAACAAAGGTCTGCTGCTGGAAGGGCTAAGAAATGTCATATCCTGCCCTAGCTGGTTTGGCTCAGTGGATGGAGCCTCGGCCTGCCAACTGCAGGGTCTGCATTCAATTCTGGTCAAGGGCATATATCTAATGTTGCAAGCTCATCCCTGGCTGGGGCCCAAGTCAGGGCTCATGCAGGAGGCAACCAAAGTGTCCCTCTCACAGTGATGTTTCTGTCTGTCTGTCCCTCTCTCTTCCACACACTCTAAAATCAATGGGAAAAATATCTCAGGTGAGAGAGAGAGAGAGAGAGAGAGAGAGAGAGAGAGAGAGAGAGAGAGAGAGAGAGAGAGAGAGAGAGAAAGAAAGAAAGAAAGAAAGAGAGAGAGAGAGAGAGAGAGAGAGAGAGAGAGAGAGAGAGAGAGAGAGAGAGAAAGAGAGAAAGAGAGAAAGAGAGAGAAAGAGAGAGAAAGAGAGAAAGAGAGAAAGAGAGAAAGAGAGAAGAGGAAAGAGAGAAAGAGAGAAAGAGAGAAAGAGAGAGAGAGAGAGAGAAAGAGAGAGAGAGAGAGAGAGAGAGAGAGAGAGAGAGAGAGAGAGAGAGGAAAGAGAGAAAGAGAGAAAGAGAGAAGAGAGAGAAAGAGAGAAAGAGAGAAAGAGAGAAAGAGAGAAAGAGAGAAAGAGAGAAAGAGAGAAAGAGAGAAAGAGAGAAAGAGAGAGAAAGAGAAGAAAGAGAGAGAAGAGAGAGAAAGAGAGAAAGAGAGAAAGAGAGAAAGAGAGAAAGAGAGAAAGAGAGAAAGAGAGAAAGAGAGAAAGAGAGAAAGAAAGAAAGAAAGAAAGAAAGAAAGAAAGAAAGAAAGAAAGAAAGAAAGAAAGAAAGAAAGGTCATATCCTATGAAAGAGACATCTTGAAAATTCCTAAAGAAAGTTGTCATTTTTTTTCGTGGTGAAGGGACTGGAGTCTGTGTTGATGGAAACACCTTGGCAGCTGCGGCGGCTGACTGTGGCAGCAGTAGGGGGTGATACGGCCCAGTCACCTCCTGCAGAGGGAGGCCAGACTACAGTTTAGGCCTGCTCCCCTAAGCCATCAGTAGGACGTCCCTTGAGAGCTCCCAGATTGGAGAGGATGCAGGTCAGGCTGACACACACACACACACACACACACACACACACACACACACACACACACCCGCATTGGGCCTCTAGTAGAAAATAATAAGCATACAGATGTTTAATACCAACCACTTAATGCTATGGTTCTTAATAGAATGCCTCCCTTTAATTTTTTCTTATTTTAAGGTATTATATCTTTGGTTTACCAGTTATCTGTCAGCTATTGGGGGATAACAGAAACCTAACTGAAATAAATACATTTTTGCTTTCCTTAAACTCTATCTAGGAAAATTCCCACTCATAGCTTTCTGGGCATTGGGGAAAGAAGTAATGTTTTCCATTATTTGTGTTACTTAAATACATCAATAAACTACCGTGTAAACTGTGGATTTCCTCAATTTGCTTCACGAAGTCTTCAAATGAGCTGCTCTCATCAGATTTTGACCATGAAGTAAGTGCGTATGAAATAATCTGCAGTCTTCTATGACTATAAAGATAAAGCATCAACAACATACTGAATCTAAAATCAAAGTGTAATATTAGAATAAACACATATAAAAACTTCAAACTTTAGAAATTATCGATTTGCATACCTAAACTCTAATTCTTTGTTCAGACTGTCAGCTACCTCGTGCCGTTTTACTATCACAATCATTTCCTCCTCTAAATCTGTCTTCCTCTGAAGTGGGACATATTTTTCTGACATTAGTTGTTTAATTTCTGCATATTTATCTTCCAGATGTTTCAGGTATTTATTGAGAGCATCTAAATTGAAGGATTCTTCGAGAATCATGCCTATGGGAAAAGGGAACAAATCAAACCAACCAAGCCATGGGTGGGAGTATGCAAAATGTCAGTGAGTTCTCTATGTCAGGGAATAACTGAGAAATGGTAACATGAACTTGTCATTTACTGAACATAAATGGAATTAACACACATTTTTTTAAATGGCTAGCAGTTTTTAAACATACCCATGAATATTCTAGAGAATGAATTCTGGATTTTGCCCAGTAATTTCTCTCTAACCAAATCTTCCATTAAACTATTCCTGCTAACCCCAGGGTAATGTTTACTCTCTCCAATGAAAAACTTATAAATGCCAGCCATATCTCAGTCCTCTCTCCCTCTCTAATTGCCCCTTCTACTCATTATTCATGCACACACCAAATGATTCCCCTTGTCGTTTAGGCTATTTGTTGCCTTTAAAGGCATATCTCAAAATTCTCCTCCAGAACCCTTTTGGATTAATCCTATTCAATTTTGATAATTACCTTACCCTAAATCCTCTAGGCATTTAATCAATTTATCTGTTATTCTGTACTTATTCATATGTATCTTATTTATATTTTGTGAGTCATAATTTTACATTGAAAGGAAATCTAGCCCCTGCCTCCACCTGACACAGGCTGATTGATCATTCAACCTCAGTTGAAATCCTCTGGTGTGGAATAGCTTATTATTTCATGACGTAGCTTCTTCCACTGAATCCAAATCCTACTTCCTAAAATTTCCACCTATTGATTCTGCTTCTGGGTAACCACTATTAATAGTTGAAATCCATAAAAGTTTTGAATACAGTTATCTATTCTCAAAGCCATCCTGGTCCCAAGGGTGAATATTTATAATTCCTCTATAGTCATCATATAAACCTCTCTACTTCCTGAATAAATTCCAGGAGACAGAATGCTACTTGCACTTCCCCAGATTCACTTGTCCTCACTTTTGTCTCCTTTCATTGTTCATTCGTCCAGCAAAAAAAAAAAGTTTTCTGAGCCCATTTGAGAAAACCTCCCGATTAAATATTAGAGAGAAAAAAAATCAGGATACATTTCTTAAAATGTGGTTTAGCTGAAGATGAGTAACCAGTGAATGCTGACATAAATATAAATCAACAATATTCACCAGAACTAACACACTACAGTTTTTTCATGTATTATAACATGGGTTCTCAACTCTAGAGTACATCAGACTAACCTGAGAACTTGTTAAAACACTGATTGGTAGGCTCTTCCTCCATCTCACCCGTCCCATGCCCAGAATTCTGACAGTAAGTCTGCACTGGGGTCAAAGAATTTGCATTTCTAACAGGTTTCCAGTTAAGCTGACGTTGACCAGGGACCACAATTTAAGAATATCCTGTATATAGTCCAGTCAGTCTGAAACTCTTTTAGGGTTTTCTCATCCTCTTATTTCTATCTAGAGTCCTGGCTAAAGTTGTTTTGTAAAGTATGGATGAAATCCTGTTGTACTCAGAAGATATATCCACAGCACATACATATTAACTTGTGTAATAGGTAATAACTGGCAACAGTCAGAATTTCTTTCAAATATTTTACACAAAATATAGTACCTGGAATAGGTTTTGAAGGGTCTTTGGAGAAAGGAAAATGTTTTAGTTCTTTCACATCATACGCTGCCCTGAGTTGTTTTATTTTGTCTATTTGCAATTGAATGCTTGAGGAATTATTTTCAATAACCTTCATTCTGGAAAACAGAAAGGCTTTCTTATGTTGCTTTCAACTAACTTAATTATTTAATCATAAGATTTATAATAAAACGAGTTAAATCATTATCTTATTTTGCCTAATTGTCATTTTGAACCATTACGTATTTAGGTGGAAATTTATAAAACAGTGCCCCATAAAGAGTTTACTAACCTCACAATGAGGAACAATTTTCTTTCAGAGCATCAATACTATGACTCATAACTTTATTGGAAGTTTATTAAGTGTTAAACATATTCTGGCCACAAAACATTTCAGTTGAAAATTACCTTTGCATTGAAAATTTGTTTTTTGAAGTAATTATCCATTTCTTAGGGCTGCCATAGCAAATGGCCACAAACTCGGTGGCTTAAAAAAGCAGAAATTTATTTTCTCTCCGTTCTGGAGACCAGCGAAGTCAGCATCACTGGGCCCAAACCAGAGTGCTGTCGGGCCCATGCTGCCTCCAGACCGGCTCAGGGAGATCCGCTCCCGCCTTTCCCAGCTGCTGGGGCTGCTGCCTTGTCTCTGGCTTCATGTCCGCATTCCTTCTCCCCTTCTTCGTCAACACTGCCTCTGCCCGCTCTCATAAGAACACTTGTGATTGACATTAGGAAACTTGTGACATAATCTGAGACAAACTCCCTATTTCAAGATCTTTAATGGAATCACATCTGCAAAGACCCCTTTCCCAGGTCCTCAGGATTAGGACCTGCTATCTTTAGGAGCTATTATTTAACCTACTGTAGTGATTCTGATCCTATAGTTGGATGAATGAAAGCACTCCTGAGAAACCACCAAGAAGATATAAACTTCCTTCAAGCATTAGTTTACTTTCTATAGATAGAGATAGATAGATAGATAGATAGATAGATAGATAGATAGATAGATAGATCGATCTAATCAGCTGCATCCTGCACACGCCCCACTGGGTACATCCCATGACCAGAATCAAACCTGGGACCCTTGAGTCCAGGCCGACATCCCATCCACTGAGCCAAACCGGCTAGGGCTGAAGCTTACTTTCTAACTGATCACCGATATTGGCCCAGGGAGAAAATAACAGACTAAAATAAATTAGATACATAAATGCCACAAGGGTTTTGGCAAATTAATAACAAGTTTGTCAGTAGATAAGGGCTGTCTGCATCTGATTATTACAGAGCTCTTGGTAACTACTGATTGCTCGGAACAATAGCTTACAGTATTTATGAAAGAGGGACTGTGAAATAAAATTTCTTTTGGCTTTCATCCAAATATATTATGCTTGTGAAAGAAAGCAATGTTAAAATTGAACAGACTTTCTGCCCTGGTTGGTGTGGCTTAGTTGGTCGGAGCGTTATCCGTGTACCAGAAGGTGGTGGGTTTGATGCCTGGTCAGGGCACACACCCAGGTTGTGGTTTCAAACCCAAGTCAGAGCTGGGGTGTGTATGGGAGGTCCATGTTTCTTTCTCACATGGATGCTTGTCTCTCCTTCCCTTCTTCCTCTGAGATTAAAAAAAAGAAGTCAACAGTCTTCAAGTTGGTAAGAAAGGGAACATGAAAACATGACTTTAAATTAAATAAAAAGACTGAGAACCACTGGTTATAGTTAAACTAGCTAGTTAATATAACCAAGTAACAATGCCGAAACCGGTTTGGCTCAATGGATAGAGCGTTGGCTTGGGGACTGAAGGGTCCCGGGTTCGATTCCGGTAAAGGGCATGTATCTTGGTTGCGGGCATATCCCTAGTAGGGGGTGTGCAGGAGGCAGCTGACCGATGACTCTTTCTCATTGATGTTTCTAACTCTCTATCCCTCTCTCCTCCTCTCTGTACAAAATCAATAAAATATATTTTTAAAATATATATATATATAACCAAGTAACCATGATCACCTTTTGGGCTATTTGCTAATATACTTACTTTGCTTTAAGTTGGGTTATTCTTTTCCTGTGATACACCAATGTTGTGGGCTCTGCTGCCAAAACTTTAAGTCTTCCATGAAGAGAAAATGCAATTCTTTGGTCTCTTTTTATTGTGTCAATGATGGTATCATATTCTTTTTTGATTGAAGTAAGAATGGATTTGTATGCAGTGACATATTCTATTACCTGAAATATGATTTTTTTTCTGCCTATAGTTTTGAATTTTTTTCTAGGACACTATGGATCAAAAGCCTTGCAAATAACATTATAGATTATTTTTTAAATAAAACATGATGAGAAATTAGAAGTCTCAAATTTTACAAATATCAGTGGGTATTAAATTTCTTGAATATGTGCTCTTTGTAAATTATTACAGTCCTGTGAGCTTAAATATGAGAAAAAATATATTTTTCTCTACTTGGTATGAACACATACATTATATGACATTAGTTAAAACCAATACCAGGTCTAATACTGCATTCCTATTCCCAAGGTATCAAGTAAAACTATAAGAAATCACTATCCACTCATGGTTTCTAACGGTGTGAAGTACAGACTATCTTTAGATAATGGAAGAAAATAGAAACAGTGGATGCCTGAAGAAAAGGAAAGGGAAAAATAACAAGCTGACCTTTGGTTGTGTAGTTTTCTTTATTAGTTCCTTTGTTTATTTATTTATTTGCTAATCTTGTGTATACAATACCCATGCAAAAACAAATATTTAAAATAATTTAAAATGCATGGTTTTTCAAATTGTGCTCACGAGGATTTCAGAAGGGACCGATACGTAAAGAGAACAGAGGTGATCAATCCAAAATCTTCTCTGAAAGCCACAATAGGCTTCTCTCAAAAACTATGAAAACTCTACATACAAGGAACCACCATTCCTTAATGGCAACAAACAGGAAAAGCTTTAGACTGAATTCTTCATTTTACTAAACTCCATGATTCCTCATTCTCTTACAGCCTCATGCCCTAGCTGGTTTGGCTCAATGGATAGAGCACTGGCCTGTGGAAATGAAGGGTCCCAGGTTTGATTCCGGTCAAGGGTACATGCCCGGGTTTCGGGTTCGATACTCAGTAGAGGGAATTCAGGCAGCAGCCCATCATTGATGTTTCTCTCTCTTCCTCTCTGATATCAATCAAAATATATTAAAAAAATAAAAATAAAAACAGGTATTGCTAAAAATCTTGCAAAACAAAATCAAATGTTATATAAGCCACAGCATTTTCTAGCCTCATCTCCATATTTCCATTATTCAGCTAGTCAAATCCCCTGTTTACTGTGCCTATCTACCTAGCCCTCTAATCTACAAGGGACCTCAATTTAATATCCTAGGTCAGCAATTTTCAACCAGTGTGCCACAAGAATTTTTAAAACATGAAATATCTGATTATTTAGCCAGGGGCACTGACCCCTTTCCCTCAAAAGACAGCACCCAACACAATTGCCATCCAGTGTGATTAAGTCAAAATTATACCTTTTTTTGTTGTTGTAGATCTCCAAAAAAATATATTATTTGGTGTGCTGCAGAATTTTAGTAATTAGTTTATGTGTGCCATAAGTTGAAAATCGCTGTGGTAGATTAAATCTAGACCAAGACTTTAATGATACCACACCTAAACCCAAAACAAGCTTCCTGCTTACAGCCCAATCCCTCAGTTAACATTTTCAGATGGAGGGTCAAAATGCTGTTAGAGGGCACTGCGAGGTGTTGCTCAAAAACTGATAAAAATGTTAAAACTGACAGCTTGCACTTAAGTTGAGGCATTCATCAACTGTCTGGTGATAAATGCAGCATTGCATTTTCTTCCTTCTCTCCTTTCTAACAAAATAGATGAACTTTTCTAAACTGACAGATGTATCAATAAACAAGCAGTGTGGTGTTACTAAGACAGGAGTATTAGTCATCAAGAAAGACCATTTCTGCCTGGCCAGCAGAGCTCAGTGGTTGAGTGTTGACCTATGAACCAGGAGGTCACAGTTTGATTCCTGATCAGGGCACATGCCGGGTTTCGGGCTTGATCCCATGTGAGGTGTGCAGGAGACAGCTGATCAATGATTCTCTCACATCACTCATGTTTCTGTCTCTTCCTTCCTCTCTAAAAGCAATGCAAATATTAAAAAAAGAAAAGAAAGACCATTTCTTCCCCATGAAAATCCATTGTCTTAAAATCATTGATACCTTATCAAAAACGTTTCGGTATATGATGTAATATTCATCAGCAGGTCCTTCCTCATTACAGCCCACTCTTTCTGTTTCTGTAATTATGTATCTTTGCATACTTTCCAAAAATTCCTTATCACATCTACTAATGATAGGAGGGATAATTGTATGTTTATTTATTCCTTGAACCGACATGGCATAATCTGCAACACTTATTCAACAGAGAAAAGTTAACTCTTGTCTTGCTTTTGCAACAAAGCCAAAACTTTTGATAGGCCTGAAAGAAAAAAAGACCATCAATTAATTTAAAGCTTAAAAAAGTCATATATTCATCTAAAACAAATGTAAAAAAATGTGCCACAGATCTGAGATATATGATTCAACCTATGAATCAAAAAGTCTAATCAATTCTGCCACGCGCTATCCCTCTGAGATAGATATACCAAACATCAGTCAGTAAGGGGCTCTTTTTTTTTTCTTTTAAATATATTTTATTGATTTTTTTACAGAGAGGAAGGGAGAGGGATAGAGAGCCAGAAACATCGATGAGAGACATCATCGATCAGCTGCCTCCTGAATACCCCCCACTGGGGATGTGCCTGCAGCCAATGTACATGCCCTTGGCCGGAATCGAACCTGGGACCTTTCAGTCCCCAGACTGACGCTCTATCCACTGAGCCAAACCGGTTTTGGCAAGGGGCTCTTTTCTTATTAACCAAGCATATACAGGATATCCCCCAAAATGCACATACACTTTGAATGATTATAAAGTCAGCTTTAATTTTCAGAATTTAAAAAAATTTACAGAAATAAATAATTTTTTTGTCAACATGTTTTCAAACTGATGACCATTCTGGTCCAGGAATCATAAACATCAAGAATCATTTCCTTTGGTATTTGTGGGCCCACAATTCATTGACTGTTGCTGGTATGTACCATAAACCTTGTCTTTTAGGTATCCCCATTAAAAAAATCTAGTGGCAGAGCAGAGAAGGCAGTGAGACAGAGGTGGGCACAATGGATGCATCTCACTAGCCTGTGGGAGAGGACAGGAAAACGTCAAACATCAGGGACAACATCTAAAGGAATCACATCTAGGGCAATGCTTAAGTTATACCGTATTTGTTTATTCAACAAATATTTAGGCCCTACCAGTGTGGCTCTGTGGTTGAACGTCAACATATGAACCAGGAGGTCCTGGTTTGATTCCAGGTCAGGGCACATGCCCGGGTTTGGGCTTGATCCCCAGTGTGGGGCATGCAGGAGGCAGCTGATCAGTGATTCTTTCTCTCATCATTGGTGTTTCTAATCTCTCTCTCTCCTTCTCTCTGAAATCAATAAAAATATATTTAAAAATATTTAGGGGCACTTTCTGTATGTCTGCCACTATCTTAGATGCTAGAGACATAGTATTGAACAAAACAAAGCTTTTAACCCCCCAGAAGTTATGTTCAAGGAGTGAGAGACAACACAAAGTGAAAACATAGTATGACAAATGGGGATAAGCCATATGGGGAAAATTGAAACTGGGAATGAGAGTAAGGAGGGTGGGAGGGTGCAATTTTATATAAAGCATTAAGTTAGGAAAGAGGAAAGTCCTCACTGATAAGTGGCACTTCAGAAATCTGACAAAAGCAGGTCATGTAGATTCCGGGGACGGGGAGGAAGGAGGGTGGTTGAGGCAGAGAGAGCAGCAAATCCAAAGGCCTGAAGGCAGTAAGCAAGTGTGAGGAACAGCAAGGCCAGTGGGGCCAGAAGAGAGTGAGAAAGGGAGAGAATAAAGAGATGAGGTCAGAGGTGTAGCAGCCAGATGAGTACAGGGCCTTGGCAGCAGGACCCCTACCTGCACATGGGCACCTTTGTGCACCTTAGAAAGAGGTGCCCTTTCTTGTGACAGATCTGGCAAGAGGATTGGAGGCTCTAGTCACCCCAGTGCTGGAAAAAGAGCCTCACTTATAGGAATTTAGGCTTAACTCTGAGTGAGATGGGAAGCCATTGGAGGACTATGGGCAAGAGTGACAGATGGCTTACACATTTTCAAAGAACTGCTCTTGCTGCTTTATGAAGAAAAGGGCCAAAGCCTGAAGAACTGTCAGGAGGCTACTGCAATAATCTGGGAGGAGATAACAGTGGCTTGAATCAGAATGGTAACAGTGGCGGTGGTGAGATGCGTTCTGCATATATACTAGTATGTAAAAACAAAGCCAAGAGGACTTGCTGAGGGGATTAGATGGAGGTATGAGAGAGCAAAGATGACCATAAAGTTTCCGGCCTTACAGATTAGAAAGATGGGAACTGCCATTTATGCATATGGGAAGAGCAATTTCATGAGATCAGGAGTCTGGGGCTTGCCTATTGGAGATGTTAAACAGCAGGCTCTGTGAAGCTGGAGTTCAGGTGAGTAATCGAAATGAAAGGTAAGTTTATAAGCCAATTGCATAATAAATGGTACTTAAAAGTTATGAGACGGGCCGAAACCGGTTTGGCTCAGTGAATAGAGCGCCGGCCTGTGGATTGAAGGGTCCCAGGTTTGATTCCGGTCAAGGGCATCGAACCTTGGTTGCGGGCACAAACCCAGTAGGAAGTGTGCAAGAGGCAGCTGATCGATGATTCTCTCTCATCAATGTTTCTAACTCTTTGTCCCTCTCTCTTCCTCTCTGTAAAAAAAATCAATAAAATATATATTTTTTAAAAAGTTATGAGACGGAATGAAAATGACCTGGGAAATGTAAACAAAGCAGAGGTCTAAGGACTAGTGCTGGGGGAGATACTCCAAAGTTTAGAGGTCTGGTAGTTCTGGAGGAAGCAGCAAAAGAGCCAATAAAAGTGTCCATTGGAAAGAGAAGAAAGTGTTCCAAAGGAGAGAGTGATCAGCTGTGTCAAATGCTGCTGACAGATCATATAAGATTAACTGATCATTGACTTTAACAACAAGTTAAAGGTGACTAGTGACCACAAAAGCTATTCCAGTAGAAGGGTGGGTACAAAAACCTGGAACAGCCGAAACAGGTTTGGCTCAATGGATAGAGCGTCAGCTTGCGGACTGAAGGGTCCCTGGTTCAATTCCGGTCAAGGGCATGTACCTTGGTTGCGGGCATATCCCCAGTAGGGGGTGTGCAAGAGGCAGCTGATCGATGACTCTCTCTCATCAATGTTTCTGACTATCTCTCTCCCTTCCTCTCTGTACAAAATCAATAAAATATATTTTAAAAAAAAAACACAAAAAAAACCTGGAACAGATACAAACAAAGGAGAAGGTTTGGAGACAATGAGTGTAGACATCTCTTTCAAGGAGTTCTGCTGTAAAGATGAAGACTAGTTGGAAGAACATGGGACAAAGAAAGTTCAAGGAAGAAGGAGTGGATTCTTCCTGAGTACCAAAGCATGAGGGAGCACACGTCAGGAACTTCCATTAGCTCAACAGTATAACTATAGCAAGCAATGGGTTTGGCAGATTAGGATGTAAGGGAGCCCAAGGCCAAATACTATAGTAAGGGATTTGGATTTCCTTATGAAGGTGAAAAAGAATAATGACCTACTTTTTAGAAGATTTGGAGACAAAAGTGAAGGTGGGTTAGAAAAGGAGAAAGAGCCGGCACCGGTTTGGCTCAGTGGATAGAGCGTCGGCCTGCGGACTGAAAGGTCCCGGGTTGGATTCCGGTCAAGGGCATGTGCCTTGGTTGCGGGCACATCCCCAGTAGGGAGTGTGCAAGAGGCAGCTGGTCAATGATTCTCTCTCATCGACGTTTCTCTCTATCCCTCTCTCTTCCTCTCTGTGAAAAATGAATAAAATATATTTAAAAAAAAAAAAAAAAAGAAGAAAAAGAAAAGAAAAGGAGAAAGACTAGAGGTAGCTTAGAAGCTAGCACTGAAAACTTCCAGGAGAAAATCAGGGAGGGCTTGAGTCTGGGGGTGGGATAGAGAGGGGAAGGCAGAGAGACAGGGATGGATGGCATCAGGAGGGGAGACTGGACAGGTTTTTGTGTAGTGGAGGAAGGCAAGGTGAGCACCGACTCCCTGCTAACGCCCCGCCGGGCCAGGGGCGTCTCACACACTCTCCCAAGTCTTCCTCCTGGGATCTTCGCCAACCTACACATTTGGAAATTCTACAACTAAATAGCCATCCTAAATAGCCATTTCTTTCCCGTATGGCTTCATTTTAACATTTGAAAAATGGGCCTGAGGTGAAACCGGTTTGGCTCAGTGGATAGAGCGTTGGCCGGCGGACTGAAAGGTCCCAGGTTCGATTCCGGTCAAGGGCATGTGCCTTGGTTGCAGGCACAACCCCAGTAAGGGGGGGGGGGGGGGGGAGGGGTGCAAGAGGCAGCTGATCGATGACTCTCATTGATGTTTCTAACTCTCTAATCTGTCTCTCTCTCCTTTCCTCTCTGTAAAAAATCAATAAAACATATTTTTTTAAAAAAGAAAAAAGAAAGAAAAATGGGCCTGAGATTTGCAACATATCAGAGTCTCACACGACAAACCAGGCTCAGAACTTTGTTTCCACCAGCGGAGCCTTGGGGGCTGAAGGCGGAGGGGACGACAGGGCAAAAAGGAAAAGCAAGGATGAACCCGAGCTTTTGGAGATATAACCTATTTTTCAGTTTGCCTGGAGTGGGCCAAGGAACTCCTCCCCTTGCAGGCCCAGGGAGCAGCGGTGGAGACGGCCTGGTCCTCAGCTCCTAACCGCCAGTGAGGAGGTGAGCGATACCTCCGTTCCCCGGTCTCACGCCCTTTCCTTCTAGTCTTTTCCCACCCGTTTCCTCCTTCCCTGAGAGCATTACTGGGCTTCGCCCTTCCGCCCTCCTCACCTTAATCCCTTTCTCCAAAAACCCCAACTCCGCTGCTTGGCGTTAGTTACTACGGGAACCTTAGGTGTGTGGCACTGCATCTTGGGACAAGTAGTCTTCAGCCCCCAAAGAAAGCAGTGGAAACTACAACTCCCAGAAGGCACTTCCGTTTCCTCCTCTTCCTCAATCCCACCTCCTTTTTAAGACCCTCTTAGCCACGTTCCCCTCTATGAGAAAAGCCTTTTAAAGACATTTAAAGTTGTTTAAACCTACTGTCTCTAGAGCATCCTGGAGGTTAAAGTGAGAAATAAGCCCGGCTTTAGAACGAGGAGAAATGAGGTTCACGAGCTAAGTCTGGCATTTGGGTTAGACAGCCGCGGGGATAGCAGTCAGGCGTTTGGTGTGGCCGCCTAAGAGGTGGGGCCTGAGGCGGCGGCGGCCCCAGGAAGCGTGTGGGCCTGCGCCGCCTTCTTCCTTTCCGATCCGCCATCTGCGGTGAGTGTGTGCTCCTCGTCCGCTCCCCGGCCGGCGGCCTACCGGCCTTCCCCTCCGTGCGTCCCCGGGTGTAACCGGTCTCTTCCTTGTCCCCCGCCGCAGGTGGAGTCGCCACCAAGATGCAGATCTTCGTGAAAACCCTCACGGGGAAGACCATCACTCTCGAGGTGCGGGCCCGGTGGCGGGAGGGAGCCGAGGCCGGGGCAGGCCCGGCGGTGGCGGGAGGGCCGGCGCTGCTTTCTGCCCAGAGCGTGTTCCCGAGTCTGGGTTGTGCCACCTGGCCTTGAATGGAGAGCTGTTTGCCGAGCTCGGCCGGCGTCTGAGCAGCAGCTTCTGCACGTGTCAAGCTCGGCCCTCATCTCGGTGGTGCCGGCCTGACCGAGGCGGGGAGCGGGCCCAGCACGTGGGGAGCCGGGGCTGAGGAAGTGGCCGGGGAGGAGGCCTGTCCACGGGGTCGGGGACCAGCTCTTTTGGGGAGGCGGCAGCCCTCCCCTCCCCCCACCCCCCGCTCGGTACACACGAATTGAGCGATCCTTTTCTTAACTGTCTTACCAATACCTCTTTGCATTTGAAAACTCTTAGGTTGAACCCTCGGATACGATAGAAAATGTAAAGGCCAAGATCCAGGATAAGGAAGGCAAGTGGTGTTTTCTAATTCAGAAATAGTAACCTCCGGAGGCCCCAGCCGACCTGCAGGCTCCCTGCAGACGTTCGCTGGGTGGGGTGGGTGGGCAGAGGTCAGGCTGATCAGTGAACTATTTTGAAATAACACACGGTAGACACAGGTTTTTGAGCGCGGAACCAAGCTGCAGTGCATTCTACTTACTATGAATTTAGGCAAGCCGTTTATTTACACCGCTTTCCCCATCCGCAAAATGAAGATTGTGTTAGCATGTCCATATTAAGTACTGTTAGCGATTACTCGAGGTAAAATCAGTAAACTTTTAAAACCACGCATGCATAGCCTGTAACGAGAAATCTGAAGGCTGCTAGTGCCATTTGATCCAGGATTATCGCTTTGTAAATCTTGAGCGGAGGCTTGTTCTGCTGTGGCCTAATTTGTTGGTTTTTTTCATTAGGAATTCCTCCTGATCAGCAAAGACTGATCTTTGCTGGCAAGCAACTGGAAGATGGGCGTACTTTGTCTGACTACAACATTCAAAAGGTCTGTGTGTAAATTTCAAAGTTTCTGACACGTCCCTAATGCTAAGGCTAGCTTCAGATGATTCAGATTTCCTAGGTGACATTGGAGAAGTGCTACTCTAGTTCTCGCATTCTGGGTTTGGCAGGTTGTATCCCATGGTGTGATTTAGTGTTCTTTAATCTCCCTGTGCACTAGCTAAGAACAGAGACACTCTGCTGTGGTATTGAGTGCTTCCTATTGCATCTAATTAGAAGATGGGTGATGCTAGCTTTCTGTTGTTGGCAGTGGAGCCTGAGCATTAATGTAATTGTTTTTAAAGCTTGTTGCACACTGCCTCATTAACAGGAGTCCACGCTTCATCTTGTGCTGAGACTCCGTGGTGGTGCCAAGAAGAGGAAGAAGAAGTCTTACACCACTCCCAAGAAGAACAAGCATAAGAGAAAGAAGGTTAAGCTGGCTGTCCTGAAATACTACAAAGTGAGCCAACTTAAAACTTTTTCGCCTATAGGTTAAAAAATTGTGTTCATATCGCTGGTTTCAAACTTCTAGTATAAATTTTTTTTCCCTGTTAATACTTGAACTTTAGATAACGGGGTTTGTTCTCAACAAGGGTTTTGATTTTGAAGTCAGGTCTGGGTTCAGGTTTAGCTTAGTCTACCACTTGCAGGGTTTGACTTGAATGAGCTCTGAGCTTGTTCTTGTTCGATGTAGTAAATACTGGTGAGGGTTTGAGATGCTTTGGGTTTGTAAACACTAAAAACTGCCATTGTGTGATTAAAAGGTTATGTATTTTGATTCACTTAAAATAGGCTTCAAAATATGTTGTAAAGTTATCTTAACAGCAGGTTTGTACTTTTTAGGTGGATGAGAATGGCAAAATCAGTCGCCTTCGCCGAGAGTGCCCTTCGGATGAATGTGGTGCTGGAGTTTTCATGGCCAGCCACTTTGACAGACATTATTGTGGCAAATGCTGTCTGACCTATTGCTTCAACAAACCAGAAGACAAGTAATTGTATTTGGGTTAATAAAAGACATGAACTGACATTTGATTGAATTTTTTTAAGTGTCAAAGTTGATGGATCAAATTGATAAGCTATACTTGGGCAGAATTTTATTATATTTAATATCGGCTGTCTAGATGATAAACCATCCTTGTGTTTTTCTTTTTTACCTCAGTACTATGACCAGATAATTTGGGGGAGGGGGGCTGTCTTGTGCATCTCTGGCTCCAATCCATTTGATGCCAGTAACACTCCACCCCCATTACCATAGCTGAGTGTATGCAGGCATTGCCACGGAACCCCTGGGCGAGTGAGGACCACCTCCCTTCCCCAACTGAGAAACACCAGTTTGTTGGTGTTAAAACATAAAAAGAGGCTTTGATGGGTTTTATACATGGGACATTTAAAAGGCTGAGCTGCAAATGGACAGTTCAGAAATATATCCCGAGTTCCTAGGTGGATTGGCTGGGATGTTTGCTCTCTGCAAAGAACTAGGGAATACACTACTGTTCGTTGGGCATGAACTCGAAATCAAACTGTTCATTAGTCCAGTTCGCACTGAGTGAAAGATAAGATGGGGCCGGAGACGAGGAGATTTCAAGCAGTATTTGATTGGTACTGTATCTTGTCCTTGGAGCTCAATTCAGAGAGGATTGTTTTGGTCCTACTCTTAAGTAAAAACGTTCATCTGAAATTAGTTACCTTCAGTGAAATTCCAGTAATTGCCTTTTACTGTATTAATACCAGAATTTCTAGTTTGAGGCATCTTAAGTTTTCCTATTTTGACAACTGCTTGGGCACTTACCAACAGTAGTGAATTCTGTTTAATAAAGCAAAACAAGTTCTATTAAAAATATTTAATCTATATTTTTAGTACAATTTTAAAATCCTGGGTCCCAAGAAGTCTTTGCTGGAACTTCATTTTCTTCATAACAGACAATTTTATCTCCCACTTTAAATTCTATCATTTCTTCATCCAAACTGAGACCACAATCCATTCCAGTTTTGATGACTGAAACGTCATCTTTGTGGTGTTTCAGGGAAGTTAATGAACCTTTAAAAAGATGAAAACAGTTCATACATTCAACAAATAAGCACTTCACTAGGTGCTATGTAGTCTGGTGTTAGAACTTGAGTGAGATGAACCAGGATAAGAGATTGCAGGCACAATCAAGAAAGAACGGGAGCAAGCCAATCTGATGCAGTGTGGAGGAGACATGCCTAGAAAATCAGTCTTTAAAGGTTTGAAAAACCAGATGGGACTAACAATCTTGGAATCAGACCCACTGAGAGGAAATCTAGCAATAAAGGAAAGATTTCAGGCAGTTACAGAGAACTGTAAGGTTTTGGTGACTGGATATGATATCAAAACAGATTTTGATGTTCCTTACCCTTCCAAATAATACCTCCGTTTCGGATTAACTTAAATTTTTTTTGCTTTTCTAGCTGTCCTTTTTGGACTCTGCAGCCAGCCACAGGAATTTTTTTCTTCCCTTCTGTTATGGAAAAGGTAGCTAGTATAGAAGCTTCACCTTTAGGAAGAAGAGAACATTATAGAAAGTAAAAGATTTAGACAAATACATAATTTCTAACATTTTGTAAGGTAGGAAAGGTGATAAAAATACAAACTCATGTAAAGAAATCCTGGTTTTCTTTGACTCCACCAACTTTATTTTCCTGACCAATATTAGAAATAAAAACCAGAAAATTCTTTGGGAAGAAAATACAAGTGTTTACCAAGAGAGTGAATAAAAGAAAACTGCGACTTTTTTTTTTTTTTGGCTGAGTAAAATGCACTACAAAGTGATAACTGGTAAGATTATTTAGTACAATTCCTGTCTAGAGCTTCATGAAAACGTAGTTTTCAGCTGTCCCTCGATAAATTTTCTAGTCTATCATCTAGATCACCTGATTTATTTTTAATATCATCACTGTTCATTTATGTACTAATTCTATGATCCAGCTTAACTTTTTCACGAACTGAAAACTAAATTCCAATAATGGTACGGTACCATACATTATAATATAATAAAAGAATTTCTTAGTGTTATTTGGTGCTTGCTTACTGCTGGGAACTCATAACTTAGCTTAACAAACTGCTCTTAGCACAAGAACATACAAACCTCTGTATGATCATGTTTAATTGGTGAACTGTGTAAAGGGTATTTTGGAGAGAGCGCCCTAAACTTTTTTTTTTTTTTTTTTTTTCCGCAGGAAGGGAGAGGGATAGACAGAAACGTCGATGAGAGAGAGACATCGATCATCTGCCTCCTGCACACTCCCTACTAGGGATGTGCTCGCAACCAAGGTACATGCCCTTGACCGGAATCAAATCCGGGACCCTTCAGTCTGCAGGCCGATGCTCTATCCACTGAGCCAAACTGGTTTGGGCAAGAGAGCTCCCTATACTTTTCCTATAATTTTCTGGGTATTTAAAACTTCTATCAAAACAAAAAGTTTAAAATATCTGTATATGGGGAGGAAAAAACACATAAAATGATTCAGTCATCCTAAATTTAGCCTTTAATCTGGCCAAGGATTAAGCTAGAGAATCTTTTAATATTCAATATTTAAATGTGAAGTAAATTTTTTTCTCATGGTAGATGTCTGCCAGCTCCAGAACAAAATCAATGGCTCCTTCATGACACCTTAATAATCTTTATGCCTCCCACCCTAGTCTAATTTGTTTCATAATTACTTGTTCATGTCTAAACTTGAGGGCAAGTTCTTACTGCCTTACATGCCTTGTATCTTCACGGCCCAAGTTTTTCAGAGGACAAGCGTTTATAATATATATGAAGTTACTCTGAATTCTCGTGTGGTATTCATTTTTCTAGAACACAGGCTATATATTAGAACAGTGAACATTTCAACAGTAAAATACATTTCCCCTAAACTTTACTTTCAAGTGTCATTTATAGCACTTTAGATATGAATGTTTAAAAGTAACAGTCAGGCTGAAACCGGTTTGGCTCAGCAGTAGAGCGTGGGTCTGCAGACTGAAAGGTCTCATGTTCGATTCCGGTCAAGGGCATGTAACTTGGTTGTGGGCACATCCCCGGTAGGGGGTGTGCAAGAGGCAGCTGGTCGATGTTTCTCTCTCATCGACGTTTCTGGCTCTCTATCTCTCTTCCTTCCTCTCTGTAAAAAATCAATAAAATATATTTTTAAAAATAATAATAAAAAATAAATAAAAGTAACAGTCAGTGAACACTCACCTACTGTGTGTTCTTCCACAATGGAGGGCAATCTGCTGTTCAATTCTTCCTGCAAATCTTCAACAAGACGGTAAATGATTTTGTGAAGTTTAATTTTTATTCCTTTCTTTGTAGCTGTCTCCTGGATAACTTTGCTTGTGTTCACATTGAAGCCATATATAACACCTGGCAATCAGAAATAATATAGTCAATAAAATAGCACAACTATTGCACAAACAGTTTGTCTTTTGAATAGAAACTCAAATCTAAATTGTTATATTTCCTTCTATATAAATTAAAAGCTAGTTGGGGAGAGAAGAAATTCTATAACTTTTTTCTATTGAAAACTAGTAAATTTTCAAGTGAATAAAGCACTTTATAAATTCTACTAGAGGCCTGGTGCACAAAATATGTGCATCGGGAGGGGGGGCAGTTTCTCAGCCCCGACTGTACCCCCTCATAATCCAGGAGCCCTCATTAGGGAAAGTAGCTCTTTCCTAATGATTTCATTGATCACTCAACAGTGTTGGTGCTTTGCTAAGTGACCTACTTAGTTAAGAGGCAGTCATGAGTTCCCTTTTTGTGTATCATAAGTTCTACTAATAAATAGTCCCCTTTCCTTCTAGGCATTTAAACTAAAAGGAGCTTTTTATAGAAGATTGTAAAATTATCAGTGACAAGGAAAGTACTTGAATAAGCCGATTACAGTGTTAGGAATACTCATTAGTCTAAATTGGGTGGGGAACCAGGAGTAGGAAGAGGGGACAGAAATGGTACTTCCCTCAACCCCTCTCCCCCCCCCCCCCAAAAAAAAAAAATGACAAGTGGAGCTGCAGCTAAAACATTGCACAAACCATCCACCCCAATTGATAATTGATAGCGGGGACTCCACTGCAACAAAAGGCAGAAGCAAATGGTTCAGTGAGTTCTAGGGAACACAGTTAGACAGGAAACGGAGTCCTTACCATGAAATGCTTCAGCAAGGTTAACATCATTTTCACTAATATCACCCACACCAAAATGTACTAACTCAAGTTCACACTCATGTGAAGCATCATAGGTATCCACAATGTTCAAAATGGTCTCAACGGAACCATCAACATCACCTAAACGAAGCAACAGTATAAATCATTGGTGTAAAGAGTTAGGCATTTAAATGATGATAATCTACTTATGACCATAATAGGAATATTATTTACCACTAAATACACTTTTAGGTTTTGCATTATAAATATCTACTTAATAAAATATAACTAAATGTACATTTACACCAAAATCAGCTAGAAAAATGCTTACTAAGAAAATCTCCCCAAGAGGGAGAAGGTGAAAGGGTGAAAGAAGTCAGAAGGTACAAACTTCCAGTTATAAAAAAAATGTCATGTACTATCATAATACTGTGCTGCATATTTGAAAGTTGCTAGGAGAGTAGATTTTAAAAGTTCTCATCATGACCAGGCTGGTTTGGCTCAGTTGATTGAATGTTGTCCCGTGCACCAAAAGGAGATTGCCAGTTCAATTCCCAGTCAGGGGACATACCCCAGTTGTAGGTTCAATTCCTAGTCAGTGTGCATATAGGAGGCAACTGATCAATGTTTCTTTCACACATTGATGTTTCTCTCTCTCTCCCTCCCTTCCTTTCCCTTCCTTTCTGTATAAAATCAATAAAAAATATTTTTTAAAAGTTCTCATCACAAGAAAAAACATTGTAAATATATATGGTGATGAATGTTAACTAGACTTACTGCAATGAACATTTCGCAGTATATACAAATATCGAATCATTATGTTGTACACTTGAAACTAATATCGCATGTCAATTACACCTTAATAAAAACAAAAGTCCACCCCCAACACACTGAGATACTTTTGGCTTAAATTTAATTGCTCCAAATTAATTGTGAGAATGAAGAAATACAAATATTCCTAAAAGGAGTTAAGTAAAAATCTTTAAAAAGTTACCTTTAATAATTATAGGAAGCATATTTGAATCTCTTTCTACTTTCTCTTTTGGCCTTAATAATTTTTGGTTTTTTCTTTCTTGGTATTTTATAAACGATCTCTCCTTCCAGTGCAAATTGCCATACTTCTCCCGGTCCTTCCGGTGCGCCTCCTGGTGTTCCTTTCGCTTTTCTTCTACCGTTTCCAGGGCCTCTTTACTTTTCTTCTGCTCCTGCTCATACTTCCTCCAGTCAATAACTTCATGTGCCCTTGCCTTTACAGGGAAAAAAGACAGGCATTGTTTAACTAAAAGCTTTGTTTTTCTTTCACTCTGAAATTAACTCATATGAAAGTCCTAATTTTGTAAGTTCCAAGAAATTTATAAAACTTTCATTTGAAGGCTTTGTACACAAATGAAATTATTCAGTTTTAAAATCCTATCTCAAATTTTAAAAAAATTATACAGCCAAATTCTAAAAAGGCACCGCTGGCCTCCTCATAGTCTAGAATAATTAATAAAAAGTTAACATTAATTTGGCATAACATTATAGATTATTTAAAATCATTATGTTACAGCTAATATATAGGCATTAAGCTTTATATACCTCAGATTCTACTTCAAGAATCTCATCTCCTGCAGAAGGAAGGTCTCGCCAGCCGATAATTCCCACGGGCATGCTGGGGTAGGCCTCATTAACTGGTTTTCCATTTTCATCAAACATTAAGCGTACTTTTGCCCAACTCTTCCCAGCAACCAGAATTGAGCCTTTTCTCAATGTTCCTCTTTGAATTATTGCTGTAGTAACAGGACTAAAATGAAAATAAAGTTATTAATTATGTCATAATCAGGATATAATAGTACTTTCTTAGTAAAGCAAAGGTTATTTTTTCATTTAAAGAAAAATATGTTTTTGCTCTAGCTGGTTTTCTCAGTAGTTAGAGCACTGGCCTGATGGTCCTGGGTTCGATTTTGGTCAAGGGCATGTACCTTGGTTGCAGGCTTAATCCCCGCCCCGATCAGGGTGCATGTGGGAAGCAACCAGTCCATGTGTCTCTATCTCTCACAGATGTTTCTCTCCCTCTGTCACCCCCTCTCCCTCTCATTCTCTCTACAAAATCAATGAAAAAAAATCCTCTGGTGAGGATTATATATATATATATATATATATATATATATATATATATATATACACACACACACACACACATATATACACACACACACACACACTGTGTGTGTGTGTGCACGCACGCGCGCGCGTGTGTGTGTATTTATTGACTTTAGAGAGAGGAAAGGAGAGAGAGAAACAAATACTGATTGGCTGCCTCCCACATGCCCCTACTGGGGATAGAGCCAGCTATCTGGGCATGTGCCCTGACCAGGAATCAAATCGGTGACCTTTTGGTGCATGGGATGATGCTCAACCAACAAAGTCTCATTGACCCCCTCATAGTCTAGAATAATTAGTGAGCAAGAATATCTTTTTCAGACTTAAAAATACATAATATTATGTATTTACCACTTCTCAAGCAGTTTTTCATACTACAAAAACATTTCTTCACAACTGTTAAAAAGGTTTAAGCAATCCAAATGTCCATCCATGGAAGGAAGAATAAAGAAAATGCAGCATACAGATACATTAAATGAAATATTATACAATCTTTAAAAAAAAATCCTGTCACATGCTACAACATGGATGAATCTTAAGGTCATTTATACTAAGTGACATAAGCCAGTCAAAAAGAACAAATACCATATAATTCTACTCATGAAGTATCTAAAGTAGTCCAAGTCATAGAAACAGAAAATGGAAAGGCCAGGGGGAGTGTAAGAGAAAATTAGTGTTTTATGGGCACAGAGTTGAAGTTTTGCAAGATGAAAAAATTCTACATTCTATTGAACAACAATGTGAATATACTTAATACTATTGAACTATACTTTTAAAAATGGTTAAGATGGTAAATTTGATAGTTATATATCTTTACCACAAAAAACAACACATTTCTTATAAAAGTTTCTGGAGGCCCAATGCATGAAATTCTCACAGCCCTGACCAATTCCGCTGTTAGGCAGTTCACTCTAATTAGCATATTACGCTTTTATTATTACAGATGGTAGTGGAGGGTGCAGGTGGCTGAGTGTTCTGACAGAATCCTACTCTCTTTCTTTAATTTGTTAAGCAGTGAGAAGACTTCTTTTGCTGATAGGGAGGAAAATCAAAGACAGCAACATCATTCCAAAGACCTTCCGATCTACAGTAATAAAAGGGTAATATGCAAGTTGATCACGATACCCTCACAGTAACAACTGAACAGCAGGCTGCATGGGGTGACCAGGCCAGCAAGGGGGTTAGCGAGGGATGACCAAACGACTGACTAGCAGGGTGTGTGGGGCGACCAGGCCGGCAGGGGAAGCAGTGAGGGGTTACCAGGCCAGCAGAGTGGGGCAGTGAGGGGCAACCAAGTGAGCAGGGGTGGGAGTACCTGGGGGCGATCAGGCCAGTAGGGGCAGTAGTTGGGGGCGACCAGGTTGATGGTGGCGTGGGGGGGGGGCAATTAAGGGCAACCAGGATGGCAGGGGGACAGTTAGGGGTGATCAGATAGGCAGGCAGGTGAGCAGAGTTAGGAGCCAGTTGTCCTAGATTGTGAGAGGGATGTCCAACTGCCAATCCCAGGGATCGGGCCGAATCTGGCAGTCGGACATCCCCTGGGGGCCCCGGATTGTAGAGGGTCCAGGCTGGGCAGAGGGGAACCTCTCCTCCACAAGCACGAACTTCTTGCACCGGGCCTGTAGTATGTTATATTAATGGACAAGGCCATAAAGAATTTAGAAACCCTAAAATGCAACAACTGCTATTCATTCCAATTTATATTAGTCTAATCACTTTACCAGTTCAGTCGTGTCAGTGTGGGGGGAAAAAAATCAAACAAATCTAATACTGAAGTCCTGTAAATGTGACAGATAGATATTATGGTCTACTAATAACTGTATTTTATGTTCTCTGTGCTAGTGCAATAAAACACTTTTCAAAAAAAGCTTTGAAAATATTGTTCATTGACTAAACATAACATGCAAGAAAAATAATATTATATGATCAATTCTCAAAAACAATAGAACAAAATTATTAAAAAGCAAGCATTTTACTAGACCTACCCTCTTCCTTTGTCTGTGAAAGATTCTATAACTGTTCCTTCCACTGGACCTGTGGGGTCTGCTTTCAATTCTAATATTTCTGCAAGAGTAATCGTTGCCTCTGCCAAAGCCATCAAGTTATCCCCCTTGACAACAAAACAAGTTGTTAATGTACATTAATATCATCTGTAAATGTAAATACTAGGGTCAGAAAGTCAAATAATCATTGACAATTATATTTTTCTCTTTAAGCATTAAAAGCATAATTATTCAACTGTAAGGAAGGAAGGGAGGAAGAGATAAACAAGAAAACCTGATCCAGGGGGAGATATTGCAAAGAACAGTGGCTGTTTGTAAATACCCTTTCATAAACACATACTTCATTCGTTCTTTCTCTCCTCCATCTGTCTCTATAATTGTGATTTCTTCCTCTAACCCTCTTTACAATTATACTTCACATTGAAATTCTATCCAATGTGACAAGCTTTCACATCTTTTTTTTTTTTTTTTTTTTCATTTGATCCATTGTAACTACCCAACTGTGCAAAAATAAAAATTCACTTCACTTCCCTGGATCTCCTTTCTTTAGATGAAGGACTAGATTACATGATTCTTTCACCTTTCATGATCTATCTTTACTATGCTTTCTAGAGCTCCAAGATCACGCAACTGGTGATGGAACTGGAACTGACGGCAAGGGATCTTTCATTCTCCATCAGCTAAGAGATTGCTCACAGTTGTTAAGAGAGAATAAAGCAACAGAAACAACTGTAAACAAAATACTTTGCTTACCCATCTACTTATTCCTAGTATTTACTCTAATTTATAAAATGCCGCTCTGAAAAGCAATGCTGGGGTTGTTTCTTTGCATAATGCAGACCTCTGTATCTGCCTTGAAAAAGGAGGCCCCATCTTACTTCCTGTCCCTATTTCCCACCTCCCTCCATTCCCCAAGAATGGTCTCTGCCATGTCCCCAGATTTGCCTAAGCAGTTTTACATCTATCCATTCATCTGAAGGTATTTGGACAGAAAAGGTAACCATGTCTTCAAATGCTTTAATCTTACCATATGGCTTTCAGAGTGCAATAGCAATCTAGGTGTAGTGGAAAGATAAGAGAGTAAGGTGGCATTTTATGAGTTTCAATGACATGGTTATACTATTAAAGAAGGTATAATTTCTAAGAGTCTTGGAGGAAACAGAATTAGGAAAAATAAAGATAAAATGAGACTTAATTGAAAAAATGTGACCAAATACAGCACCATCCCTCAGTGAATGATCAGGGGGAAAAAGTCTATATTATGAGTAAATGATGGAATATGATAAGAATGGATAAAAATGGAAATTGTTACTTAGCAGCAACCTGCACAGGATAAAATAATTAGAAAATGCTGTCACAAAGCAGGTACTGAGCTTCCTTGGTGTTTTTTAAACAGAAAAGAATAACTGGTAATTTAAAAGAAAACAGAATTCATCATAAATAACATTATAAAACTTATAACAACTTAATTCCCCCCAAAAACTGAGTCAATCACCTACAAACTGAACCCAAATGTTTCCTCTTGGTATTAGTGAAATTTTTTTTTTGTTTAAATCTTTCTTAAATGCCTGCCCTAAAACCCTGATAGTTTTTCACTATAAAAGCAAGCACTTTTTATTAACAACTGTTTTTCATTTCTGCTTAAAACAGTCTTTAGCCAACTAATATCCTACCCACATCATTCACTGTTTATTCTTCTCATTCTAAGTATCTCCTAATAAGAAAAGCATTAGGTTTAGACCCCATTACCATCAGCTATGTAACCCTGGGTTGGTGACTGACCTTTCTGAGCCTAATTTCTAATCTGCCAAACCAGGAAGATACCAGTTTTGCCTAGTACACAGAGAATTCTTCAACAACAACAGAAATTACATATGTCAGAATGCTCTTTGGGCATAACGCACTGTAAGCATTCCCATCTGAACACGTCCTCCACGCGTTTACCGTAAGTGCAGAGACATGCACGGCCTGTACATCACCCCCGTAGTCTTCACACACCACATCGTAAGCTAGCAGTTCTTTCTTCACTTTCTCAGGATCAGCCTCAGCTTTGTCACATTTGTTGATGGCAAGGACAATAGGCACTGAAAGAGACAAAGTTAAGAAGAGTGCAAATGGCCCCTTTAGTCCCAGGTGTTCACAATGAAGATACCGATCTGTTCTGGCTTTCTCTTGACTCAGTGGATGTACTTACCTAACAAAAGACCTAAAAGACCCACTCTTTAGACCCACTGTATTCTACTTTCTCTCTCATTATTGATTCTATCTCTTAACCCCTCTTCCTTCTTCTCCGAAATCAATAAAAATATATATTTTTAAAAATCATTGTATTATAACCAACTGCTCTGTTATGGGAAATTTATCACTTTCTTCTTTTTATTATATTCCCTAAAATCATTAAGACCAGAGTCCATTCCATAAAGGCAATTTTGAGAAATTAAAAAAAAAAGAGTAACACTGAAAGCTAGAAGATCAGATGCCAAATAAACAGTAGAGACAGGAGTGTACTTATGCTCACAAGTCCCAAACCGAATCCTGCTACACTTTTCTAAGTAGTAACGTGTGTGGGAAAATAATTCAACTGTCTTTGAGCCTTATCTGTAAAAACAGCTACAGTCACCTTGAGATTGCCATGAGGATTAAATGAGCTACACAGGCACTAACCAGAACAGGGGCTCTTGCCACAGTACCTTGAGCATCTTTGGCATGCTGAATGGATTCCACCGTTTGTTTCATCACTCCATCATCTGCAGCTACAACCAGTATGATAATGTCGGTGACCTGAGCACCCCTGGCTCTCATCGCTGAGAACGCAGCATGTCCTGGAGTATCGAGAAAGGTTATCTTCTCCCCAGAAGGCAGAGAGACTGTGGAAACAGAAGTCCAAGAACACAAAGGACTCAACATGAAGAAATATATGTGACGTTATCAAACACAATTAATTCTTTAAAATAATTGTATTCCTTCCATTAATCTTAGTCAACAATACAGACCATCATTTCACAACAAAAAGTGATAACGTACCAGTGAAACCTGTAGGGTTTTCTTTGCATGTAATAATTTCAAACTAAAACTCTTCATATTTCTAGAATATAACTAATTTCTTAAATGCACCAAACAGTATCTATTCTGGAGAAAGAATACACTGAAGATTACACCCCTGCTTAGCAAACATCAGCTGCACAACTGCCTTGAATAACATAGGCTATTTCGTATACAATCGGTAGCTCAGGATTTGAGTCCAAAAGCCTTGTGTTTTGCCGAAACAGATTTGGCTCAGTGGATAGAGCATCAGCCTGCAGACTGAAAGGTCCTAGGTTCGATTCCGGTCAAGGGCATGTACCTTGGTTGTGGGCACATCCCCAGTAGGGGGTGTGCAAAAGGCAGCTGATCGATGATTCTCTCTCATTGATGTTTCTAACTCTATCCCTCTCTCTCTCTCTGCAAAAAAATCAATAAAATATATTAAAAAAAAAAAAAAAAGCCTTGTGTTTCAACTTTGGCTTTGCCACTTACTAGCTGTGTACCTTAATCAAGTAACCTAACTTTAACAAGCCCCAGCCTCCTTGCCTGTAAGTAGGAATATTAATATCTACCGAATGATATTTTTTGAAGATAAAAAAGATAAAGTACATAAGGTGCTCAGCAGATGCTAGGTGCTCAGTAAAGGGTGGCTATTATTTATTGTCACAGCCTAGCATTGAAGAATTTAAGCTCATTAATTAAGAATGGGTTGGTATGAAAAGATAACATAATTTTCTTCTTACAGAATTTATAAAATAAACTTTATTAACCACTGGCTCTACATTTCATCAAGCCAATGATTTTAACCTTTAGCCTTTCCTTTTACTTTGAAATTGTATGTTTCATACTAGGTTTAAGAAAGAATATATGGAGTTCCCAGACACAGTGTAAGATAATCTGTGTTCATACCAAGAAAGGCACCGATGTGCTGAGTGATGCCTCCGGCTTCCATCGCTGCCACTTGAGTTTTTCGCAGTTTGTCAAGTAACGTCGTTTTCCCATGATCAACATGGCCCATTATAGTTACCACTGGGGACCTTGGGGTTAATAAAGCTGGGTCTGCCTGGGGCCTACAATTAACAGCAAAGGAATTTCATTTCTTAAACATCAGAACAGTTGATAGCCAGTGAATTGATTTGCAGTTATCAATGTGAACTGCCATTAACGATACAACCTAACATTCAGCATTCATCAGATCAAGGTATTTTCCTCTTCTATACATACGACTTATGACAAAACACATGACTACACACCTACAGTTGACATATTCATAACAACGAGCAAAAAATTTAAGATTCAGGATCAATATAAATTTAGAAAAATAATCCTTAAGAGTTTTATAATAACCTGAATATACTAATGCTTTAAGCACTTCAAAGAAAAGTTTAACATCATTTTAACTACAAAAGAAATCTTAAGGCAACCCTTTCTATTAAAAAGTGTGACTAAAACTATGTGGTCTTCTTCCCCCAACATATATTGTTATGATTTACCTTCTCACGGCATCTTTATTTTCTCTGACTTTGTCCTCTTTTAGTTTGCTCCACTTTAACTTCATTCCTGCCTTCTTTATCACTTCTTTGACCCAGACTTCATCTAACTGTGAGTCTGCTTCTAGTGAATCTATGTCCATAGTAGTGTTTAATAAAGCTTCATATATAAAATCTGGGTGGAATAGATAAAAGCTTTTAGGTTCATGAAACTAAATGTTCAGAAAGTGACCTCTATTAATAAATGTCCATATAAGCAGTATACTCAATCAGAGAAATAACTATATATAAGCTACCTGTTTCTCTAATGGTAATAAATCACAAAGAAGCTAAAAAGGAAATGATCTTTAAAATATGATGCATATATATAAATTGGAATTTATTTATATAGAGTGCCTAGAAAGTCTTAAAATCCTATATAGTAATAAAGAGCTACTATGCAAATGGCCATCACACTATAATGACTCAGACACTCAACACTGGGGAGAGAGGAATGGGGACCAGCCAGGCACAAATGAGCTTGCAAGAGAGGAATGGGGACCAGCCAGGCACAAATGAGCTTGCGAGAGAGGAATGGGGACCAGCCAGGCTGCAGCCTGGGAGAGGGACAAGCCGCACGCCCCAAAGTCCTGGGTGCCAGTGCCTGGGGCTGTGGCCCAGAAGAGGGACAAACTGCCTGCCCTGCAATCCTGGGCACCTGCGGCCCAGGCAGAGCTGCCCACCCATGGTCCCCTGTGGCTGTGGTTGGCCCGCGTGAAGCTGGCCTGGTTCCTGGGTGCTTGTGGCCGACCAGAGGGAGAGAATTCTGGATGCAGGGCGAGGCAGAGGCAGTTAGGGGTGATCATGCCAGTAAGGGAGCAATTGGGGCGGTCAGGCAGGCAGATAGAGGTGGTTAGGGGTGATCATGAAGGCAGGCAGGTAAGCGGTTAGGAGCCAGAGGTCCCAGATTGCGAGAGGCAGTTGGACATCCTCCAAAGGGTCCCAGATTGGAGAGCATGCCGGGGGGGCTGAGAGACCACCCACCACCCCTCCCCCCCATGCACGAATTTTGTGCACTGGGCCTCTAGTTTATAATACATATTTACTTGTTTTTCTTGGTCTCCATTTTATTTAATGTGCTTTTTGTTTTCAGGGAAGCGCAAACATAGTTCCCCACTACCACAAATTATGCTGCCAAGTTCCCACATTTGGGAAATTCTCAGAGGTTAGCTCAATGAACAAGCCTCGCCCTGGGAAAACCACCTTTGGGGAATCATAGTATCTCCCCTGCCAGGTAAATATTAATGTGCTTTGTTTTAATTTCAAAACAAAGCACATTAATATCGTGGATGAAAAATAAATGTCCCTATTATGATAATGAAGTTAGTTGTTTTATGTTTTCAGACTATCGGTCACCTTATAAATATACTAGAAGCCCACACCCTAACTGGTTTGGCTCAGTGGATAGAGCATCGGCTTGCAGACTGAAGGGTCCCAGGTTCAATTCCGGTCAAGGGCATGTACCCTGGCTGCAGGCACATCTCCAGTAGGGGGTGTGCAGGAAGCAGCTGATTGATTTTTCTCTCTCATCCATGTTTCTAACTATCTTTCTCCCTTCCTCTCTGTAAAAAATCAATAACATAATTTTTAAAATTAAAAATAAAAACAAATATACTAGAAGCCCAGAACATGAAATCGCGGGGCCCTGGCCACCCGCGCCAGTTTTTGTCGTTACGATGTTAGGGCCACAGGCCTTTTATAATATAGAGTTTGGAAAATATGAAATAAAATCATCCTTACATAACCAAACCATTACACTAAAAGAACATCCTATTCAATAATGTGCTGGTAAAAGTTTACTCACAAGGTTCTCAAAAAAAAATTTCTCCGATTTATTGTATTTCCTTATTTCTATGGTGCAAATAACAGTTCTTGAGAGACTGTTTGGTTTGTGAGAGAGAAAAGCATAGGCTCTTTAGCCAAAATCCCTGGGTTCAAATCCTGACTCTCTCATGTGCCAAGTGTGAAACCCTGGGCAATGATGTATCCTCTCTATGCCTCAGTTTCTCAACCTATAAATGGGAGTAATAATCATACCTACCTGTAGGTGCACTGTGAAAATTACAGAGTTCATAAATAAGTAATGATACAAAGCAGCAGTTCAATGAATATCAGTTATTATTTTTAACTCTTTCCTTTTTCCAAGACTCTGCTTTACTTGTCATTTTATTTTGCTACAATCATAGGCTATTTTTGTTTACTAAATTTTAATGTCAGGTTATAATAATAAAGACTCATTCTGGCCGAAACTGGTTTGGCTCAATGGATAGAGCGTCGGCTTGGGGACTGAAGGGACCTGGGTTCGATTCCGGTCAGGGGCATGTACCTTGGTTGCGGGCATATCCTCAGTAGGGGGTGTGCAAGAGGCAGCTGATCCATGACTTTCTCTCATTGATGTTTCTAGCTCTCTATCTCTCTCCCTTCCTCTCTGTACAAAACCAATAAAATATATTTTTTTAAAAAAAGACTCATTCTGTTCCCACAATCCTAAATTGGTAATAAATACATCAATGGTGTAACGAGGGATAAATATGACTATCATGCTATATATTTACAAATAGAAATAGTACTAGAAGTTGTAGTTAATACTATGAATATTTTTATGCAGACACTACATGTAATGTCAACATTAGGGGAAAAGGGAAGTCATAAAATTATAGAAAACCAAAGGGAAAGTAAATGAATACAAATATGGTCCCTCAATCCAAAAAAAATTATTTGGACTTAATCTAATATCTCACTAAATTTCTGAGAAAGAATGGTTAGTTCAGATAAAGTCATTTCCATTTTTACTAGAAGTGAAATGTTAGAGAACTATGTTTGGCAAAGAGCCAATAAATGAATTATAGTTTGTGACTTACAGTGAAGGATACTGTAAGGAAAACTTTTTATTTTTTTAAAAACATTTTATTGATTTTTTACAGAGAGGAAGGGAGAGAGATAGAGACCCAGAAACGTTGATGAGAGAGAAACATCGACCAGCCGCCTCCTGCACAGCCCCCACCAAGGATGTGCCCGCAACCAACATACATGACCTTGACTGGAATCGAACCCGGGACCCTTCGGTCCGCAGACTGACACTCTATCCACTGAGCCAAACTGGTTAGGAAAACTTTTTAAACTACCAGTCTAGTTTTCATACTGGAATGCCTCAGTCTCATTGCAAATAAGATTCCAAGTATTCCACGTTCCCATTGTTTTTCCTTATAAAATTCTGTGGCTCACCTGTGTCCTTTCCCATTGCTCTAGCCAGCTCCTCAACAGTCATGCCAATCCATACCTCCACCTCCTTTTTGGATTTTGTTGAAGATAACTGAGACTTCCGCGGCCTTACTTCCTATTAAAAAATCAGGACGCACAAAGAAGCAACAGCTTTTAAGTGACAATTTATCTTTATTCTGGAATATCTACCACAATCACAGCTTCTATTTCTAAGAATTAACACTCCCTTAAGCAGGTAAATCTCAGACTACATTTCAAAATCCTGCATCCTTCATTCACCGTTATAACACCAATTTCCAAGAAACCAGATTCATCAGCATTACAGAACAACCAGAACTTCCCTTCTTCACAAAGATGTATTACCTGGAGTGTAGCATTATGGAATAAAGAGTCTGTAAATGACAAAACACCAAAAATGGACTTCTACTCATGGCTCCAGGCACTTTCATGTCAGACCAAACAGTACGGTAATGCTAGAAATCTACAACTACCTTCTTGGTGACCAGAAGCCTATATTGAGAGAAAGCGGCTCCGAAGAGTGAGTCTGTGTGCCGGGGCCCGGTGCACCGCTCAGCTGGCCGCCCTGGGGAAGCAGATGCGAACACACGCCGCCATCGCCCTGAGGTTCTCCTTTGACCCAGGCTGTGCAGCTGTCTACAGACAGTGTGACATCGGAGCAAGTTCTCCAACTTCAGCAACTGCTGGTTCATGTTCCTCCTAGGAAAAAAGGTTTAAAGTAGTATTTTGGTTAGTATTTAAATCAGGTTAGCAGATATGAATTGGCTATCTCCTCTACACAAAGAAAGGTACGAGAGTTACACTGAATGAAAGTGGGTTCCCGCCTGAAAGAGCTCCCAGTCTAGTCAGAGTTGGGATTCCATACTAACTACTCTCTAGATATTAAGGATTATTATTGTCAATGTTCCTACTACGATAGAACTGAAGTAGAGTAACAAAATTATAAAGGGCTTTTTTTTCACTCTGGAAAACCATCAGCTAATCAAATTAAAAACAGAGTGATTTTTCCAAAATGCAAATATGAACTCATCAACTCTCTGCTAAACAACTACCGAGGGCCCCACAGTTTAATGTGCAATTTCAAACATGCTATATCTGCCCTCTGCTAGCCTCACTTCATTTCTTACACTCTTAATAGTCCCCTCACTCCTACCTCCCAGGCTTTAGTTATTCTTCCCTCCTTTAATCTCCAACGATTTGTCATCTATTTTTAAAACTTTTTTATTATTTTATTTTTTTTCTTTGAAAAATATATTTTATTGATTTTTTACAGAGAGGAAGAGAGAGGGATAAAGAGTTAGAAACATTGATGAGAGAGAATCATTGATCAGCTGCTTCCTGCACACACTTTACTGGGGATGGGCCCAAATCCAAGGTACATGCCCTTGACCGGAATCGAACCCGGGACCTTTCAGTCCGCAGGCCGATACTCTATCCACTGAGCCAAACCGATTTCGGCTATTGATTGATTTTAGAGAAAGGAAAAAAGAGATCAATTTATTATGGCACTTATTTTTTTTAAATATATTTTTATTATTTAAAAAAAAATTTTATTGAGAGAGAGAGAGATAAATTTGTTATGCCACTTATTTATGCATTTATTGGTTGCTTCTTGTTATGTGCCCTGACCAGAAGTCGAACCCACAACCTTGGTGTATTGGGACTACGCTATAATCAACTGAACTACCTGGCCAGGGCCTGTCAACTAATTTTGAACCTTTGCATAAACTCCCTCTACTTACAATTGTCTTTCAACATTCACCAGCCTCCAGGGAGTGTGTTTGAGGTAGTTGATTTATAGTTTAATAAGCCGGAGTCCCTTCCTTCAGAGTTCACAATCGCCTAGTGTTCCCACATAATGATTCCCAGGCACATTACACACCTCAAGAGAGCCACATTTAAAATACCTTCTTCAGGCACAAGTCCCTGGACTAAGAACTAAAGTGTGCTCAGGAAGCACGGGGCTCCTTAGTAAATAAGAAATAATCTTAATGAGCCGAAAACCAGATTTCACAAGGACACACAGGAGGAAAGGCCCTGCACAGAGATTAACCAAAGCACAGAATTAGAAAAACACATTGGGGGCAATAATCCACATATCAAAACTGGAAGAAACCTTACTTGTTACTTAATTCCAAGCCCCTCATTTTACAGAAAAGAAAAACGAAGCCCAGAGAGGAAAGGGAAAAAAAAAAAAAAAAAAAAAAAAAAAAAAAAAAAAAAAAAAAAAAAAAAAAAAAAAAAAGGAAAAGAGGGAAGGGGGAAAGAGGGAGGGAGGAGAAAAAAGAACCTTCTCGAATGTCATACCGCTAGTTAATGGCAGTCAGACCAAAACCAAGGCTTTCTGACACCCAATTCGGCGTTCTCTCGCCGCTAGGAAATTCATGGAACCTGGAAAAGGATGTTGGAAATATCCAACATGCAGTTGAGCTGGTGGAAACGTCTGAATGTAGCCTTGGAACTTATCTGAAAGGTAAAAGAAAGTCACTGCAGAGAAAGCCCGGATCTGGCTGCCTCGAACCCGAACCCAGAGCGCCTTGGGCACAGGGGAGGCTGAGACTGGGGTCCGCACCTGCCGCGGCGCTCCCGGCTGCAGACCGCTTCGGGAAGCCTGGAGGAGGGTCATGCAGGGCAGAAATGCATCCTGCAAAAGCGCAATGTTTGTGACTGGTGCCGCTGACACTTCAGGTCACACAACACGCGCCACTCACTGAGCTCCTGCACCAGGCGCAGATCACCTTCTGGACCTGAGGGAACTGACGGCCGGTCAGTCCGTCTCCGAATTGGTCCCCACTGGGCTTCCGGTGCCGCCGGAAGCGATTCTTCCCCGAACTTAGAGGTCCGAATCCGGAATAGTCGCCCTTGCCGCCAGGACCCGGGGGTGTCTGGTTCCCCCGGGTGGGTGGGCGGCGCCCAGCGCGGGAGGCGCTAGTTCAATCTGTATCCTCTTCACCGGGTCAGTGCGCCGGTAATCGCTTCTGCAGGCCGCTTCCTTTTCTAGAAGTTTATTTCTGCTCTTCTGGGGCTGTGAGCGCCTACCCTCCGAGGAAAGTTAAGCCCGGAAATGTGGGAGAAAGGATAGGTTCCTATAAGACACATACAAGGAAAAAAAATACCAGGGAACGTGGGCCTGACTAGTCAGGCATTGCATGGTTTGAAAATTTTTGCAGCACACCGGTTGAAAATCGCTGAGCTCTTGTGCTGGAGGTGGTGAAAAGGGAAAGGACCTGAGAGGCAATTGTGATGGATTAGCTGTGGGGTGGCTGGGCGGTGGTGGTGGTGGGGAGTGGAGGTGGGTTTAGGGGAGGGATTCATGTCTTGCATAAGTGATGGATGGTAGTTCAATCCCAAAGAGATTTCTAGGTAGGCAATGTGCTGGATGCACTGCCAATTTTATCTATTTCCATTCTTTTGTAGCTGCCACGGAGATCCTACCCTTGGTTAATGTTTTCCTACTTTGGGACATAATTTACATTGCTTAGGTACAATCAGATTCCCACGATTCTTTCCTTGCTTACTTTCTGGTCACCATGATTGGATTTGGATATTTATTCTTCAAAGTCTTCAAATATTTAAGGACAATCACTCGGGATATGCCCTATGTTCCAAAGGGTGATCTTGTTATTAATTACTTTCTATAATACTTTCATTCTTAGAGGAAAAGCTAATGAAAAAAAAAAGATTTCACAGACGAATAAATAACAAAAGTTAACTTTCAGAAAGGGTAAAGTGAAAATCATAATTAAAAAACCGAGAAGTCTTAAAAGGATAGGGATTGCCCCCCAACTCTCTCCCTGAACTTTCTCCCTGATGGTTCGCAAACTCGGGGAGTTTCCCTGGTGAAATCTGAAACCCGTCCCCCTACCCAGAGGGACAAGCAGAAAGCGAAGAGGCAGGCCGGTCCATACTGGAAGGTGACAGGTGTACTAAGCCGGGGAACTTACTCAGGCGGCTTGTCGTGGGGTGGCTGCAGCACAAGACCTCCATCCAGATAGTTTACACAGAGGCCATAGCATGGCTCCGTCGCCTTCTGTCCGGATGGTCTCAACACATTACTCTTTCAAGGTTGCTTCCCTCAGGTGGCAGCCTTCAACATCAAACTGTCATGTTCTCTGATCGTCCCTCCGCGCAGGTGCTGAAAGTCTGCGTCCTGGGACCTCTTTCAGGAACGCGCGGGGCGGGGCGCAGGTAGACGGCGCCGCCCAACCCGGAAGGTGCCGCCCACTCCCGGAAAGGCACCGCCCACCCGGAAGGTGCCGCCCACCTGGAAGGCACCGCCCGCCCGGAAGGCACCGCCCACCCCCGGAAGTCGCCGGCACTGGGCTCCCAGAGGCCGCCCCGTTTCCCCGTAGGCGCCCTCCTCCACGTCCAGAGATGCCAGGCACTTCCTCCCCGCCTGTCGCTCCCGCCCGCCACGACAGCAGCATGGCCGGTGCCGAGTTGCGGGCAGCGCTCGAGCAGAGGCTCGACGCCCTCGCCATCCGCACGGAGGTGGTGGAGCACCCGGAGGTGAGAAGCCGCCGCCGGGACGGCCGGGCCGGGCCGCAGGAGCCACCGGTGCCGGGGGAGGGAGTGTGTCCCAGGAACGTCCATTTTAGGCATTCCCCAGATTCCAGTGCGGAGAGGACCCGACAGCATCAAAGGCCTCTGGATTTGGGGCCATGGTGTCATATCGAGAACTAGTGCCACGTGTTGAGAACTTGTGCATTGTGAACTGTTGTGAGATGCTGCTCAGTTTGTCCACTTTATGTGAAAAGTCACCACGCAGAAAACTGTCTCTGCAGTAGCTACGGTGCATTATACACACCAGCAGGGCACCAGGGTTAGTTTGGTATTTTTAACATGGTTTAATGTATATGAAGATTTGCAAATATTTCACAGAACCAGTTGTAACTTGAGAGCTGTGGGTACATACGTTTTTTTTTACCCAAAGCTTCAGTAACAGCTAATGGTAATAGGTACGGTAATCTCCAAAGGGTAGAGAAATCCATTAGAAGTCTTCTCAACTTTATAAATTTAACATCAAAACTATCATTTTCTCGGATCCTCTTCCCTCCCATATAGTCCGCATACGCTCCTTCTTGACCTGTGCATACTGCCAGCTTTCTGATGTTCTCTATTAGTCCAGGGTCTAATAGAGAGCCTGCCCCCACCCTCACCCTCCCTGTGGCTATGTACTTGTAGATTGGAGGTTGTCACCTGATCTGGATGTCATGGGAAGCTAAGGAATCTGTGCTGTTATAAACTTTCAATTTAAAGAAAACAAAAAGAATTTTAAGAATATGAGGGCTTGGTCAGTCAGCACACTGGAATAGAGAACCGACCTAAGATAAATTATTTGAGGTCCTGATATGAGTAATCGAGCTGGTAAAGACTTGTATTTCATAATGGGTGAAATCCAGAGCATTGAATACTTCCTAAACTTGCTGTGTTTTTTTCCTCCCTAACGTTGCTGTTTTCACCCCTCAAGCAAAACATAACTGTGTATATATGCAGTGTGTGTATACATGCATATTATTTTTAAATTTCTTATGTGTCATTTTACAGGTGTTTACTGTTGAAGAAATGATGCCTCACGTCCAACATTTGAAAGGAGCACATAGCAAGAACTTATTTCTTAAAGACAAAAAGAAAAAAGGCTATTGGCTGGTGACAGTTCTTCATGACAGACAAGTTAATTTAAATGACCTTGCCAAGCAGTTAGGTGTCGGGAGTGGAAACCTGCGGTTTGCCGATGAAACAGCCATGCTAGAAAAGCTGAAGGTTGGCTCCGGCTGTGCCACACCCTTGGCACTCTTCTGTGATGACGGAGATGTGAAATTTGTCCTGGATTCTGCTTTTTTGGAAGGTGGGCATGAAAAGGTATACTTTCATCCAATGACCAACACTGCAACCATGGGGTTGAGCCCTGAAGACTTCCTTACATTTGTGAAGAAGACAGGACATGATCCCATAATACTGCATTTTGATAAAAACTAATTGGACTACTGTTTAGAATACATGTACATATGAAAGCTGTTTTTCTTATTTCTAATTTGTAAGAAACATTAAAAATAAGAATATTTAGCACCTTGCTTTGGTGACTACTTAAGTCATTTTAGGAGGGATATTTCATCTTAAAGCTGTTTTTAAAAAGATATATTGAGGTAGTGTTAGCTCAGATCCCTCTCCTCTCCCCACTCTTCACTCCCCATGACTCATTACAGAAATGCCCTCAAAAATTAAGAATAAGCCAAAACTGGTTTGGCTCGGTGGATAGAGTATCGGCCTGCGGACTGAAGGGTCCCAGGTTCGATTCCGGTCAAGGGCATATACCTTGGTTGTGGGTACATCCCCAATGGGGGGGTGTGCAGGAGGCAGCTGATCTATGTTTCTAACTCTATGTTTCGCTCATTGATGTTTCTAACTCTCTGTCCCTCTCCCTTCCTCTCTGTAAAAAAATCAATAAAATGTTTTTTAAAAAAATTAAGAATAAATTAACACCAAACCAAGATTAACATATCTTTGTTACTTATTGTACTTGAAAAAACAGCATATATAAAATTATGCATATGATAGTGCACATATAGGGAAAAATTAAGAGGAATAGAAGTATATTGTTGATAATGGTTCTCTTTGGGGAATGAGGAATAAGGCAAACTGGCCAGCAAGATAATTAAAAAGGACAAGAGCTAAACATTTGTGTTACTGTTTTTAAAAGTGTTTTTTCTTGCCCTTCCTGGTTTGGCTCAGTGGATAGAGCATAAACCTGTGGACTAAACTGCACTTGATTGGATTCATCAAGGACATGCCTGGATTGTGGGCTCTATCCCCAGTAGGGGGCGTGCAAGAGGTAGCAGATCAATGATTCTCAACAGTAATGTTTTTATGCCTCTTCCTCTCTGAAATCAGTAACATATTTTAAAAAATAGAAGTGGTTTTTCTTCAGGGAAAAAATAAGATAATCTTTTTTTTAAAAGTATCTCTTTAGAAAAGTTTCATCTAGAAAAACTCAAAATAGGGATGGAAAATGTACTCATTTATACCATTGAAATTCTAAAACGCAGAATATACACAGGCCATTGGAAGGATTTATTTAGTCTTTGTTCAAAGGTTAGAAATGTGAATATGAACAAGTTTCTTCTGTCTTCTGGAATATATTGAATTTTACTCATCACTTTTTCAGTTATGGTATATGAAAAGTGTAAGATGCCAGGATTATATATTGTTACTTGTTACATAGAAGGTATTTAAAAAATAGAGTGAGGAAAATTGACATTTTTTTCACCTCACTTAAAACCTTTCATCAGTTGAGGGTCTGGCATTGACTAGACTACAGAAATAGGCTATAGGTCTTGTCACAAGAATTCTCATTTTCCTTTAAGTTTGACCACTCAGAAAATAATTTCCCCTTGGTAGAGATACTGTATTTAATTTATACTAATTTGTGTTACTGAAAGGCAAAGTACAAGTAAAAACGTGTCATTTATTGTTATACCAGAGGCCCAGTGCACAGATTTGTGCACCGATAGCGTCCCTCAGCCTGGCCTGTAACCTCTCGCAATAATCTGGGACCCCTCAGGGGATGTCGGAGAGCTGGTTTTGGCCTGATCCCTGCAGGCCAGGCTGAGAAACCCCACTGGTGCACAGTGCACCAGGCTTCTGATATGCTTACAAGATCTTTAATTTCTTCCTACCCTGCCCCGCTCCCTCTGAGATTCATCAGCTGTTCCATGTTTCCATGCCTATGTGCTGAGTGTCTGCCCCCTGGTGGTCAGTGCGCATCATACTGATGGTTGAACAGTTGCTTAGACTTTTCTATATGTGGATGATTAGAAGCTATAAGTCTATGGTAGAATTTTTATAAAATATAGAACAGATTTAAGAGATGTGGAATAATAAATACTTCATAAATGATAACTTAATCCTGATTTGCCATGTTAGTTTTTACCTACTGTATCTCTAAGAGTAAGTTTTAGGTTGCTTTGCATATAAAATAAAGATTTAATGAATAGATCCAAAGACCTTAGATAAGTGGTCTAATTGCCCTTCCCCACCTCTGACAGAAACAGTTCCAGAAAGAATGACCTGCTCAAGGACACAAGGATGGTTGCCATCTCTAATATTCTACTTCCGATGGCTATGAGTGAAGATGAGATACTGATTTGTACAATCTATGGTTTATTGATTTTTTATTTTAGAAATATTGATTTGTTGTTCCACTTATTTATGCACTTATTGGTTGGTTCTTGTATGTGCCCTGTCCAGGGATAGAAGAGAACCATAACCAACAAACTGAGCAACCCAGCTAGAGCTGAAAAATCTCTCAATGTATTTAAACCTATTTTGGAATTGACAACTGATACTCTTTTTCTCTTTCTCCCAAAACCTCTAAACCCCATCCCAAAATGATTAGGACACAATCATTTAAATAAGGTTATTGGTTATGTGAAAATTGGTTTTTCAGGGCAAAGGGAAAGGAAAGAATACTTGGCTAAATCATATTTTACAAATTTTAAATGATTACTAACCATTTGTTATAAAAATCACCTTTGCTTTATTTTTTATATCAGTTTGATAAGCAAATGTTAAGCCAACCTAATTTTTTTTAAAAAGTTAAAAACTAAAATAAAAAAGTGATGTTTTTAAAAAAAGATAAACAATGGTGTCATTATAAACTGGATTTCTGTGGCTGATATTAGGTACTGCCAAACATTTTGCCATTCAACTTCAGATCCCTCAGTAGCATTACTCTAAAAGGAAATGTTACAGCTTTTATATTATTTGATTTGGTATTTAATAACATTTATAAGTACAATGGCAAACATCAAAAGAGAAACCTTAGTAGAAAAGAAAAAGACAATTTATAACCAGGTTTTGTTAATGGATGTTATAAGTGCAACTTTATCTATAAGCATTCCATTTAAGGCATTTTCATTGTCCAAATATTTCAACATGTACATCAAGTTTGATATTATAAAATGGGCTCCTTTTGTATTATTCATTCAAGATTTAAAAAAAAAAATCTCAGGACTAAGTATAGCAAAAAATAAAAATAAAAAATGACCACTTTTCTCCTAAGTAACTTAAAATACAAGTCATTTAGCATACATTATTCCGCATTGTAATCCAGATTTGGTACAATATCTTTTTCACTTCCTGACATAAACTGTTAAGACAGTGCAGGCTGTAATACTTCATTTGTGAGGTGGCTGTAATTCCGTAATGTGCACAGTGATTTTTAAGTTGGCTCTTACCATGCCTTGCATGAAAGGTGCTACATACAAACCTGTTTTGTGAACTCTTTGGTAACCACCAGTTCAAAAACTTGGACCAAAATTTCCACATGGCCAGATCTGAAGCACTTTATTGGAGTTCTAGGCCAAAACTCTTACCCTGTATATTAAATTCTTCGGTGTTTTTTGGGGGTAGGGACAGGTGCGGGGGTTAGGTGTCGATTTAGAATAAAACCAGATAATTAAAAGCATGTCAGGCTCCAGTAAAAAAGCCCCAGTTAGTTTCTAGTTAGCTAGACTATTTTGTTTAAGGGAAAAGAGTGACTTCCTACTAAGTTTGCTTCCAATGATGCCTTTTGGAGAAAGTAAAATATTCGTGTGGCTATTATTTAGTCCTTTCTTGAATTGTTATGAAAAGGGGGATGAATATAATTGAGACCATTCCTACTTTTGCAGTTTCAAGTGTTCCCTTGGTTGTTGCTTTAATCGGACTTTCTCACAGCCAGCCTACGCAGATTCAGTACTTTACAGGCTGCCTTAGCGTTTCCTTGAAGGGATAATGTGCTGCTTATGTGAGCAGCTCTCTGTTTTAGGACATCTGTATCCTGGAGAGGCCAAGCTATGATATCAGTCACCCCCATTGGGCCACCTCCTACTCATTAATTTCGATTTTCAGTAAGTGTCCGGGGATGTGTTCTACTTGTGCAAATTAGAAGCTAGTTAATATAAACCTAAATTACTCACTGTATTTTAGCTAAAACATAGTTTCTATATTTATTTTCCATTTATCCACCTAAAAATGAGTTTACATTTTTTACATGTAAGTGTCTCCAGACTGCCATGATGCCCAATGATCAATTTGATACTTGAATCTAGGGAGTCATGATGGAGAGAGATCTTTCAAAGTCTAGAGAATACGTTTTAAATATGTCTGTTGTGTAATAACTATATTTTAGTAAGAATCCTTTGTATTTACACTACACAGCACCTTTCAGCCAAGACTTTAAAAGTGATTTAACTTTACAGCCCTATTTGGTGGCAAAGCCTAAGTTAAATAGTGGCTAAGTTAACCAAGTTTGCTAATTTCCATTTAGTTTATGGTCAACTATACATTCTGTCTTTTCATTAATGGTCTTTCTGAAAGTAGACTCTGATCACAACATAGCTACTGGCCTACCCCCTCCAAAAAAGATAAATATACACGAGAGAAAAAAAGGTGGAGGAGGGAGAAAAGAAAAAGAGAAGGAGGGATGGAGGGAGGGAGAGCCAAACAACACATTTCTCATGACATCTAGGTTAGTTATAAACACACAGTTCACATAAACTACACACAAGAATATGAATTATTCCAAAAAGATTTTTAGAGCTGGTAATGAAAGCATAAGAAGTACACTGTTAAAATTAAAAAATCAATATCTTCCTCACTTAAGACCTTTAAGATTATTCTGATATTTATGTTAAATAATGAATTTGCATTAACAGGTATCAATGCATTTTTTTGATTTTGTAAGAAAATAAAACTGTGATATAAAATTGGAACTACAAAAAGAACTGATGTTTCCCTGGGTTAAATTAATTAAATCTACTTTTTTGTGCTTCTTTAAAATGTTTAAGGTAACAAATGCATACAAATATTTCAAAAGTACCAATAATAGTTACCAACTTTAATGTAATATTATAAAGGACAAAACCAGAAAAATTCTTATTAAGTGATAATCTTAAGAATAAGTGAGTTCCTGGCAAAATGCAGATCATAGTAAGTTATTTACATTATATTTGCCATAGAAAACTTAAGCAACAGTCAACTCTCAAGTTAAAAAAACAAACATACATAACCCAATACTAAAAAGGGGAAATGAGTGAAAATACAACTTTATCTTGGGAATGCCATTTACTGGAAAATCACCTTACTTAAAAGTTTCAGGAAAACACTCTTCACTTAATTTGAATGCTTAGTGTTGCTTATTGGGGAATATGGGGAGATTAATATGAGTGTAAATTTTTTATAACTCCTATCTCATTATAGATTTTTTCAGATTTATCGTATAAACCGAATTTCTTGTTCAGTGCACCAAAATAATTGGCTGAAAAAAAAATGCCAACACATGCAGTCTGCTAACCAAATAAGACTCTGGCATGCCAAAACCAAGGTTCTCTGTATCTTGATATATAGTACATTCCACAACATACTACAGCATTTGATTTAGATTACACAACTAAATATAAATCACTAGATTTTTGCTAATTCTTAGCAGAAGCATTAAGCAAACATGAATCAATTCATAAACAAATGATGAAAGAAGTAGGTTGTTCTTGGAGTACTTCTTGAAACCTCAAAACACTTGGTCCTTAGCGAGAGAACATCCTTTATTCAGTAGATCTTAATAGTACAATGTATAGTGAGTCCTAAAACCTTCTAAAAATTTTGGCAGTTGACTCCAGTAGTGCTCCTTGATTCAAGGAAGGAATGAAGGTTTGTGTTTCTTGCCTGATCTAGTCACGCAGAATTGTATAAAGTCTCCTTAAAGATTTAAAAAAGTGATTTCTATAGTTGGGTGTCTTGTTACTTCAGAAATAAAGGCTTCATACTGAGAAAATGAAGGACACTTTTCTCTCTGTATTTAGTTGAAAGGTAGAAAGAAGAAAGAAAATATAAGAAAAGCTTAAAGATAAGAGATATAAAATACAGAGCAGCCACTACAAGAACAGCATGCACCAGATATTTCTATAGGAATGAGAGTGACAGTAAGTCAGAGACATGTTTTCCTTAAATGGCATTTAGTTTACCCTCAATTACCAAGAACACTGTGGCAAAGTTGTACTCCTACCACAAAAAAGAAAAAAAAGACTTCACACTGAAACAGGAATTTCTAAGACATTACTCACTACTAAGATTAAATTTAAATTGAGGGAAAAAATAATTCTTAAAGGTTTGCTTCCTGTGTGACAGGCAAAAAACAATGGCAATCAAGTCATCTTGCTTTACTAGTAAACAGGACAGAAGTCATGAATCAATTAAGCAAGCAATATTTACATCCGTTAATGCAATATGCACTTGTTTTTATACTTAATGCTGTTAGTTTGTATAAATGAGACTGATCTCATTTACATTTTGAGTAAGAAACTCACCACTTGGCCCACATGTCATGTAGTGGGTAATAGAATTAGGAGCTTTGTTGCTCCCTAGACCTGCTTTTTGAATTTCTGCTTTCTTGTACTTTGTCCACATCTGCAGGAAAAAAGCATTTCATGTTATTTAATCAAAAGTTAAACATAATACAATTCATGAAGATAAGAAACTAAAGAGTTCTCATTGAATAGGGCAAGGAGAAGGAATCTAACTCTGGAAAATCCTTTCATCTGATAGACATCTCATTACTTCAAGACTGGTTTTCATATTTAAAAGCCAGAAATAATATGCCTCCTAGTGTCAAAAAGTACTTATTATATTTATGTATTATACTAAATGGTCATGAATAGTTGTAAAGTAAAAAGTAATCTTGAGTGCAGTGGCAGAAACATCTACAATGAAATATTTGTATTACTTACTAAAAAAACCTGGGCTTAAGGCATATTTTGTAGGCAAATGATATACCTTGTTACACTGTAATAGCTAAAAGTGTTTTGGTTAAAGGGGACCCAATACGTAAGAGTGTAAATTTACAAAGTCACCCAAATAATATTGGCATAATTTCTAGAAGCCTAGGAATAGAAACTATACAGTTTCATCTAAAATTAGGGTATCTGAATCTCACATCGTTTTTCAAATAATCTTTTGTGAAGTCATAGGATTTTTATGGAGATGTCTTAGAAGAAAAACATGTAGCTACTCAATTGAGTCAGTGTTTTAATTTTATCTTTAAAAATGTATTTAATTGGGGGCATCTTTCTAAGATTTCACTTATATTAATATAGTGTTCTGAGAGACTTTTATGACTCCACAACTTATGATAGTTTCTGAAGGAAATCTAATCTGTATTCTTAGACAATCATCAAGATAATAGACATGGTATGTATCTGTCTCACATGAACAGTGTGTATCTTCTTTTTGAAAATGTGCTGTATATATAACTATAGCCATTTGGGTTGTAAATACTTCTTTACTGTAAAAGTAATTTTTTAAAATAATCACAGTTTTTAATATAATAGCACATGATTTCTCAATGTATGAAATTTAAAATTTAATATTTTAAATTAAAAATATATGGCCAGATTTATAATATTTAAAAAGTTGAGAAATAAACTTGACTCGATGTGGAAAAGAAATAATAATTTTTATATTTGCATGATATATGTCCTCTATCTAATCTCACCTCCATTTGCCATTAATTTTTATTATATGAAAAAATAAAAGAAGGCTTACCAAAAACATTTGAAATGTTAGAATTGAGTATAAAACAAATAATAAAATAGATGGATTTATTCGCACAGAAAATATATTAGGTGGTAATAAAAATATAAAAATTTCCTGATTGATTACCTGCTCTAGCAACTACTTTTAGTATGAGCTGGCTATAAGAAAAGTAGGATGGTCAAAGGTGTAAGTAGAAGGGGCCTTGGTTCAATTAATAACAATAATTAACAACATGTAGTAAGTAATAATTTCCTTCCTCTTTAGAAAATTACATTTCAAAGCATTCCTTTCAGCTGCCAGGCTGTTATTAACAGAAATAGTTAGGCTAAATCAAAGTGGCAAAAACATTCCAGAGACAGAGCGAAGATATACTCCTCCAGGGATAAGTGAGAGTTATGAGTTTTTATTTTTGTTTTACTCTGGGAGATTCAAGTATAGCTGTTTCTACTTTTAAAGGATCACAGCAAGAGACAATTTTAAAGTTTATGACACCAGAGTCAAAGTTAGCAAATATTTTCGCTATTTTATATGGTTATTTTTTACTACAAATCATATTTATTCTTAAATTTGTTCTACTAAAAGTACACCTATTAATTTAAGTGTGGTTACAAATCCTAATATTTTATTTTAGTACAATGTACTCATTTTAGAAAACTTTTTTAGGAAAGACATACCATTTAATAATAAATTATAAAATTTTAGAAGTACCAATCTTTACCACTTTGTAAACTTGCTACCCTTTTTAACAGAAGTAAAAATGCAAATTTTCAACACTTTGTGTATGATTGTTTTATTTCTCTTTGACTCTATTAAAAAAAAAACACTAGAAAAACTCTTAACTGATTCTAAGGAAAAATTAATCTCGAAGGAAGATGAAGAAAAGTGCAGAAAAGAAATAGAATACATAGAAAATGCTCCTTGTTACTGTAAAAGTCACATTTAAATTTGAAGGGGTTTTTTAAGAATTACACTAAATTTATTAATATTAACAATGTTTTAAATCTGAACAATTTTATAAATATGGGCAATAGTTAATACTTGCTAAAGTATTGAGCTATTAACTATTTGAAAATAAAAAAGGACAGAAGGCATAATTAAATGGCAAAAGAAAAGGACTTTTTTTTTTTTTTTTTTTACATATTCTCCTATACATGTGCAATATGTGGTGCACATTCTGGAAATAAAAGAAAAGGCCCAGCCTTCATGGCTCAGTGGTTGAGCGTCGACCTATGAGCCAGGAGGGCATCATTCGGTTCCAGATCAGGGCACATGCCCAGGTTGTGGGCTTGATCCCCAGTAGGGGGGCATATTTCTCTCTCTCTCTCCCCCTCTTCCTTCCTCTCTGAAATCAATTAAAAGAAATATATATATTTAAAAGAAATATTTCTTAGAAAAAGAAAGGAGTAAGAAGGAGAGAGGGAGGAAATGAGCACTCTTTTTTGGAAGCAACAAAGTATGACTTGGGCCCTAGATGGTTTTGCTCAGTGGATAGAGCATCAGCCTGCAATCTGATGGGACCTGTGTTCGATTCCAGTTGAGGGCACATGCCCAGGTTGCAGGCTCCATTCCCAGCAGGGGTCATGCAGGAGACAGACAGCCAATGATTCTCTCTCATCGTTGTTGTTTCTATCTCTCCCTCTCCCCTTCCTCTCTGAAATCAATAAAATTTAAATTTAAAAAAAAAACACACACACACCAAAAAAACAAAAACAAAGTATGACTTGGAAATGCAATGCTTTCTTGGTAAATACAGCATGCAACTGTCTTAACATGCTTCTAAAAGTCACAATCTCTTATCAGGCGGCAAGAAATGAGAGAGGAGCATGTATTGTTAAGGTTTTTAAAGTCATGCAGAAAATGTACAATGCAATTAATATTTCATGCAGGCTTTGGTGTAGTCACACATTCACATTTACATACAAGCCATCATGTACAGCCAAACACTATGCCACGATTTGAAAAAAAAAAAAAAAAAATGAACCTTGCCAAATACTTTTCAACAGCAGCTCTTCAAGTCAGATTAGAGAAGCATAGTACATATCAAATGACATCAGGATTATACTGTGCAGTTTTGATCATACACAACCATATTCATACCAAACAGTCTGATTATCCTCAGAAACCAACAATGCAGCTTCTGTGTCATCAGGACAGAGGCATGCAGGAGTGGTGAGATTGCTGCTACCTACAGAAGACTGTGGGTTACAGTTACCACGGATCTGATTATCAGAAAACTGTTCATTATCTTTCTGTGAAGCTTTATCCAAAGAGGCAGAAGCCTGGTCAGTTACTCTGGTGACTGGCCTGGGAGGTAACCCACTGATGTTACTAACTAACTCTGTATTCAGGGATAAAAATGGCTGAGATGGATGAGTAAATGACTCTATACTATCTTTAGCTGACACTGCAAGTGTGTCATTAGACATATTCATAGTGTCAAAAGTTTGGTTTAGAAAATGTGGCCTTTCTGTTGGGTCTCTAGCCTGGGCATATAGAGACTCATGCTCATCTGTAACTAAATCAATTTGTGCACGAGAACCTATGTAATATATTGGGCTGTGGCATTTATGGGAAGACCACTGGTGTAAACGGTACTCACTAGATGCTGCAGTGATGTGGCTATCAGCAACAGCTGGTGATGAGTCAACTGACATAGGCAGTCTACTGTCCTTGGTCAGAAAATCATGGATGCTTGTCCTTCGAGTAGTCCCTTCCGCAGTAGAGATCACACTGCTGGCACGAGGTAAAGTGGCATAAGGATTACTATCTTTTGATTGTCGTGACAAAGAAGATTCTTTTACCAATTTCATCTTTCCTTGAGTGACTGGTGTAGGTTTTCCTGGAGAACTAACAAAGTAGGTATCTTCAGTCTTCTGAGGGCCAGGTCTCACAAATGGTTCAGGCTTAGTTGTCCGTCTATCATAGAAGTCTCCTGGGCTTTTTCCACTTACTGACCTGGCCAGGCCACAGCTAACAGGCTTGCTTTTTCCCAAGAAGTCAGAAGAGACAGACAAACTTTTCATTACTTCATCTAAAAGGTTATCTTGGCTTGAGGACTTTATCTGTTAAAAAACAAAGCAGATTAATGAATATCAGGTATGCTTTTACTTTCCTGATATATTAGACTGCATAATATAAAACTGCTAGTATTCTAAACACTCCTTTATTTTTTAAAAAAATGCTCTAGAGTCCGCTCTGGCTGGTATGTCTCAGTGGTAGAGCAGCGGCCTGTGCACTGAAGGGTCTCGGGTTCAGTTCTGATCAAGGGCTCACAGTGCCCTCCCCCACACTGCGGGGCACGTGTGGGAGGAAACCAATTGATGTGTCTTTCTCAAACAGATGTTTCTCTCCTTCCCTCCCCTTCCACTCTCTAAAAATCAATGGAAAAATACCATCGGGCATTAACAACAACAAAAAAGCTCTAAAGTTCAGTCACAGACTTGTAATGCCCATCTAAAGTAAGGTCACCTATAAAACTCACCTGTATTGAGGTAAGCTTGTTGCTTTCTTCCAAAAACTGTTGTAGAGTAACAACCTCACTTCCAGGGGAACCAGTTTTGATCTTGTGATGTGCTCGACTCTCAGTTTCAGGCACTTTGTGCTGGAGCGCTGGACTTGATCTGGTCTGTCTTTTCAAGTACTGGATTGGACTGCTCCCACTGCTGGACCAAGCCTCATGATCATGAAGCAAGCTAAATTCCCCACTGCTATGGCTTTGTGGTCTGCTCTGGATATTAACTGCACCTGCTTTCGGAGTAAATGGTGTGTTAAGAGTTCAATAATAGAAATGAGATTAAAACTATATAAGTAATACGATTTGTTGACTGGGTTCTTACAAAGAGCCAAACTGACTTTCAAGCTTTTCTCAGAAATGCTTAGTAACTATGTTTATCTTTTAAGTTTAACAACTGTCAGATTATTTTGTCTACCATAAAGATAGGGCACATCTGAAACAATTGTTGAAATTTAAATACAGGTTCAAATACAAGTTGACCCTGAATAACATGGGATTAGGGGTGCTAGCCCCTTCCACTTCCTTATATTTTCAAGGGTCAACTATAACTGTAAACCACCTCACAATTTGGAACAAAACATGACTATAGAAATTTTAAATTATTTCTGAATGTTAAAACCAAAAACTATTCTAAATGCTAAAAATTCTATTGCTTTGCCTTTATTAAAGTTTTATCTATTAATCCTTAATAAATGATTTTAAAGGGAAAATTTTTTAATTAAATAGGCATATAAGGAAAGTCATGCTTTCCACTGTTGGTATGGTGGCCACTCAGTTGAGTAACTGTATAGAATGCAAATTACTAGTTCTGGAAAAAATCTATATAAAGCTTATGCTATTCCTTAACAATGATAATTGATTTTGATCAAAAGCAAACTGATACAGTATTGAGATAGAAAATGCAACTTTCCATGGTTTTCTAATCACAAAAGAGTCAAGCAGGTCATGAAAGTATGTGGCTCAAGTTCTGTAATAATTTTACAGAAATAAGATTTTCTTAAATTTTCAAATACTTCTACTTTTTCCTACTGGCTATACAAATGATTATAAAAATTCAAAAATCCCTCTTTTTTTCCAGATCCTAGCAAAAAAGTCATAGCATTAATGATAAAAAAAAAAAAAAACTAAAATGGAGACAAAGGATTTTATAATGCAAAGAGCAATGGAATAAATGCATTGACTCTAATTTGGCAATTCTGGAGTGTACAGAATAGTATTTTAACAAACATTTATAATCCACTAAACAATTCCAGAATCTGAGTAGGCAGTATACCTTTAAGGAAAAAGATATTAGTCAAGGCTTCCAGATAGACATTACATAAAAGCCTTACCTGAAATGTATATTTAAAACTAAGGGAAAAAATTGAAATAATTCTTAGATGAGCTATATGCATCCACTTGGCTCTTGTTTCACATATATATACACACACAATTGCCTTATCAAATTAAAACATACATTTCCCCCTATTTCATGGGATAAATTAAGTGTATGTAAAACTCTTTCTGTAATGTGAGTTCAATGTACAAGCATCATGAGAAAATTAAGGACAACCATGTTAATGAGAAAGATAAAACATAAGTAAAATAAGACCTATAGATATTTTTGAAGTATAAATTATAAAATATTTTACCTGTGAAAGATAAAAAATGGAAACCAAAATAATTGCTCCTGTTTTTACATTTACATACATTGAAATATGTTAAAAGTATAAAATATTCCAAGAAACTATGTCCCAAACAGATGATTTGGATCTCACACTTTACCCTAGAAACTTCATCGATCTCCCTTTTAAATGTGGAAATGGATGGAACATATTAATAAATTTACCTACAGCATACCTTTAACTTCATGGAGTGAGGCGTTATTATTGCTATTGCTAGTGGATGTCCTGCCACTATCAAGGCTGGCTGGTCTCGAAGCTAAATGAAAAAATCAGGAGACAGTGTGATAAAACTTCCAGCTGATGACACTGAACTTTACATTCTGATCACAGAAAGCTTTGAGGAAGTAATCACGCATACTTGCACACATTGAGCATGCCCACCGATAGCTGAATTGTATACACTAGAGAGCAAAAACATTTCCACATAGTTTAGTAAGATAGGGCACGTCTGAAACAATTGTTAAAATTCAAATAAAAGAAGATAAATTGCATATTTAGATTTGAATATGATTTCTAGAAGGATAGTAGGACTATTTTAAATTAATAGAGTGACATGCCAAAAAAGGTGCTAGTGATTATATCACTTACAACAGATCAAAGAACCCTGCACATTGCAAAGATGCTACAAACAGGAGGAATATGAGCATCTGTAGTTAATGTTTTGTATCCCTATCCATAGAAGAGAAATAACCGAATAGTTAAGATGGCCCTATCCTATTTCTTAAAATCCTGCTTTCATACGAAATTCCTTTTACATGTTATCCACTTATTGTTAATAATTTAGTTTGGTAAGATATGATTTTCCAGACAGAAATTTAAAAATCTGAAATGCTTGACATTGCAGAATATGGTTTCTTAAAAATTTATATTTTCTTAAAGTAAATATGGTAAAAAGTATTCAGAACTTTAAACTTATAACAAAATGGCAACAAAATCACCTTTAAGCATTGTGCAGGAATACTTTATAAATGACCTGGGCTAACATAGAGACTGTTTAGATGAAACAGTAACATTAAAAGGGGTGAAGGGAAGTATTAGATTTGAAGAAATGGCAGAGGTGTGAGGTGCAGGTTAGATAAAACATGCTTGCTGGCAATGCACATTCAGATTCAATGCAACATTCTATAGTTAATTTGTATTGTCTAAATAAAGTTCATATCTTACCATGAACTCTTGATCCCGTACTAGAATCATCACTAATACCGTGTGGACTTATATCTTCAAAGGATGTAGCATCTACATAAAATATCAAAATAGATATTAAAGTATTTCTTAACAAAATAACAATAACAACAACAACAAAAAACACCAACTTTGCAAAGTTTTATTTACTCAGAATATGGAAAGTCTTTTTTAATTACATACAATACATCTCTGTTTAATATATTTTAGACGCAACCAAACACTGGAACTGGAGCAAGAAAAATAGCTCTGATGAGAGTTTACTCGCCAATGGAACAGTCTCCGTGACCCTGCAAAGCAAGAGCCTCGGTTGTTCTACAAGTTTTTTTTTTCTCTCTGTTTGAAGTCGTAGTGTTTTCTTTTTCCTTTTTTTTTTTTTTTTTTTTTTTTTAAAGCTTCTATTAGTGGCTCCTTTTCTCAAACTTTAATTGCTTTGCTTTTTCTTTTCTTGTCAGTTCATTAGCTGTTTATTATCAAAAGCTTAGGAAAAAATTTAGTTATTTTATGTCTTAAATTTTTTAAAATGCTTTCAAAATTCCCTTACATCAAAGCCAGATTGTTTTGATAATTATTTCCCTTTGCTACTGTCAAAAAGTACACACGGGAAAGTCAAATGAAAATTTCTGTTGCCAACAGTTCCACAAAAGTGCAAATAGCAGACGGCCTATACCTTTATTATTAACCAACTGCTTGGATCTGAAGCCTGCAGAAGAGTTGACAGTTGAAAAGTTGATTGCTGTAGTGGAGAAGGCCATAGCTCCCAATTCTTTCCTCCTTTTACCCGTTGAAATATCATCCGGAACCTCCAGATTCTCAGTACTACCTGTCCACTGTCCTCCTGCTAGGACCATGGACTGCACCAGGTCATTCATGGCTGGGATGCAAATGAAAGCAAATGAATCAGCATGGTTAATGTTCTTGCTCTTGTTTCTCTTTTGTATTATAAATGACCTGGGGGGTTTTCCCTATGGATTAAATGCAAGTGAAAATAAAAAACTGTAACCACAATGTCATTCAAATTATGACATGCATTCAGCTGAATGAAATGAACAGGCCAAAGGCTGATAAATTTCAGTAAATATTTTTATCCCATCTCCACCCCATTTAAAGATGGGAAAAGGAATTTTACTCTGTACAATTGCCATGCTTTTACGCAGCGATGTGCAATATAATTAGAAGCCTTCATAATGTGGTTTTGTGGTGACAAAAATGGAATGAATAAAGGTATGATGGAGAGCAGTTCTTATACAGCATCATTACTGAAAATGATAGTCCTTGGTCAGAGCAGGTTACTGAAGAAATTACTCATTTTATCAATCAAACAAGTATACCATTAATAAAAACCTGAAAGAGATGATAGTCAAGGTGACAGACATTTAATGTAATTATATAATTACCCATTCCACTTAAAAAAAAAAAAAAAAAGGAAAACCAGAGTATTATTATATAAAGAATGACAAACATTTTTAAGGGTTACAGGCCATTTTATTTATTTATTTATTTAATCTAGTTCATTAAGGAAATAAATGTCTAATGCTAAACAGTCTGTTATATTTTCTTTAAGTAAATTTCTTTGGGAAAAAATCTCTATAATGGCATAAAATTAGGATTTTATTTCTGCCAACTTTTAGAAAGCACTGGAAATTTACAAGTGTATTATTACATGTACAACTAAACATATGCATGTATATGTATGCATCAGTGAACATACATATAATGCAAATTCAGTGCCAGTTTTGAAAAAAAAAAATTCTTCCAGCTCCTTGTATTAGAGGAAGACTGCACTTTGTAAAATAAGAAAATTGGCACAGTCCAGAGAAAGGTTAGTGAAAATTAGTGATGGAAGCCAATGTAGTCAACTGAAAGAAGCTGAACTGTCATAAAGTCTTACACATGGAACGACGGTAGCAGGCCTTCATTTTGTCTTTATCCTTCGGTCTGTTCCTCAAAAAGGGCAGTCTTTTCAGTGCAACCACTTTAATGTCAGAGCATGAGGAAAAACAGAAACAGAAAAATGAAACAGGAAAAAGGGAGAAGAACAGATGGGAGTTAAATGTTGAAATTAAGGACAGAAATGAATGTCTGAGTTTCAGCTTATGTTTGCTATATTAAAGTTATTATTCTCGTGCTGCTGAGTGATAATGAAATATGAAATAAGCACTCTGATACTTTAAAATATTTAAAACGGCACTGAAGACAATGATGAGGAACATATACTTTGAAAGCTTGGATTAGCTAAAGTCCTATAAATACAGGAAGTGGTTAAAATTACTTTTGGAACAAATTTCCTAGTTAAGTTGTAAATGTATACCTTTAAAATTAGGGCTCCTGGTGGGACAAAGAATATACGTGATAAAAATGTACAAAGCTTCTCAATCCTCTATTTTCTTTAATTTTTTGAATTATAAGGCTTTATGGAAAAAGTAATTTAGGCAAAAACACTTAAGAGTATTTTAGTAAAAGAGTATTTTAGTAATATACATCACCAAAAACTAAAGTGCCCATGGGATGTTTTAAACAATCTAAAGCTTTTAAAACTTCCATTAAAATTTTTCAATACTTTCTTAAACTTTAATAAAGAAATAGATTGCTTCTTGGTAATATGTAGTAGCACCATGGAAATATATATTCTTTGAACAGGCTTTCAAAAGATGAAATGAGCAATTACATTAAACTTCATTTTACCAAAAAGTTGTCTGGGTAAAGAAAAAAAAAAAAGAGTATTTTGACAGTAGTAATAAGTGCTAGCACTAAGTCCTGATAAGGCTAAAAGATATGAAGGCATCGTAAAGCAAGCAAAAATGACCCCAAAAAAGTGTATATTACATTTTTAGGTATTTATTTTGAAGGGCTTTTTCGGTGAGATTATTAAAAAAATCAAAGATAGCACTGTGCAAAAAAATTTTGTGAATGAAAATGAGGGTTATAACTACAGGAGTCATTAGTACAAAAATAAAAATGTTCACTAGAGTCACTTTCTTAAACTATATATATATATATATATATATATATATATATATTCTTTTTTAAACGTATTTTATTGATTTCAGAGAGGGAGGGAGAGGGAGATAAAAACATTAATGATGAAACAGAATCACTGATCAACTGCCTCCTGCACACCCCCTACTGGGGATTAAGCCCACAACTGGGGTATGTGTCCTGACTGGGAATCGAATCGTGACTTCCTGGTTCATGGGTTAATACTCAATCAATGAATTACACCTGGCTAAGCTATATTTTAATAAGATTTAAATACAAAAAGCCCTGGTTGGGTGGCTCAGTTGGTAGAGCATCATCCTATACACCAAGAGGTTGAGAGATAGGGGAACAACCCTAGGGGCACATATGGGAGGCAACCAATTGATGTTTCTCTCTCTCTCTCTCTCTCTCTCTCTCTCTCTCTCTCTCTCTCAAAATCAAATAAAACAAAACACATCGCCCGCAGGCATAGCTCAGTGGTGGAGCGTTGACCTATGAACCAGGGGTTCATGGTTTGATTCCCGGTCAGGCACATGTCCTGGTTGCAGGCTCGATCCCCCATAGCAGCATGCAAGAGGCAGCAGATCAATGATTCTCTCTCATCATTGATGTTTCTCTCTCTCTCTACCTCTACCCTTCCTTGCTGAAATAAATAAAATATATTAAAAACAAAAAAACATATCCTTGGATGAGGATTAAATTTTTTAAAAATACGTAAGTAAATACAAAAAAATGTATTTATTTTGGAACTACAATTCAGGCAATAGTGAAACAACTTGCATAAAGACTTAAAACATTGCACACAGCCTTAATAACTGTGCTCTTTTCAGGGTTTTCCATTGTCTTGTAAATAATCAAAGTTCTTTGACACACAAGAATCATTCATTAAGAAGAATGCAATGTACATTCAGCTTTTTAACTTATATATTTGATTGTTATTAGGAATACGTAGTCATGATTCATTTAAGCTTTTAATTTGACCTATTTCTTTCCTAGCTTTGTATAGCACAATTACTTTCAATGATTAAAATAAATGAACTTGAAAGCAATGTAAAAATGGACAATGTGAACATGCTTTACTTTCTTTTTCTGTTTCAACTGTTTTCCAAAGACTGCTTTACTGACAGATCCTCTTACAAAAGGGAGAGGACCACAGAATTTCAAATTTGCCAGTGGTAGAATGTGATCTTTGTTATGGCAATTAGTTTTTAGATACACAACGTTACTCTCCCCGCCCACCACCAAAAAAAAAAAAGCCATACTAAAATGAAGGGAACATTAGCATTGTTGGATTTTATGTTTATTTAAAAAATTCTAAAAATGAACAATTGTAGAAAAAGAGAATATTACTTCCTTTTGATTCTTATTTCCAAGGTTTCAGCAGAGAGTATGAAGGAATGACGGGTAGGACAAAAATAAGTTTACAGTTGTTTGCATGGAAAATATACAATAAAAATAATAATACAGGAATAAACTCATATAACTGTAAACTTACTTTTGCCCTATCCTGTACTTAAAACAAACAAGATGGTCTCAGAAAAGACTGTCATGCCTTTCTTGTGTAGGCTCTCATATCTGAATTGAAATATCTTCATTTAATTAAAAAATTAAGTATATCTACTACCATTTCTCATTTAATAAAATACCAGATTTTTATATCTAAAGATAGAGATAAAAGTAAATTATCTGGAAACATTTTAAAGAAAACTTGATGGTCTTTCCACAATACTCAGATGTTTCATGCAGATTTGGCTGACAAGACTAGGTAGTAAAAGACTCAGGCAATAATATCCTTACGTGGGGACACAGATTTAACAAATTCCTTGAGCCTACCATACAAATACACCCACATGTGTGTATGCATGAATGTGTACATAAGTATGTGTATGATTTGCTGCTTTATTATGGATTCTGATTCTCAGGTGCTACAGTTGCATTCTAAAATATATCCTATAATAAATGTCTAATCTCCTACACCCGAAAATACTGCCTTTTCAGAAATAATTCCCAAGGCCAAAACACTATCTATAAAGTTTTTTAAAAGTTACCCAAATGGAGTATCTAAACCTAAGGGAAACAGCTGTTTTTGCCTGGTATCCACTTAAAAGAATAGTAATGAAATGTATATGTATATATAAACCTATTTTTAAAACTTAATGACTCTGGTGATAGAGTGAGTGGACTCGAAGTATAGTGTTTATATATTTTATAAGAACACTGATAGTCAACTTCTTGGACATCTTCTAAGGGCCCAAGATTGGATTCTTTTCTCTTTCTCTTAAAATACACTTCTTTAGCCATTTACTTTGCCCTTGCTGTTTAGCTAAGCACACTAATAAGGAAACAAAAAGATTATGAATTATGTAGGGTTCATTATGATGTGAACTTCTATATTTGTAATTAAAAATATTAAACCAGCCCTAACTGGTTTGGCTCAGTGGATAGAGTATCAGCCTGCAGATCGAAGGGTCTGGGGTTTGATTCTGGTCAAGGGCATGTACACGAGGCAACCAATCAATGTGTATCTCTCACAGTGAAGTTTCTTTCTGTCTTTCTCTATCTCTTCCACTCTCTCTAAAAGATCAATGGAAAAATATCCTCGAGTGAAGATTAACAAAAAAACAAAAATTTTAAATCACAAATTTTTATCTTTTCCCCTATTTTAACCAATCCTTTATCAAGCACTCAATACTTTTCATAACCATCAATTATTTCTAAATCTTTAAATAGTGTTCTCTTCAAATTTATACCTATTTCTTTGTTTTGCCCAATGTAACTTTGTTCCAATTTGATACAAAAGTCTGAGTAAAACTTCATTGTAAAATGCCTTATTCTATTTTGTTATAATTATGAAAATGAGCTCTTGTAAATATTTCTCTCTTGCTCTTCATAATCACCTTGGTAAAGTATGACACGAAGATGAAATGCTTGCCCATATTAATAGAACTAGCAAATGGCAGAGGTTTCTAGCTCTTATTTCAATGTTCTTTCTACACTGTTTTACCTCCCCTGCTAAATGATGGGATCCCTGTGTATGGAATATCTTTACACACACAATATAGAAAATCATGTGGTTATGTATAATATTATTGTAGTATATAATGAATTTTATAATTGTATGGAGTCAAAAAGAAATGCATTAATTAGACTATTATCTTAAAGAGTGTTGAAGTTATTTTTTAAAAATCTTTTAGAAAGGATTCTAAATCAATACTAGACATAACAAATGTTTATAGAGTTTAGGCACTCACTGCTGCTTTTCTTGGTCCCCAAAGTTTGGCCATCTTCTAGAGAGTTTGAACCTACTGAAGAACTGTCTTGACTATCTTGATGGGGGAGTTGAAGAAATCCTTCACCGGAGTCCGAGCGGGTAGGTGTTAATGTTAGAGATTTCTGACGTTCCCGATTAATATCTTTCTTAGACTTTATCAATTTTCTCATTTTTAGAGTAATCCAGTTGCCTCTCCTAATAGAATAATTTAAAAAGTTCTTATCAGTCTAAAATTCAACATATAAATCCTTCATAAAATTAGAAGTTTAAAATATATTCTGTTCTTTTTTTGGAATAAAAATGAGTCAATTTTGGTGAATAGTACCTTCTAGGAGGAGATGGCTCATAAAATTTATATTGATCCATAATTTTCTCTTCTAATTTCTCCTTTTGTCGTCTTAATTCATTTAACTTATCACTATAAAAATAAAAATTAAATTTCAGGACATACATATTTTGTACAGTTATAAATGATAGTTATTTTGTGACTATGATCTAACTTCTCCCCAAAACTTAAACAAATACAGATACCATAGTTGAAAACTAAGAATTAGGTACCGGTAGTAACAATGAATTTTTTGAAGTTTCTCCTTTTCTTTAAATTTACATACTTAAATAAAACCATGTAGGATTTAAAGTTTCAATTCTTCAATAGGATCTAGTTGAAAATAATTTTCCATGTTACAATCTTATCATGACAAAGGAATTCTCTTAACATCTTTTTTATAGCTATTAAACAACATTATATCAACAACTTTTCCTCCATTTTTGGAATAAACGGTAATTACAATTTATATAGGAAAAAATTGAAATGAACAGTTTGTTTGCTTACAATTATTCTATATAATAAAAGGTTAATATGTAAATTGGCCAAATGGTGGAATGACCAGTCACTAAGACACACACTGACCAATAGTGGGTAGACACTTAACACAGGAGCTGCCCCCTGGTGGTCAATACACTCCCCCAGGGGGAGTGCCACTCAGCCAGAAGCCGGGCTCAGGCCTGGTGAGCACAGTGGCGGTGGCGGGAGCCTCTCCCCTTTGTGGCAGTGCTAAAGATGTCCGATGACAACTTTGGACATCCTCCGCGGGTTCCCGGACTTCGAGAGGGCACAGGCCAGGCTAAGGGACCTCCCTCCCCCGAGTGCACGATTTCATGCACCGGGCCTCTAATCCTATATAATGAAGATGTAATATTAATTAATTAATTAATTAATCCTTACACCCTCACAAGATGGCTGCCTACAACCAGGTCGGCAGGGGGATTAGTGAGGGATGACCAAATGACTGAACAAGCAGGCTGCATGGGATGACCAGGATGTGCAGTTGGGCAACCAGGCCAGCAAAGGAGGTAGTAAGAGGCGAGCAGGTTGGGGAGGGGAGGCAGTTAGAGGTAACCAGGCCGGCAGGGGGAGGAGGGGTGCAGTTTGAGCGAGGGCAACCAGGCCGGCAGAGGGGGTGGTCGGGGGTGACCTGGCTGGTAGCAGGGGCAGTTAGGGGTGACAAGGCTGGCAGGCGGGCAGTTAGGGGCAATCAGTGACAAGGGGAAGAGAAGAATTTAGAAAATATGGATTGTGGTGTAATATAAAGACTATACACTGAGGCCAAAATCCTGATTTTACCAGCTTCCTCCACACTCAATAGAGACATAACAGCAACAGTGAAGCCCTGTCAATTCTATTTCTCACATATCTCTTGTATTTCATCTCAAATATTACTGCTTGTGAATTATTTTTTACTAGATTATTGTAACAGCTTTCATAAAAGTTATTTCTTATCTCTATTCTCAGAACCTTCAATCCATACTCTAAAATGCCATCAGTATTGTGTTTTTTAATGCAGTCCTGATCTTATTACTCTCTTGTTCAAATTTTTAAGCAACTTTTTTGTGTAGCGTACAAAAACCTTTGTGAAGTGACTCCTGAGCGACAGTTTACCACTTTTCTGCTGTTCCTCCTTCCTCAATTTTGCTCCAATAAGAAAAATCAATTTTCAGAGCCTGTAGCATACCATAACACATTTTCATCACACTGCTGTGTTTTGTTTTTGCTGCTTTATTGATCTTGTATGTCTTCACAGGTGAACTCCTATTGAATCCCTAAGTCTGGCTCAAGCAACCAACTTTGGCAAGCCCACCTTACTGCTCCCAGAGTAAGGGTGCTATATTTCTATGCCTCCTACACATACTTTCATTATGGCAGTTATTTGTATTTCTCACTTTATATTAGTAGTTCCTTAAGAGCAGTACCCATGTTTTCATGATAGTATTCCTGGTTATCAGCATAAAGCCTGAGACATAAGCATTCAAAAAAATATATGTGGAAATAATGTTGAAAACAAAACAAAAAAAAAACAGATTTTCTCTGCCACCAAAAATTACAATTATAAAATTATAACTAATATTTCACAGTGAAAAATTATTTGATACCTACATGTACTGTCTTTGTTCAACATGAAAAAGATCCTTGCTTTCCATATTCTGCTCCAACAGGGTTCTGTTCTGCAGCATTAATGTCTGAATTTGATCTAGTAGATGCCGATTTTCTTCTTCTAAATTTCCTTTAAGTTGGCTTAGCAACTGTTGGAAAACAGTTATTTTTTTTTAAATATCAACATTTACATTTAACATAAGTCACCCAAAACATCTGAAAAATAGAGTACTTCACAGATTTCTATCTCCTGCTATGTGAACAATTATATGGTCACACTTTGGTCAGAATGTGAGTGATTAGTTTAGTAATAATGAAGCTAAAAAACTGGGTTATATGCTATACATCTGTATTTTCATAATTCTCAACAACATTGGGCTTATCACAAATTAGTTAGTTCCAAAGATACTGCTTTCTTAACAATTGTTTAACTTAGAGTCTGAAAGCTAGATTCAAATCTCTGGGCTTCTAAGTAGTTATGAAACATTGAACAAGTTAATTTTTTGAGCTTCAATGACCTCATCTATAAAATAAGGATAATCCCATCCTGTAAGATTTTTGCAAAGATTAAATAATACATTTAAAATACCTGGTGTCATGCTTATGGCACCCAACAGATACTTAATAAGCCTCTTTCTTCCTTCAACCATTGTTTTCAAGGAACCTTGTAAATTGCTATATACTTTTTGCAGCTTGAACAAAGGAGGTAGGTGATCGTGTCAATGATTGGTATTGCTAGCTCATGTTAGGCTGCCAATAGCATTGGGCTGCTTTTTCTTTAAATGGAATTTGGAAGGAAATATGATTTAGGTAGGCTAGCAGTTCCAGTAGAGGTCAGAAAGTCCACAGTAGTGATTCTCAAAATTTAGCATCACTTATAAAGTATATTTTAAAAAATGTAGATTTCTGGGTGCTAGCATTTGAATTAAGCAGTTCTGGAGTAGAGCCAAGAGAGCTGTATTTTTAAAAAATATATGCCAATAATTATCTTTCCTCCAAAAGTAATAAAGAAAACAAACATTTAAAAAATTCTCAAGGCCCTAGCTGAGTAGGTCATTGAATAGAGCATAATTTCAACATACCAAGGTTGCAGGTTCAATCCCTGTTCAGGGCACATACAAGAATCAACCAATGAATGCATAAATGAGTGGGACAAAGTGATGTGTGTGTGTGTGTGTGTGTGTGTGTCTTCCCTTCCTCTCTCTCTTTCTCTCTCTTATCAATAAATAAAAACTACAAAAAAGCTATTTATAACTATCCATAAACAGCCATCTAAATCTAACAACTGCCAATATTGTGCTGTTTCTTTCATTTATCTATATATTATTAAATTGAAATATAACATGTGGCAGATTCATTGCAAAATTGAATCCAGTTAGCCTCCTCCCTATATGTATATCCTTTTACAATGTGACTTCTCACTCTTCCCATCAGAAAGAGGAATCTATTTTCTCTCTTCCCATATTTGGAAAGCCTTTGGCCAAGAGAAATAGATAGAAGTGATTGTGAGACAGTTCTAAGCCCCGTCCTCAAGAGGCCTTATGTGCTTACATGCAGTCTCTGGAAATCCTGCTGGAGAATGAGAGACCGAGTAAACAGGGAAGTTATGATAGCTGGGCCCCCCTAGACCAGCCAGTCCTCAGAGTACACGCCAGATAACTGCAGATGCAGGAGCAAGTCCGACTATGATCAACTAATCTTGGCCTACACAGCAATTCATGGATCAGCACATCTGCTCAACTGACCCATAGATTCATGAGCAAAAATAAATATTTACTGTCTAATTGCTTAGATCTCACAGTAAAATTTCTGACAAGTTTGCTGATCTGTTACTTTGTCCCAACCAATATTCCAACCTCAGGCTACCTGAGAGTTAGCCTTTGACAGCTCTCCTGGGCCTGGGCTTTTCTGTGCTCTGCTCAAATCAAGCCAGTCCCCTCCAGTAGCAAAGGTACTGCTTTTCATGGATTGCCCTGCACCCAGGCGGAACAACCAGGCTCTGAATCTAAGACAGGGAGAGGGAGAAGTCACACTGCCTAAGACAACTATAGCTCCTACCCAAAGGTGAGTGTTTTTTAACAAATGCTTCTCAATTTGTTGTTCGCTTCTGCATGAGTTTCACAGTACTAACATGATAATTTTTGACAGTTTTGTCTTTTTTTTGTTTGTTTGTTTCTTGGGGAGTTAATTTTTCACGCTCCTCTACCATTTTGTAAGTTCATTACCCCAATCATATTTTACTTAAGACTTTTATAGATCACAGGCAGAATGAATGTTCTATACATTGTAAGCTTTGAATACTTAAATTTACAGATTTTTTAAAAATTGATTAAACTTGTTAAAGCTCACCTCACACTGATTATTCAGCTTGGTGGATGTAATGTCCAACTGTTGGTATTGTTCCTTCAACTTTGAAAATTCAGCTTCTAATCTTGTTTGTTCCAGTTTGGAATTATTTAGAAGACTTTTCAAGTTTTTATGGTCAGTTTGTAAAACTTCAGTTTCTTTTAAAAGCTGATTATATGTATGATTCAACCTATAATTAGAAATCGTAATAGAATAGAATCAAATTCTCTTAATAGCTTTCATTGTCATTAACATAATGTGAAAATGCTATAAATCGCATTCAGACATACTTAGAGAATATAAAGAATTCTTCTGCCAATTACTACACTGATCAAAAATCAGTTTCTATTTTGTAAAAACTAGATTTTTAAAAAATTGAGTACTTTTTCCTTTGAAATGAAATCTCTCAGCACTTAAATATGTTGAAGAAGTCAAGACAGGCGAAATTTTGTGTGCTGCCTTTCGGCACTTCAGCTATGGCAATGTAAATGCAGTGCAAATGTTTAGGACAAGCATATCAAACTCAAAAGCTAATACGGGCCAAATAAATGAGGCATGCAGCCCCCCGGCCGCGAGTTTGACATGCTTGGATGGTTTAGGCTGATTAAACTTTTCAAAGGTAAAAACTTGAAAATGTACCCTTATGCAGTAACTTGATTACCAATGGCAAATTTTGATTGTCCCAAGGCTTGAAGTTAAAAAAGAATTGCTCCATGGCAATAGGAGGCTATTTATATCTAAGACTGTTAAAAATAAAAGTATGAATAAATCAGCTAGAAAATCATAAGGTTGCTCACTTGTAACAACTTCAAAAGACAGGAATTGGGATACCAGACTAGCAAAAAAAAAAAAAAAAAGAGAAAGACATAAAGAATCAGGTCCATTACATTCTGTCTTAATAAAATATGAAAATGCTGTTAATGCACAAAAATTTCACTATATAATGTGGCTTAAAAACTTCATTTGGCCCAGCATGAACAGCTCAGTTGGTGGAGTTCTGTCACTGAAAGGTTGCTGGTTAACTTCTCAGTCAAGGCATATACCTGGGCTGTGGATTTGATCCCATTGGGGAGCATAAAGAAGGCAACTGCTAGATGTTTGTTTTTCTCTCTCTCATCCTCTCTACTCCTTCCCTCTAAGCATATCCTCAGGTGAGGATTAAAAAAAAAAAAAAAAAAAAAAAAAAAAAAAAAAAAAAAAAAAAAAGCTTAATTAGTTGAACAGAGAGAGAAAAGAAGATCTAGATTTTTGTCTGAGCCATTCTATAACTAGCTGCAAGGTTTTGTTGGTAATTTACTTATTGCTGGGGACTGTTTTTAAAATTCTAATTTATGGATGGTACTGCAAAAAGGTAGTATACACTTTGGATGTAATGAATAATGATACAAAATTAAAATATATAAATATTTATTACCTATCATTTTCACCACAAAGTTTCTTGTATTCTGCAGCTACAGTCTCGTGGTTTTTGTTTTCAAGCAGCATTTTTTCCTGTTCTACTTTCAATGTTTTTTCCAAATCTTCCAATTGTCCTTTCTGTTTTAGTAACTGATTATAACTGGGGAAAAAGTTAGATATTTGGTTTATAATATGTCCTCAAAGGGAAAAATACTTTAAAATGAAAAAATAAGAGTAATTTATTACATGCCAGTATCACAAAACATGTAAGTTTATATAAATTTCCTATATAATCTCTTAGATGTGTTTAACTCAATATTTACTTTATTACTCAAAGTAAATAGGTGTTAAATTAAAAACACAGAAAATATAATAAATTACCGATCTTCGAGGTCTTTATGCTCCACCTCAAGATTTTTGTGGGCAGACTTTAGAGTTCCATGTTTAGCAATGAGAGATTCATACTCTGAAGCCTGCCGTTCATGAAGAAGTTCCAGTTTCTCATGGTCTTTGATCAGAGAATCATAGAGAGATTTCAGATCTTCTCGCTCTTTGATTACAGACTCATTTTCATTTTCTAAGGAAGACTGCTGGATTAGGAGTTGTGCATTCTGGTTCATAAGAGAGGTACTTTGGGAATTAAGTGTGGAATTTTCAACCTATAAGAATGTATATTGTTATCAGAAATAATGAAAATAGCTTATATTGTTCTTTTGTCTTTGTGTTTTCTTTCTTTTTTTTTTTTTTAATAAGAAAGATTACATTAACGTTAGGAAGTTTTAAATAAATCAAAGCAGATATATACACATTATACTGAGAAAATTTGAATTTTTGTGTCCCAAAGAACAAGGTTACCATTTAATTTTGATTTTTGGTAGGTGCGTGTGTGTGTGTGTGTGTGTATATATATATATATATATATATATATATATATATATATTGGTAGGTATGTATATATATATATACACACACATACACACACACATACACACACACACACACTATATATCATATATATATGATATATATTAGGGGATCTATATCATATATATGTTTTAGCTTGCATTATTTAATAGCATAATTCAAGCCTTTGTTGCATATCCCCCAAATATTACATTACAACCTGAAGTTTGGCATTCTGTGTTTGAAGAGTAGTATTCTGCTCTTGTAATGACACTGTCTGCCTCTGAAGTGCAAGAATCTGAGCCTGCAAATTATTGTTCTGTGTTTCAAGTTGCTTCAGTTGAGTTTTTAGTGCTTGCTTCTCTGCTTGTAGTGTAGCATTCTTAATGAAGAAAACACACATATTATAAATAAAAACAACATCAAACAATTTCTATTTAACAGATACTGGCATTTTGTACAAGCATTTTTTTTTACCATTATAATAAAAAACAACCCCACCAATCTTAAAAGAGAAAAGAAAATATTCCCTCTATCCCAAATGTAAACAGATATTTAATCTAAGAAAAAGAAAGCAATAATCATAAAATCTGAAGACTACTGTATTTGTGTCTGTCTGATTTATAATATCTAAAAAACAAAATATTCCATTCTAAATATATTAACTAACACAGATAACAAGAATGTGACTGTCAGTTGTATGGTTTTTATGTTGCTCAAAAGTGCCCAGTGTGTCCAGAATAAATGGAACATTTCTAGTCCATGGAGTGCTTCTTTTCTAAATGTCCAAAGGCAATATAGATAGATAGATAGATAGATAGATAGATAGATAGACAGACAGACAGACAGACAGATAAATATGTGGTGGTCACAAGGATAGCAGCAAAACTAAATATTTTATAAACACAAATATTTAGAAGACAAGTAGAAACAATCTTAACCATCTGTTTAAAAATGTTAGTGCCTACAATCCTAACAGATATTACATATTTTCTTTAGTAATTATTTTTCATGGAATAAAACACTCACTAAAGCTCTATTTCATCTATAGGACTTCTAGAGCAAATCCAAACAAAACATACCATTTTCAATTTTTCCAGTACATATGGCCATAATTCAGTTTTATAGTTAGGAAACGGTTGAATTACCGTGCAAATCATAGTTAATGTTCTAAATATTGAAATGTTTGTTATTTTTAGGGTTACTTCTAAATAACATATCATAAATAACAGAGCATCAAAAAGTATAAACAAAGAATCCTCTAGAAACCCAAATTTAAATTCTTTGATATACAAAAGACCAGAATTTACATATAATTGCAACATGCATAAAAAGTTACAACTGAGCTACAGCTGGTTTGGCTCAGTGGATAGAACATCAGACAGTGGACTGAAGGGTCCTGGGTTTGATTACTGTCAAGAATATATACCTTGGTTGCAGGCTCAATTCCCAGCCCTGACTGGGGCCATGTGGGAAGCAACCAATCGATGAGTCTCTCTCACATGGATGTTCCTCTCTGTCTCTCCCTTTCTAAAAAATTAATGGAAAAATATCCTTGGGTGACCTAGTCAGTTTGGCTCAGTGAACAGAGTGCCAGTCTGCGGACTGAAAGGTCCTAGGCTCGATTCTGGTAAAGGGTTCATGCCTGGGTTGAGGACTCGATTCCCAGTAGGGGGCATGCAGGAGGCAGCCAATCAATGATTTTCTCTCATCACTGATATTTCTATCTTTCCCTCTCCCTTCCTCTCTGAAATCAATAAAAAATATTTTAAAAATATATATATATTTTAAAAAATATTTTTAATATATATATCCTTGGATGAGGATTAACAACAACAACAACAAAAAGTTACAACTGAAATCCAACAAATTACTTTTATCTTATCTACATTTGGGGGACAATAATAATATTCACTCCATAGGGTTTTATGTTATATATACTATGTCACTGTATAAAAGACAAGTCAGGATTTAACCCACATATACCATAAAAAACAAAGCTAAAGAACCAAAATGTTTCAAAGATGTTTTTGATACTGAACTTCTTTTGTTCATTTGTTCAAATACAAAGGATAAAAAACATATACTGAAAAAATGTAGAATACTGACTTAGAATACAATCTTTTAAAAAAAAGCATATATATATATATATATATATATATATATATATATATATATAAAATTTATTTCAGAGAGGAAGGGAGAGGGAGAAAGAAACATCAATGACGAAAGAGAATCATCGGTTGGCTGCCTTATGCACACCCCCCTACTGGGGATTGAGCCTGCAACCCAGGCATGTGGCCCCAACCGGAAACAAACTTGGGACCCTTCAATCCACAGGCCGATGCTCTATCCACTGAGGAAAATCAGCCAGGGCCTAGAATACCATCCTGATACACCAAATAAGTAAACGATTTTTCCCTTGGATATGTTAAGTACTATTGTAGTTCAGCTCTTTAGAAATCAAAATATACAAGCTCTGATGATTCTAGAAATAACAAAAATTCCTATAGTATGTCATGAATAGATGAGATAACTATGAGTAGAAAGGATATCTCAAAGTAGGAAAAATTTACAATAGGAAAGTAGATAGTCAGCAAATATACTGGCAGAGACACAAAAATTATCCATCTAATATAGGACTAGCCATTTTTATAAACCCATTATCTAAAATGGCTAAAGTATGAGAACCAAGTAACTTTTATCTCAGTGAAAATTTATAAAGGAAGTCAATGGGAAAGAGATTTATCTTATAGGACTTTATATGCCAGCCCAATTGTTCGAGGTATAATTATTAACCTACACAATAGAGGTACATATATATTACTGAATAATTAAAAATAGACATTCTATTATCTACAGATGTAAAACTGTAAAAGAAATATACTTCTATATATAGGTAAATCACAAACAGTTTCCTGGGAAAGATATTTATAGTAATTACTTTTGGATGAGAAAGTAGGAATCAAAGGTATAAGGTATTAATTTTTGGCTTTATGGCTTAAAGCAGTGGTCGGCAAACGGCTTGTGAGCCACATGTGGCTCTTGGCCCCTTGAGTGTGGCTCTTCCACAAAATACCACGGCCTGGGCGAGTCTATTTTGAAGAAGTGGTGTTAGAAGAAGTTTAAGTTTAATAAATTTGGCTCTTAAAAGAAATTTCAATTGTTATGCTGTTGATATTTGGCTCTGTTGACTAATTAGTTTGCCAACTACTGGCTTAAAGTTTTTAATTCATATTATATTAAAAAACAATAACGACCACAACTATTTTACTTGTTAGTATGCAAGTTCCTAAAACTTATTCATCTTTGTAGGATGTTTGTTGAATTCATTCAATTATTGTTTATTGTCAAATATGTAACTCATTCAGCAAAGTGTCTGCTATTTAAGAAGCATTACTCTACATACTGAAGGCAGTGGTGAAAATGAAAGACAAGCTACCTGCTTTCAAGGAGATTTTTTTTCAATAGATAGAGAACAATAAATGAACAAAATAATGTTATTTCATAAGTGAGAAGTGCTATGAAGAAGCTAAATAAGGCAGTGGTGTGATAGTGAAGAATGGCTTAGGCTGGGGACAGCTCCTTTTTTGAGGAAAGGGATCAAGCAAGAAGTCTTGCAGGCAATATGTGACATGAGACACGAATTCTGAAGGAAGCCAGCCAGCAAGGGAGGCAAACGGAGAGGCCTGAGTAGGAACAAGAAGAAAAATGCCAGTATGACTAGAACTAATTTACTTATTATGTGCCAGGCATTGTTTTGTGTTTTTCAGATATTATCTGCAGATTAATAAACAGAGTGGGTAGAAATGTGGTAGAAATGTGGTATAAGATCAGGCAGGACAATGTCAGGAAGGATCTTACAGGACACAGCAAAGAATCTGGATTTTATTCTAATTAAAATGGGAAGCTATTGAAGACTTTAAGTATGAAAGTGACATGGTTTGGAATATGTTTTAAGAAATAACTGGCTCCTGTGTTAAGAATGGGTTAGTTTGGGCCAGAAATGGAAAAGGTAGGGCAGTTAGGAGCATATTTTAATAGTCCAGATGACAGATGATACTACCTTGAGCATGCAACTAAGGTAGCAGCAAAGATGTAGAGAAAGAAAATGGGTTTGAGGTATATTTTCAAGATAGAGTTGATAAAGGTTACTGATGGTCTTGTGTGAGGGTGATGGAGAAAAGTAAATTATGAGTTCTTCAGTCTTTATTCATATTACAAAATAAATCGGTCAAGAAATTATAAAATGAACAAAGCTCCAAAACCAGATTAGATACATTTTCTGAGTTACACATTACTTCTAAAAATCCTTATTCCTACTAAAAATTTAAAAATACTTACGTTTCTTTCTACTTCAATCAATCTGTCTTTAACTTTCAGAAGCTCTCTGGTTGTTTCTTGACTTTCTCGCTCCCATTTGTTATTTTCACTGGAAGCGGAAGGAGGGCTCTGTACCATCCGTTCCTCATCTTGTCTTTGTTTAAGGGCTTCATAATTCTTTTTCACCTAAAATTTAATTTAAAATGTTTTAATGGGGAAAAGAAACCATCCCAGTCCTGCTTCTTACAATTAATTTGACTCTGCACTGGTCTGGTGTGAGACACACTTTATCTAAAAATATGGTAAGTACCGTGTTTCCCTGAAAATAAGACATCCTCCAAAAATAAGACCTACTTACAGGTTTCCTTCTGAGTGAAATATAAGGTATCCCCTGAAAATAAGCCTGTGCGACCCTCCCCCCTCCCAGGCTAAACATGAGAGATTTGGTCCACTGATTCTGAAAGAAATGGAGTCACAAATTCACCAGGAAATTCAGGAATTGGATTGTTATGATGATGTTCAGAAGATGATGACATGATTGTCATTGAATAAATGAGTAAATTCTTGATACTGTAGGATTCACAGTTTGTCTGGATTTGTGTTGACAACTACCGTACTACTGTACCGTATATAGTACAGTATATAGTACTACTGTACTATATTTCCTTTTATTTTCATTTAATAATAAATGTGTACCGTATTCTTCTTCATGGAAAAATAAGACATCCCCTGAAAATAAGACCTAGTGCATCTTTGGGAGCAAAAATTAATATAAGACACTGTCTTATTTTCGGGGAAACAGGGTAGTATAATTATCATTATTAGCATAATCACAATTTATGCTCCATAAAATACAAATCCTTCTCTCTTAGAAATATTAAATATATTCTTCTTTTTGTTAATCCTCACCCAAGAATCTTTTTCCCTTGCATTTTAGAGAGAGTGGGAGGGAGGGGAGAAAGAGAAACATCGATGTGAGAGAGAGACATCAGTTGGTTGCCTTCTGCATGTGCCTGACTGGCGCCGGGGATTGAGCCTGCAACTGGTGAACATGTCCCGGCACCCACCACGCTTCAGTCCTTGGGCCAACTCTCTAACCTCTGAGCCAAACCAGCTACGGCAAACGTATTTTTCATGTGTAATGCTCCTACAATATATTCTCTAATTTCATATCCTATTGTTTATGATGAAAATGTTGCTGAAGATCAAGACGTGCTGCTAGTAATAGAGTTCTATCTATAGCTGATTTAGAGATTTCTGAGATCCTCATGTAAACAATGAAGATCTGACACAGTATTAATTCTCTTAAAAAGATATCTAAATTAAAATTGAGGAAGTATCTATTTATAGACACTTGCCCTTTTATGAAGGATATGTTGCCCAGAATGAGCTGTGTTAAATAAATTAATGATTTCTTTATTGAGACCTTCATCTATCACATAGAATTACTGTAATTTATTTTATGGAGAGTGAGCAATCCAAGGTATTCTGGTATGACTACAACCAGATCGTACTTTAAGAGAGCCAACTTGGTCATCTTACATTACCAAAATTGCTGATTAACTTAAATAGCTCTCTTCAACTGGAAATGATTATTGCTATATACTTATCCTGAATTACTAGTTTATCCTAGGAGACTCTTAGCATAAATTTGTAACTTAACCTAAACTTTATATTAAGGCAAGGATAAATATTTAAAATAATTCAACATTTAATGCAAACCTTAAGAAAGCTTATAATTCAATAATAAAATCTGCTGCTATTGAATTAGAAAATAATAATGTGAGACTAAAGGAAAAAGATGCCAAGGTAGAATGTAATTTAACCTTGGCAAGTGATTTAATAGATGTTTTGGAATCCAGCTCCCCTCTCCTCCTTACTTTTAATACCCTAATAACATAGATGGGTGACATCATTTCTAGTCTCCTATTTTACGTTAATTTCCCACAGGCTCTTTTCACCCCTAGGCTTAGAAAGGTTATAGACATATGCCGTTATTAAGAAGAACTGAGAAAAAAACCCCTCAAAGCTTCTAATTTTTAGAACATTATTTTTACAACTAAGTTTCAAAAACGGCTTCTTTAAAAATATTTTCCATCAAGGTTTCCTTTTCTTTCTTTCTTTCTTTCTTTCCCTCCCCCTCCCCCTCCCCCCCCTCCTCCCCCCTCCCCCCTCCCCCTCCCCTCCTCCCCCCTCCCCCCCTCCCCCCTCCCCCTCCCCCTCCCCCTCCCCCTTCCCCTTCCCCTTCCCCTTCCCCTTCTCCTTCTTCTTCTTCTTCTTCTTCTTCTTCTTCTTTTAAAAAGCCGAGATTTATTGTGAGACTAATCATTGAAATCCTTCAGATGAACTGGATGCGGCAGCAGCTGCTTTTGGGGTTAGGTGTTGTTCCTTCACGGAATCCATGCCTGAATCTGCGGTACACAATTCTCAGGTGCCTCATGCGGCCAGTAACGGTAGTGTTATGTCCTTTAGCCCTGGCACTCCAGCTACACTTCCTCTTGTGCTTGGCGGGGTAGCCGCACTTGCTGCAGGTGGGCTACGGCAGGTGGCAGGCCTTTGAGCCCCCAGCGGCAGCACAGTGTGTGCGTCTTGTTGCAGCGCTTGCCGAATGATGACGTCCCCTTCGTCATCTTGATTCTGCCGCAGAGACCAAAGGCTCCAGGTTTCTTAGAGGCAGCATATAGGTAGGATTTGCCTTTTTATCTAATCCATTAACCTCTGACTTTTACCTGAGGTATTAGACCTTTAATATTTAATGTGATTACTGGTATGATTTTATTTAAACCCGACATTTGCTATTTATTGTCTATCTGTCCAATCTGTACTTTGCTCCACCTTTTTTATTTTTCTGCCTTCTTTTGGATTTTTTGTAATTCTATTTTATCTCTCTTGTTGGCATATTAGCCATACCTCTCTGTCATGCTATTTTTGTAGTTACTTTAGATATTATATTACTCATATTTAACTTTCATAATCTATCTTCAAGTGATATACCTTTTCGTGTGTAGTACTAAAAGTTAGAACAGTATAATTACAGCTGAATACATGTTTATGGCAGGAAGCTAGTCCAATAGTAGTTTATGCCAAAATGGCTGGAAATATAATGATGGATTTTTAAATCTCCATCTTTTAGACTAGAAATAGATATATACCAACCCATATCCAAACCCACTTATTTTATAGTTGAGTAGCTTCATGAGTTGACTTTACATTGTAACCTAGTTATACTGCTTAATAGGGTAAAAACAATAATCATGAAATAAAGCACATTAGTAAAATCTGGCACCAAATTTTATTTTATTTTTTATATAACCCTTTATGTTAATTAATTAAAGTTCTAGAATTTCTTCTACATAAATACTTGTTTCATGGTAATGTCTGAGATGAATACCAGCAATGATCATAAGGGCAAATAGGAAACCAAACCTTTTTCCTTTCTGCCTGAGAAATTCATCTCCAGTTAACTTTCTCCAGAAACCTCATAAAATTGGAATGTTCTATGTTAGCAGGCAGGTTTGCTGAAGGGAAATAAGATCCCTGATTGGTAAATTGTATTTGGACTGAGAAAAATATAAATACCTAACATGAAGCCATATCTTTGAACTTCTCTAAGTGCAGCAACTCTTAAAATTGGTAACAACTTATGGAGATCTACACTCTATACCTCTGGAGTTGTTGCAAGAGATGATAATTGCTGTGGAGCATGAAGTCTTAAAGCCAGGGCAGCTCCAATGCACACCCAATACGAATCTCACTGGCACCTGAACTGTCATCTGGTAGGAAGATGATTCTCAGACAACTCATGTGAAGAACACCAGACAGTGCCCTGCTAGCTACCTGTATTTCCTATAGCGTTCTGAGTCAAATGGTTCTAAATGTGGCCTGTAGTAACCTTACAGATTTTAATGTTTAATTACTATAAAACCATTCCAGGCAGCAATGCAGAGATGATAAAAAGAAGAATAAATCAGAATATGATACCATATTTTCCAGCGTATAAGACGACTTTTGAAACGAAAAAATGTCAACTGAAAATCGGGGGTCGTCTTATACGCCGAGTATATCCCGAAAAAACGTCTCCATATGCCACTAAACGAATTTTCCAACTCGATCCCGCACCAATCACTGCAAGGCTGCTCGGACTGCCTCTCTAACTCAGCCAATCCAAGCAGGCTTTTTATGCATGCAAACTATGTATGTTCTCTACCCGAAGCTACACTGTGTTCTAGTAAAAAGCCTGCTCAGATTGGCCAGAGTCAGAGAGGCAGTCTATTAAAAAAAGAACTGGTGTTGGGTAGTCTTATACAGCGAATATAAGCCGAAACCTGTTTTAACTATAAAATTAGGGGGTCGTCTTATACGCCGGAAAATACGGTACTCCCAATCTAGTATTATATTAACTCCATATAGGGAAAATCCTTTCATATTTAATTTATCCATGTAGAGAAAACAATTTTGTTTAATTCTCCGAATAATTCTAAATACCACAAGAAAACAGATCTAGAAAAATATCCTCAACTTTATGAGAGCATGCCATATGATTTTCCTCTACTTGGTGTTCTCACACGTACAAATTTCCTATCAAACTTTTACCTGGATTCTCAATAGGAAAAGGGTGTCAGTATCTCATTAAGGAATAAAGTGCCTGTATCTCTTTTTCCCATTCCAATATATCAATTCTGATATGTTCCTAACTGCATGGGGGACATACATACACACATGAAATAGGAGTCAATTACAGTGCATAGACAAAATACAGTTTGTCATAAATTACCTGGCAAAAATCTGTTTAAGAACACTTTAAGAACACTCTTGAATTTAAGAAAAAAAAACAAAATATTAATAAAATATTAAATTTTTATTTTATAATTTTCTCTCCAAATATTTAACAATTAAAATTTTCCAAGGAAATTACTTACTGTTTTAAGTTCTTGGCGCAATTGCTGGTTATAATTTGTGGATTCTTCTAATCGAGCTTCTAAAGCAGCAATTTTTTCCTCTTTTATTTCAAGGGACTTCTTTAGAGTGGATTCTAATTTTGATTCCAAAAGTTTGTACCTACTATCCACGTACAAAAATAGTGAAAGTTTGGTAACTGGAGGTCAGAAAATTATTTTTAAAGATTATTTATGACTACAGATATTGGTGCCATAATTAGATCTTATCATTTAAGTGGCAAATTAAATTATCTTCCTCTTACTGCCCCAGTCTCCCCCTCTTAAACTACTCCTGGGAATGAAGAAACAAAAATCACTAAGTAAACAGCTCTAGTTTATAGCCTAGGTTGTCAAAATAAAAAATTACCTATTACTCAAACAGGCATTATATTTCTATTAGTTTTATAAGTCTCAAAGTATTTTTTCAAGATATTTATTTTAGTTTTATGAGAATAGAATCTATAGAAAGTGAAGGATTATTACATTATCAAATACTTGTCGACACTGTTAAGTGTGAAGTATTTATATAAGAACATATTCATAGTTAAGACTTGAAATTCACTGAAGACTTTGTCTTCAGGGTATAAAGTAATGCAGATAATAGGGTGGTGAAGGCTTGGGGTGGAGGCGGAGGGGGGAATGTGAGCTAGAAGGGGTCAAAGAAAAAAAAAGAACATATGTAATACTACAATAAAGATTTAAAAATAAATAAATAAAAGAATTGAGGCATTTAAGCACATAATCAAATAAAATATAACTTGATTAAATTGCATATTTCACCAGAGAGGGGTTTGTTTGTCGTTAACGTCTCATTCTACTTTCACAGGCAATTATAGCCTTAGATTTTCTGTTACCTCAGTGACAAACTATATTTATATAACATTTTAGCATTTTTTTTCTTAAACAGTATTAGGCTGCCTTTACATGACTTTTTACTTTTTAAACATTTTTTAAAATTGATTTTAGAAAGGGAAAGGGAGAAAGAAACATTAATGAGAGAGAACCATCGATCAATCAGCTGCCTTCTGCATGCCCTCTAATGGGGAATGAGCCTAAAAACCCGGCATGTGACCTGACTGGGAATTGAACCAGTGACTTAATACTCACCTGTCATCAGTACTTTGCTCATCATGTAAGAGTCGCTCTTTATTTAACCCTATCTTCTCAAGCTCATGAGTTAATTTTTCAAGATCATTATTCATTTGTTGTGTCTTCAATTTTTCACTCACCAAATCCTTATTTAAAAAAAAAATGCAAAACTCACACAGTTTCAAGAACATAAACTTCTAAGAAATTTAGCCAAGATTCTAACTACCACCATCCAGGAATACATATAATATGAGGCAAGAAAGACAGAAATGTGGTTGGTTGGACTTTTCCTCCCTCATTAAGTAGTTATGAAACAATATAACATAGTTCAAACAGAATAGTTTTGTCTTTTTTTTTTACTAATATTTTTTATCTTTTTAATGTTTAAAACCTAATGGAAAAACTATTTACTCTTTCCTTGTGAATCCACACCTCACATTTGAGAATTGGGGGGGGGGGGGGGGGGGAGGGAGGAAATGCATATCCATTAATTTTTCAATAATAAGTTAGGACCTTAATGCATGTTTCTTCCTAGACAACACCCTTTTCCCACAAGCACCCTTCTCCCTGTGGAAGAGGATATAGGACTGAAGAACTAGGGGCATTCTGAGAAGTGCAGGTACAAGGACCTATTGCTCATGTCAATGAGACTATAGAACAAGAAGAAAAAAATGAATGGCTCACAATGGTCCCTCTCCTCTCAGTATCTCTCTAGCAGAAACACAGACTTTCCAGTGTGACTTAATGAGAGAATGCTAAGATACTTTTAAATTGAACTTAAAAGGTTATCATATATATTATAGCATGTAAGAGCAAATACAAGCCAAGCATGTTATCTTCTGATCTACACCAACCACGTTTACAAGATCTGTTACCAGTATACTCCTATAAATTTCAAATTTCTTCTCAACACACAAATCTGAGCAACTACCAATTGTTCAATGTTGACCTTTAAGTTCAACCTGATTTGTATTCTCTAAGCTTAGAGGTCAAATTTCATGGGGCTTTGGAGTCTGAAAGATCTAGATTTGAATCCAGTAATCCAACTCTGCCATTTATTGTCATCCTCAAAAAATTACTTAATATCTCTGAATCTGTTTTCTTATCTAATTAAGATAATACCTATAAAGAATTGGTCATAAAACTGCATATATATATCTCTTATAAGGTTCTTAGCCCATACTTGGCACATAGTTTGCATTCAATTCATAGTGGCTATCATGGATCCTATTTTACTTAGCATTCAGTCAAGAGTCTTGATCACATATTGTAATATTATTTTGAAATAAAATTACAATGTAATAAGTCAGATACCATATAGAAACTTTATTAGTACAAAATTTTAAAAATATACATATACTTCTTAGTTTAACAAAGACAGGAAAGTTGGAAACTTTCTAGTTCTAATACTAAACTTTTACTTTAGAGCTATCCATATTAGTAGATGGGTTCCAATAAAACTTAAAGCCTTGAGTTAAAAATATCCTATATAATAAAAGGCTAATAAGCAAATTGTCTCCTTGACTGGGAGTTCAATCAGGGGTCCGGGCTGGCCAGCCAACCGCAAAATAGCCCCTCCCCTCCACCAGCCCTGACCCCATCAGGCCCCTACCCCGATTGGGGGTGGGGCCAGCCCAGCAACCATCTACAGGACCCACCTGTGTACAAATTTGTGCACCGGACCTCTAGTAAAAAATATGTGCCTAAATTTAGGTTTCTATACTTACCTCACGTAATGTAACCAAAGTTTTTATATCAATAGTTGCTCTTTTGACAAGTTCCTTATTTTCTTTCTCTAATTCTTTCAGACGAATACAAGATTCTTTATAAATACCAATCTCTTTGAATAGAGTTTTGTTTTCTTTCTCCAAATTTCCAATTTTCACATTATTTTCTTCTAATGTGGTATCTTTTATTTCTGCTTGTTGTCGGAGTCTCTTATTTTCCTTCTCCAGCTGTTTCTTATCCTTCTCTAATTGAGAAGTCTCTTGCTCTAATGATTTATTTTCTTTTTCTAGCTGTTCTAATCTTTTGCTGGATATTTTTAACTCTTCTAGGTTTTTTTGCAATGTTTGATTTTCCATCTCTAAGTCTTGTAGTTCACTCTCTAACTGCTGAATTTTTTTGTTGCTGTTCTCTAGAGCCTTCTGTAGCCTTTGATTTTCTGTATCTAAACCCTGGTAGCTAACTTCTAAGCGTTCCGATTTCTTGAATGATGCTTTCATAAGTTCTAAACCCTTCTTAAGCTGCTCTTTTTCACTTTCCAGTTCTTTATTTTCTAGTTGCAGCTGAGCCATTTTCATGCTTGCACACTTCAAAGACTCCACGTTTCTCCGCAATTCCAAGTTTTCCTCATCAAGTTGGGAATTCTCTTTCTCTAGGGATTCTAACTGAAAAGTAAGGTTTTTAAAGCTATCCAATCTTTTTTTTAATTTCCTATTTTCTCTTTCTAGCTCTGAATTTTCTTGTTCTAAGGCCTCAATTTTTTCACATGTAATTTTTAAATTGGTTATTTTTTTCTGTAACAATTCATTTTCTTTTTCAAGATGATGCAACTCATTTTCAAGTTCTTCTGCTCGTTCTCCTTTTTCTTTATAATGTTCCAATTCTTTCCTAATTTGTCTTTTTTCAAATTCAATCTTGCTTAACTTGCTACTTGTTTCTTTGATAGATTCATGGAGAATTTTATTTTCTTTTTCAATGTCTTTCACCCTTGCTTCAGCACTTATCTGGGAGCGCTGCCTTAAGGAAGACACAGTTTGATTCAGATGTTCATTTTCCTGCTCCAATATTTTAATCTAATTTTTAAAAAGAAAAGAGAAAATTAAAAACCTAATTGGACAAGAACCAAATATTTTTAACTATTTTTAAATATATTTTTATTAATTTCAGAGAGGGAGAGATAGAAACATCAATGATGAAATAGAATCACTGATGGCTGCCTCCTGCACGCTCTCCACTGGGGATCCAGCCCGCAACCTGGGACCCTTTAGTCTGCAGGTCGACACTCTAGCCAAACCAGCTAGGGCAAGAACTAATATTTTAAATTATAGTTATTTCTTAAAAAAAAAAAAAAGAACAGGGAACTTGTAACATAAAAGGGTGCTAATATTGTCTATCTTACTTTTAATTCTGATAAATACTTACTGAGAGACCACTGTATACATGTACTACCAGATCACTTAAGTCCTTGGCTTTAGAAAGTTTGTAATATAAAGAAATATTTAAGAGATATGTGTTTATTATCAATAAAAATGATCTTCAGATTACTTAATTGCATGTTTCAAATTCAAATATGAGTATCAGGGAAACATACATATTAATACATATCTCCCTGAGGATATAAGCTTTTACTTTACACAAATAGTTTTTTAATTTTTAAATATATTTTTTATTGATTTCAAAGAAGGAGAGAGAAACATTAATGATGAGAATCACTGATCAGCTGCCTGCTACATGCCTCCTACTATGGATGGAGTCCGAAAATGAGCAAGTGCCCTGACCAGGAATCAAACTATGACCTCCAGCTTAATAGGCTGATACTCAACCAGCCATTGAGCCACACCAGCCAGGCACAAATAAATTTTTCAATGCCTATACACAGAGGTCCTCAGTAAATATATGGGAGTGTATGGGTATGTATTCAACCCCAAAAAGAATGCTAATTTGGAAACATCAAAATAATAAAATCCCCTAGTACATTTGAAAACTAATCCATTCAATTCATGACATGGCTTAATATAATCTCAAAAATTTAGTGTTTTGAACAAGTTCTCGAGAACCTGGTAAAAGGTACAGATTCATAATTAGCTCTACAATTTTTGTTCTGTAGCTCTACAGAAATCTCTAATTTTATAGGTGGCTTAAGGTTATACCTAGATAACATAAAACAAATCATTTTACAATAAATAAATAAATACAAATATTGAAATAGCAAGTCAATCTATCCAGTTCTGTTTCCGCAAGCATGAGAATGGTCAATAAATACTTGAAAATATATTTGACAGTATCCAAGACGGTTGCTGCCACCACTTCTCCCTTTATTAAGTGGGGCCAGAGCACAGTAATATTTCTCCAAACTCCACTCCCATTTCTCCCAACTCTACTTTACAGCCATTTCCCACAGATTCTTAAAAGCATAAACTGCAAAATGTTATACAATTATTAATTATACTGGCAATTAAAAAAATTCTAATCTTTCTCTTTAACGTTTCTCTTTAACTAAAATGCATGGCATAGAAAGTGAGATAAACAAGTTACTTTAATATCGAAAAAAATTCTAAAATATTTCCCTTTAATATTACATGGACATTTTATTTGCACAAACTAACTTTTGTTAAAAAATTTTAAAATACAATGCTTTATAAGAAATTTATGAACCTGTTTCTCTGAATTTTCTCTAAGGGTTTCAATTGTTTTTTCAAGCTGAGCCTTCTCCTTCATTAGATCCTTGCTTAAATTCTGACAATTCTGAAGACTTTGCTTTTCTTGAACAATCTCATTTTCAAAAATTTCAACCTGGAGAAAACAAGTCACAAGACAATATATCATTAAGTATTTTAAAACAGCGGAACATATTAAAACAAAAGATAATTATTGAATTAAAAGATAAAATACAGTTTTAATACCCAAATGGTAAAATTTAAGAATTTAGTAGAGATATTCAAGTAATATACCATGCTAATTTTAGCAGCTATATATCATAAAATATGCAGACAAGCAGAAACCGGTTTGGCTCAGAGGTAGAGTGTCGGTCTGCAGAATGAAAGGTCCCAGGTTCGATTCCAGTCAAGGGCATGTACATTGGTTGCGGGCACATCCCCGGTAGGGGGTGTGCAAGAGGCAGCTGGTTGATGTTTCTCTCTCATTGACGTTTCTAGCTCTCTATCTCTCTCCCTTCCTCTCTATAAAAAAATCAATAAAATATATATTTTTTTAAAATATGCAGACAAGACTGTTTTTTATCCTCTGCATCTGTGAAGGTAAACAGATTGTCTATCTATTTGTAAACACAGACAATCCAAGTGAATATGTGATAATTATCTGCTATGTGAAGACTGTACAAGCCTTACCGAAAGGCTTTCTTGGCTCAAGTGAAAGTGTAAAGTAAAATTTTATAGTCAAGGAATTTTGGTGTACAAGAAATAAGAGGAGAATCTAAAAAGTATGAAGGAAAAGATGAGAAATAGTGGCATGAGTTTGATGAAGAAACAAGAAGGGACTTGGTTTAAAATAAAATAAAAAAATAAGGAAAAAGGAGAATACTGGAGAAAAACAAGCTGAACAAAACTCCAACAAATATTTATATTTTGGCCGAAACCAGTTTGGCTCAGTGGATAGAGCATCGGCCTTCGGACTGAAGGGTCCCAGGTTGATTCCGATCAAGGGCATGTGCTTTGGTTGCGGGCACATCCCCGGTGGGAGACGTGCAAGAGGCAGCTGATTGATGACTCTCTCATCGATGTTTCTGACTATCCCTCTCCCTTCCTCTCTGTAAAAAAATCAATAAAATATATATTTTAAAAAATTTATATTTTGGATTTAAGTTTATTTTCATTTGTACATTTTGAAGATACAATAAAGTATGTGGTTAATAAGTATAAGTATCAAAATTTTTTAAGTTTAAAATATGCTATTAACTGATTTTCCCATTATTATAGAACACATTCATCAAACAAGGTAATTTAAAAAAATAAAGAAGATTTAGCTATATACAATATTCTATATAAAATATTTAGCTATTTAAAAATATTTAATATTACATCTTATTGTCAATAGTGAAGAACTCTAGGAATTTTAACAGTCTACATAAAGCGAGTTTTTCTTTAATATTTTTCTTTTTAACATCAATGGAAGATAACCACACATGGAAAATAATCTCCAAATAATGCCTCAAAAGAATCGAGTCACAAATCTTATCCAATAACTCAGTTCAACATTCATTTACATGTTTTGGAAGCTTTTAGTTATTAATAACTAACAAATCTGGTTCTCCCTTCATGATTAAAATATATGGATAAGTTTTTTATTTTTATTTATTTATTTATTTATTTATTTATTTATTTATTTAATTGGTTTTTTTTTACAGAGAGGAAGGGAGAGAGATAGAGTTAGAAACATCGATGAGAGAGTCATCTATCAGCTGCCTCTTGCACACCCCCTACTGGGATGAGCCCGCAACCAAGGCACATGCCCTTGATCGGAATCCGGGACCTTTCAGTCCACAGGCGGACACTCTATCCACTGAGCCAAACCGGTTTCTGCTGGATAAGTTTTTAAATTAAGTTCGTATGTTGTTTTACATTAGTGGAATTCAAGTGAAACATTTAGTTTACAAAAGACATCTTTTATCCAATGAATTTATCAAAAACTGCTAGAATCGTAAGAACTTACTAGATCTTCAAAGCTAATTTCAAAATCAAATTATAATTCACAGATCCAATTATAATGACAACCAAAATAGAAGTGATCCAAATTCTAAATAGCCATTCTTACTTTAACACTATATTGACTGTCAAATTCTTACTAAGATTATTTGGTTAATAGACTAATGACAATACAGAAATGTTTTTAAAGAGTAAAAGTCTAGTCCTAGTCAATTTGACTTAATGGATAGAGCTTCAGCCTGTGGACCGAAGGATCCTAAGTTTGATTTTGGTCAAGGGCCCATACTCAGGTTTCAAGTCCAGTATGGGGGCGTGCAGGAAGCAGCCGATAAATGACTCCCTCTCCTCATTAATGTTTCTCTCCCTTTCTCTCTGAAGTCAATAATAAATAAATAAATAAATAAATAAATAAATAAATAAATAAATAAATAAATAAAATAAATACAAAAAGTAAAAGTCTTGCAAGAAATTCAAGGAGTCTTTCTCATATCTACGGAAGCAGTCCCTCAAAGCATGGTTCCCAAACAGCAGGATGAGCATTACCAAGGAACTTCTTAGAAATGAGAATTATCAGCCCCCGGCTCCAAACCTACCAAGAATACAAACTCTAGGAATGAGTTTTAACAAGTCCTACAGGTGATTCTGATGTATACTATAGTTCAAAAATCACTGGTCTAAAGGTTAGGGCAATTTTCATAACAGAGCCTACAAACCCAGAATATATCAAAGGAAAAACTAGATATGGCTAGGTGCCAAAACATTTTATCACGGCAGAAAGCAAGGCAGCTCCCCAGGAGTGCTAAGGTTGTGTCATAAGGATTAAGGAAGCAGCTTCATTGGGACAGGAAGAAAAACAAAGGCAGTGGATTGAAACACTTTAAATATTCTTAAATCCGCAAGTTAATAATGACACTAAAACAACAAACTCACTCAATTATTTCAGGAGGATATGAGAAAACCAACTCATTATTAGGAAACCGGAAAATAAAGGATAGGGTCAAACATTCATCCTGCTTTTCCCATAGGCTATACCTCAGAATAACCGATAGTGTTTTCTTTAAAGAGTAGCTTTAAAAATTCTTCCTTTATAGGAATACCCTATCTACCACATTAGGAAGGAATGATATAATTAGAAAATCAGGATTTTGCAATCTCTGAATAAGGGATCCAAGCAAATGATTTTCCATGACAATATTACAAAAAGACAACTAAACATGTACCTCCTAACTGACATATGTACATACACTCCTTACAAATACTTACCAAAAACTCAATTTGAACCTGATTAGGCCTACAGTAAAACACATTAAAAAAATGAATATAGTTAATTTACTTTACATTTATAAATGTTAAAAATTTCATAATAAGTTAAAATAATTGAGGGAACATTAAAAACTGGAAAATGTTTTACTACAGTGCTATTTATTTATATTTTTACATACATTTTTTTAAGATCAAAGATTTATTTTTATTTACCTTTTTACTTAATATCTGATTTTCTTTTTCAATTTTCAAGATTTTGGAAGTGTTTCCTTCTGCGGAATCCATAGTACTTCGAAGCTCTTCTACAGTTTTTGTCAAACTCTGGTTTTCCATCTCCAACTTCAGTAACCTACTTGATGTTAACTCACTCACCTCATGGCCCAAAGATTTCTGTGGTGCTATAATATTGAAAAATAAGTCATTGGTAAACCTATATTTTCTCTTTACTATTTAAAATGTTGAATGTATATGCAGTACATCACTTAGTCCTTAAATGTGTAAAAAAATTTATAAAGTTATATAAGATAGACACAATGATAAAAACAGATAGATAAAAGACAGGTAAATCTTAAATTTCAATGCTTCCTTAAGCATTCCACTGGGGAGGAGGATGTGTTACAAAATTTAGACCAAAGAGACTAGAATTCCAGTTCTAGTGCCTGAGAAGTTGACCTGAAAAATCAAGCCACTTTAACTTCAATGAGTCTTAGGTTACGTGTATAAATAGTTATGGCCCTGTGTATCTACAGTCATGTGTGGTTCAAACAAGAAGTATAAAGCATATCCCATGCCACACTTTCAAAAAAAATTAAAGACAGTTTAAGAGGAGGAAATTCTTATCTGATTCTGAAAAAGGCAAGACAGAATATACTGGTCACCTTGAAAAAGTCTTTCTATAAAGAATCTCTATTACACAAAGTGTAAAGAGCAATAACTACTCCATTTTGTCAAGGACAATCATGTTTCTAAGTAGATTACAGCATTACATGTTTTAAAATAAGAAAACTCAGTTTCTAATTCTGTAAATGATGCTCCCCAGGAAGCCACAAATAACTTTGTTTTAATAATCTTATAGCAGATGCACTGAATATTTTGATGATATTAGGATTTACAAATGAAATATAATGCCTAGAATTTATTTTGAAATCCTAAATTTTTGGAAGGGCAATGGGTAGAAGTATGGAAAGGCATTTCTAGGTCTGCCAACTTTTATGTATGTTTGAAATTCTCCATCGCAGAAAAGCAAATAAATAAATACACACACACACACACACACACCCTCAAAAGCATACATTCTTTATAAAATTAGGTATGGTAAAATATCCCCCAGATTTTATTTATTTATATTTTTATTGAATCAGAGAGGAAGGGAGATGGAGAGAAAGACAGAAACATCAATGATGAGAGAGAATCATTGATTGGCTGCCTCCTGTACTCCCTGTACTGAGGATGAGTCTGCAACCAGGCATACACCCTTGACCAGAATCGAACCCGTGACCCTTCAATCTACAGACTGACACTTTATCCACTGAGTCAAACCAGCTAGGGTGTCCCCAGATTTTAAGTAAAGAATTTTTATTTCCAGTCACATACTGTTAATTTTTTATTAAAAGCTGGTATACTAGATAATCATTGACTTTTTAAATTCCAAAGTTGTCCACGTCTTCTCTAGTAAAACTCTAGTAAATGACTTGTAGTTATGCATTTCAAATTACGCTAGGTCACAGCCACTGTTCTCACAACTGCCTAGTACTGGCACAAGAACAGGCATAGAGACCAATGGAACAGAAGAGAGAACCCAGAGATCGACCAAAGCCATTATGCTCAGTTAATATTTAACAAAAGAGGCATGAAATTACAATGGAGTTAAGACAGTCTCTTCAATAAATGATGTTAGGAAAATTGGACAGATACATGCAAAAAAAAAAAGAAAGAAAGAAAGAAAAGAAAAGAAACTAGATTACCATACACAAAAACAAACTCAAAATGTATAAAGGACTTAACCATAAGACCGAAAACCATAAAAATCCTAGAAGAAGCCATAGGCAGCAAAATAGCAGGCATTTGTTGTAGCAGTATCTTTACCAATACAATTCCTAGGGCAATGGAAACTAAGGAGGAAATAAACAAATGTGACTACATCAAAATAAAAAGCTTCTGCACAGCAAAATAAACCATCAACAAGAAAGCTCACTGCTTGGGAGAACATATTTGCCAATGTTATCTCTGATAAGTGTTTAATCTCCAAAATTTATTGGGAACTCGTACAACTTAACAAAAGGAAGATAACCCAATAAAAAATGGGCAAAGGACCTAAATAGTCACTTTTCAAAAGAGGACATACAGAAGGCCGAGAGATACAGGAAAACATACTCATAAAGTCACTAATCATCCAAGAGATGCAAATCAAAATGACAATGTGGTACCATCTCACACCTGTCAGAATGGCTACCATCAACAAATCAACCAACAACAAGTGCTGGCGAGAATTGGAGAAAAAGGAACCCTCTTGCACTGCTGGTGGGAATGCAGACCAGTGCAACCACTGTGGGAAACAGTTTGGCATTTTCCTTAAAAAATTAAAAATAGAACTCCTATTTGACCCAGTGATCCTACATCTAGGAATATATCCCAAGAAAACAGAAATACTAATCAGAAAGGATTATGCACCGCTATGTTCATAGCAGCACAATTTACAATAGCTAAGATTTGGAAACAGTCCAAGTGCCCATCAGCAGATGAGTAGATTAGAAAACTATGGTACATCTACACAATGGAATACCATATTGCTGTAAAAAATAAGGAATTCTTACCATTTGCAACAGCATGGATGGATCTAGAGAGCATTATGCTAAGTGAAATAAACCAGTCGGAGAAAGATAAATATCACATGATCTCACTCATTTGTGGAATATAACGAACAACATAAACTGATTTAAAAAAAATCAGAGTCTCAGAGTCATAGAAGCATGGACAAACTGTCCAACCTATGAGGGAAGGCAAGGGGTGAGGGGGTAAGAGATCAACCAAAGGACTTGTATGCATGCACATGAGCATAACCAATGGACACAGATAGTAGGGGGGTGAGGGCATATGCTGGGGGTTAGGGGCAGCTGGGGAGAGGTCAATGGGGGGAAAAGGAGATTTATGTACTGCTTTAAACAATAAAGAATTTAAATTTTAAAAAATTAGGCTAAAATACATGATATACTTCAATAATGCTTTGAATACCATGAATACTATGAATGTACTTCAGAGAAGCTTCAAGTCAGACTATGAGAATTAAAACGAATGCTTACAACACGTTTTTAACAATATTAAAGAATTCCTGCATTCTAGTCTTAGATTCAAAAAGGAATCCAAATTGTGCATACACATTAACCTGATGTCTAAAATCCTATGTCTGTGTACAAAAATTTAGAAGAAAGTTTTTTCAATGTGAAAATGATTTAAGAAATCATTAGGGACTTTGATTTCCTCCTTTATATTTTTCCATATTCTACAAATTTTCTAGAAAGAAAACCCCTGTACATTTAAAAAAAAAAAAAACAAACAAAAATGACACCACATTAAAACAAATGTTCAGGTATGTGACTCCAGCTAAGAACAACTGCAAAACTACTGATATAATCATCATCATCATAATAATCAACATTCACATGCTTCCTATATACACGGCACATTTTTTTTAAGTATTAAGAAATTCAACCCTCACAACAACCCTTCAAGGTACTTACTATTAATGTCCTCACTTACAAATGAAACTCGAAACATGTTTAGAAATTTTAAATGTTTAGAAATTTTAACTACTTTTGAATGTTTAGAAATGTTTAGAAAACATTTAAGTCTGAATTGCTTTCTTTGTAACTCAATTCACAAGGAATACAATAAAAGAAGTTCCATAAATATTTTAAGTTACATCTTAGTAAACCTACTGGATAAATATCATCACTTACTATGTAGGGAATTTACCTAGGGTCCTAGAATTTGAAATTAGATTCTCAACTGTAAAACTAGAAAAAGTCTAATGGTAACAAATATGAGACATGTGTAGAAGTAATTATTCTGCAAGAGCCAGACTGTAAACCGTCGTCAGACTTTATGTCTACCACGCCACCACTATATCCTCAGGGCCTGGTATAGTATTTTACACATGGTAGGTGCTTAATAAATACCTGCTGAAGGAAGGAAAGCAGGTGGCAGAATCTAATATTGGATAAGTAAGGAGTTATGGAACCTGTCTAATTCAAATAAATGGAACCTGAGTGTAATTTCAAGAAAGTATCAATATATCAGTATTAGCATAATCACAGCTATAATCCAAACAACTTTATTGTATAGTATATGCCCAGTTTTAGGGCAGAAGACAAGTCAATAGAGGAGCTTAAGAAAAAAGAGTCAAGAGTTAAAAATTTATTTGGGGGCAGGAGTGTCTTTCATTAACTCCGGGGTATGTTTGGGGCTAGACTGGTTGGTAGGTATAACCCTAAAATGGAGATATTCTCCTCATATACTGATGAACATAGCCATAGAGATCCTTAACTTGTTCTATTCTGGCTACATATTCACCTAAAACTCTTCCCACTAATTCTGACTTCCTATTTAGGTTTGAATAAGGTAAAAAGATAGCTGACCAGTTAATATGCCTTTTCTGTTCTATTTAGTAGATGGCTATACTTCTCAAAATAAATAAATAAATTGCTATTCTAGTTTTTTTATGATACTAACATAAAATAATGCCTAAACAACCGATCAAAAATCTGTAATTGCACTCAAAAAAAAGTTTCGTTGTAAGTCATGCAAACATAATCAGACCCAGCAATATGGAAATAACATATTGCTCTGTGAAATCATAGCTAGGGGCAGTTGGCCTGCTTAGACATCTCTAGCTAGGGAAAATAAATGCAATGAAATATCCAGAAATGTAAGCATAAATTCAACTTTATTTATTCACCAATCCACTTAAGTAAAACAATATTGGGAATACCTTCAGAAAGTTCACTAGTTTTGGATATTTGTTCTAATTCCCAGCCAAGATGTAATGATTCATCCATACTTTGTTTCTGTGCCATTTCCAAAGTCATATTTTCTTCCATTAATTCTTCAATCTTTTTTCTATCCATATCACGTTCCTTTTTTGTTGGCAGGAAGTAGGGAGAAAAAAGAAATCTAAGAAACAGTACAATCTCAAGCTCATATTTTATTACTTAAATAATGAGGATAAATTTTGAAATTTTCACAGTTTAAAGGCAATAACCAGTTATTATCATCACAATTGGTCATTATACTGACCAGGTGTCTGATATCCTTTTAAAGTGAGCTTTGGGGGCATGGAAAACATTTCTTCGTAGTCAACATATTAATTTAGTAATATAACAAGAGATTCTGACTCAATACTAAATAGTTTTATTTCTGTATTTTAAAGGCATTTTACTAAATAGCTTATTAGAGTTTATTTTTAAAATACAAGACAAAATCAACCAATAACACCCCTTTATAACAAAAGCAGAAATTTCCACTACTCCCACGTCCATACAAAATTGCAAGCACTGAATTTATTTAGCTCATCTCTTCTTTGTTAAAGCATCTAAGACACTACCATCCTTTGTCATTACAGGGAAGTCAGATGACTCTTAGAATGCTTCCTTAGAGGTCATGTAATTGATCTACCTTACAATTCTTACCATTTCCATATCATGCAGTTTAGCCTTTAGTTGTAAATTCTCTTTTTCTAATTCATGTAATTTATCAGAACGAGCTCGAGTTCCTTCTAATTGGTCTTCCAACATGGTTTTTGTTTCTAGCAAAACTTGATTGTCTTCTTTTAATTCCTAAAACATTTCAAATAGGCTTTACCACAAACATGTTAATATCTGTTAATTTTTCAAAGTTTAAAACATAAAAATTCTTGGTTGCAAAATAAGGCATTAATCTGTCTGACCAGAGTGGCTCAAGTGGTTGAGCGTCGACCCATGCGCAAGAGGTTGCCAATTCTATTCCCAGTCAAGGCACATACCATGATTTCAGGATTGAACCCCCCTATGGGGAGCATGCAGGAGGCAGCCAACTGATGTTCCTGTCTCATCAATGTTTTTATCTCTCTCTCTCCCTCTCCCTCTAAAAAAAAAAATCAATAAAAACTTATTTAAAAAAAGACATTAATCTGTCTTTATTAACAGTTCTGTACAAGAGTAAAGCTACTAAGTAATATTATAAAAACATAGTTGATATTTTCTTGGCTTTAGAACCCTCCCCCCCCAAAAAAAAATTTAAGCTATTATGCAAACAAAACACTCAGTACTTCTATTAGAATGAGTAATACTACTATAATTTCACTTAAAATTGTCAGGGTACATTTAAATCCCTTAGTCACAAGGAAAACAAACTAAGTATAGAGAGACTTGCAGATATTTAAGATATAAATCTCCATAGAATTAGAACTTAATTTATTTGCTGAAATAGATTTAAAGAATTCTTTCCACTTAAACTGTAACTTAGAAGTGAAGGGTTTGGCCGAAACCGGTTTGGCTCAATGGATAGAGCGTCGGCTTGGGGACTGAAAGGTCCCGGGTTCGATTCCGGTCAAGGGCATGTACCTTGGTTGTGGGCATATCCCCAATAGGGGGAGTGCAAGAGGCAGCTGATCGATGACTCTCATCGATGTTTCTAACTCTCTATCTCTCTCCCTTTCTCTCTGTACAAAAATAAAAAAAGAAGTGAAGGGTTTGGGTTTTTGAGTAAAATTCCAAGACTTTGAACTAATACATAAATCATAAAGGCTCTATTAATAAATATTTTACATATGCATCTTGAGAACATTTTTAAATCCCTACATTTTTTTGAAGACATATGCTCAGACATCTATCTTGCTAAGCTTTATGCCTGTAATTTATAAGCTAACTACAAGAGAAAGTATATTAAAACAGTGGCATCTATAAGGATCCTTTAACAGTGCCATATACTTATTTTAAAAATTGGCAAAGAATTAATACGTACCCTATCTTTATAGTCTATTTGGTCTATATTTGATAACTTTCAGGCTCAACTGTTCTATGCTTCTTATAATGTTTTTATTTCTAAATTTTTGCATATTCCTTCCTTCTTATCCCCATAATAAACATGACCAAGATCTCCACTGTTTGCAGACAATAAAGAAATTAACTAAGAAAGGAAAAAAGGATGCAGATGCAAAGATTATCAATTTTTTATTGTCAATGTCAAAGTAACTTCATGCAACATTGTACAATAATTATTAAGTATAGAAAAACATTTCTTCTAATTTGTTTATATGATTTGTTGAGAGTATATGAGCAGATGTGCACATGCAAGTGACTTTGTTGATCCTAATTTAGCATTCTGAATTGAGTCAGCAATATGTCTGTTTTCACTCCTAGGAACAAGTTTAAAATTAGTAGAGAGAAACACTTTATTTTGACTACGAGGCAAGGACCAAAAATCTGCCCTACCTATAACGTTAAAGAAATGAAAGAAGAGCCCCAAGACTTAAATAAAATTAATAATGTCCAAATATCCCCTTTTAAAATTCTAAACAATAGGCTAATCTATCATAAAATAAACATCTAAATGTATTTATAGTTTGCTAAACATTTCAACAACTCCATTCATTTATTAAGTGCATTTTCATTGAATTTTGAAAATCATAACACTTTTTAAAGAAATAAATTGTGAATGGTTTAAATTATGCAACATACCTCAACTCTTGCTTTATAAAACTCAATATCATGTAGCCTTTCTTTATATCTGCTGACTTCACTTTCAAGCTTATCAACTCTGATTGCCTTCTCTCGAAGTGCATCTAATTCATCTCGGTACATTCTTGCAGAGCGAGCATCCGAAAGCAAATTCATGTTCTAGACATAAATAAATATCAATATTTTAAATATTATTTTCTATTTCCTTGGTCGCACAACTTGACGAATCTACTAAAAAATCAATACATTATATATTTTAGAAGTGTGAATTTGTGGTATGTAAATTATACCTCCATTAAGTTATTTTTTAAAATGGGGAGATATAGCCCTGGCCAGTGTGACAAAGTGGTTAGAGCCTGGGCCTATGAACCAAAGGGTGTTGGGTTCAATTCCCAGTCAAGGGCGCACACCTGGGTTGTAGGCTCAATCTCTGGCCCCAGTATGGGTGTGTGCAGGAGGCAACCATTCGATGTGTCTTTTTCACATCCACATCTGTCTGTCTGTCTGTGTGTCTCTCTATCTCTTTCTTTCTGTCCCCTTCCTCCACCCTGCCTTACCTCCCTTCCACTCTAAGAAATTTGGTATGTAAAAATTATTCAGGATGTTTTAAAATAAGTTAACCTTTACCTAACATAACCATTTGCAATTAATTTAAGATTAAAAGAAAGTTAACTTTAAAATACAGGACAGGGAACACAAAAAAGAGCCAAACTGTATTATTAAAGTTGACCATTAGTTATTTTAGAGAAATAATGGTTCTATTCAGATATACTGTAACATACTAAAATCCTGCTGGTTTTTTAATGCTTCCAAGTAAAATGATTAGTGCATATGTTTAATGCATATCTTAATGCCATTTGAGACAAATATTAAGATTCAAAAAAGCTTTCTTGTAATCCTTAATCCTTTAGAACACTAGTTATTAAAGTGTGATACAGGGACTTCTGCGGTTTCCTGAAATCCTTTCAGAGAGTTCATGAGGTCAAAACTATTTTCAAAACAATCCTAATACATTATTTCTCTTTTTCACTCTCATTCTCTCATGAGAGCACAGTACAGTTTTCTGAAGCTACATGGCATGTAGTATCTTAACTGAATACATTCAGAAGTAGATTCCAGAATCTAGTATTCTTCAATTAAGGCAGGCATTAAAGAGATTTGCAAAAATGTAAGAGTACATTCTAGTTTTTGTTTTGTTAAATAATATTTACTTAAAATATAAACTTTATATTTTAAACTTTAACACTAGAGGCCGAGTGCACAAATTCCTGCACCAGTGGTCCCTCAGCCTGGCCTGTGGGATTGGGCCGAAACCGGCTCTCCAACATCCCGAGGGATCCTGGGTTGCGAGAGGGCACAGGCCAGGCTGAGGAACACCACTAGTGTACAATCAGGGCTGGGGAGAGACACAGAAGGTTGGCCCGCCAAGGAGGGTCCCAGGGCATTGTCTGGCCCATCTCACTCAGTTTCGATCTCCCGGACCCCAGCAGCAATCTAACTTACCAGTTGGAGCATCTGCCCCCTGGTGGTCAGTGCATGTCATAGTGAGAGGTTAAGTGGCCTTAGCATATCATTAGCATATCATGCTTTGATTGGCTGAACAGATAACTGGACATTTAACATATCAGGTCTTTATTACATAGGATGGAATAGGTTGAACATTGTTTTTAAAATGAATTAGTAAATATTTTTTAAAATTCTTAGCTCTTATTTTTAATATAGTAAATACCAGTAGGTATAATCCTCACTAATTTTTAAGAGTGGAAGAAAGTCTTGAGACCAAAAAGATTGAGACCACTGTTTTGGAGGTAACACTGATACAAAAAAAACCCTGTTACCAAGATGTGGAAGAGCAGACACCGCATATCTAGAAATAAAGATTATCATGTCCAATCTCACAGATCTGAAAGGTCAAAAAATAAAAAACAAATAGAGAAGAAAAGTCCCAGTTTATGATAGTGCAAGTGCAGTATTCCCTGAAGTTAAAACACAGATTAGCCGAAACCGGTTTGGCTCAGCGGTAGAGTGTCAGTCTGAGGACTGAAAGGTCCCAGGTTCGATTCTGGTCAAGGGCATGTACCTTGGTTGTGGGCACATCCCCAGTAGGGGATGTGCAAGAGGCAGCTGGTCAATGTTTCTCTCTCATCGATGTTTCTAGCTCTCTATCTCTCTCCCTTCCTCTCTGTAAAAAAATCAATAAAATGTAAAAACAAAAACAAAACGCAGATCAGGGGAGGTAAGGGAAAAAAAATTGTCTAGCTTTACTTTAATTCGTACCAATGAAAACAAAACATTATGGAGTGATTAAAAGAAGTGAATTCTTAAACAAATCTTGGTTCAAGATGCAAAGAAAACAAGCGTTAGCAAAAAATTTTTAAGTAAAAAGTTTTATCTTTTTTAATAGGAAAAGAATGAAAAATTAAAGGCATTCTGTCTTATATAACATAAAGCACCATCAGAGAGTGGAGACCTAGGGAGATATACATTAGCAGCCACAATTTATAGTGTAGTTGTTCTACCTTCCGAGCCCACAGAAACCAATTACATAAAAAAGAGAAACTTGGAATTGCCCTCATCCTCTGAGGCTCCTTTGAATCTTAGCAAAGTTTAAACAGCACTGATATAAAGGGGGGGAGAGAAAAAAAGAAAGAAAAAAAGGTCCACAGACCCCAACTTCTAGTTTTGGCTCTGGCATTTTGAAGAGAAAAACACTGAAAAAAGTAATCAGATCTCTTGAAGTCTCAGTAACCTCAGAAAGTATTAAGGTAAACGTTATAAATTAAAAGGAGAAAAATCAATTTGCAATTACTTAGTGGTCCTATGTAATAAAAGTTTCAGGTACAAACCTCTTGCTGCAGCCTTTTTAGTTCTATTTCCATTTGCTCAAGTTCTTGTTTGCAGTCCAGCAACTGTTCAGTCTTTTCCTCCCTTAAATACAAAAAAAAATTTATTAAAAAGTAAGCTTACTGCTTTTAAAAACTATAATCACCTTCATGAATACAAATTATTATTACTAATATGTCTAGTTGAACACAGTATTAGCCATGACTCCAACCCAGGGGAAAAAGACAAGGAAATGGATTTTAGAAATTTATGTGATTTGATGTCATCAATAAAACTCCCTCTAAAGTTCTCCAAAAGGCAAACTTCAATGATTAGCATCCTCAGAGTTCATAAGGTAGTTTCTCTCCATCTTTCCTGACAGCTCCCATTCCCATTCTTCTTTCTCTTTCTCCCTCTTTCTTAGTCAAAACCAAATAAGCTGAACAAGTTTTTATACAATGCAACACTCTCTGGGTCTGAGACTTATAAAGGTCTCCAAACTATTTTCAACGTTCACAATGGCCTTAAGGAAATTATAACCTGCCACACAAATACCTAAATCTTTACAATTCTATTGGTTTCTTTCCTGAAGCCTGTAAACATCCTCAAATTTCTCCTAATTTTTTTCTCTTTACACTTCTTTCTGTTTTCTATCTCCCCTTCAAAGCCAACTCCTCAAAATCAAGTTTCCATTATCTCAAGTTTCAACTTCCTAAGATATTTTTTAGCACATCCAATTTATGTTTTTAATGTTTTTTTAAATTGAACTTACTAGGGTGACATTGGTTAATAAAATTATACAGGTTTCAGGTATATTCAAAACTATATTTTTTAATAGAAAATAGTCCCTTTGACAGAGGAACCATAATTAATTTACTTAAGTGGATAGAGTTCAAAACCACGGTTATAAGGTTTTTCAAGTATTTCCTAGAAAAGGCCGATAAATTTAAGGAGAACCTTGAGGATATGAAAAAGGACCAACTAGAAATTAAACATACACCGACTGAAATAAAAAATATTATACAGAGACCCAAGAGCAGACTAGAGGAATGCAAGAATCAAGTCAAAGATTTGGAATACAGAGAAGCAAAGGACACTCCTCTGGAGAAGCAAGAAGAGAAGAGAATCCAGAAAGTTGAAGATAGTGTAAGAAGCCTCTGGGACAACTTCAAGAGTACCAACATCAGAATTATGGGGGTGCCAGAAGAAGAGAGAGAGCAAGACACTGAAAACCTATTTGAAGAAATAATGACAGAAAACTTCCCCCACCTGGTAAAAGAAATAGACTTACAAGTCCAGGAAGCGCACAGAACTCCAAACAAAAGGAATCTAAAGAGGACCACACCAAGACACATCTTAATTAAAATGCCAAGAGCAAAAGACAAAGAGAGCACCCATACGATTATCAGCTGATTTCTCAACAGAAACTATGCAGGCCAGATGGGAGTGGCAAGAAATATTCAAAGTGATGAATAGCAAGAACCTATAATACAACCAAGATTACTCTACCCAGCAAAGTTATAATTCAGAATTAAAGGGCAAATAAAGAGCTTCACAGATCAGAAAAAGCTAAGAGTACAAAACCAGTATTATATGAAATGCTAAAAGGTGTTCTTTAAAAAGAGGAAAAAGAAAAAAAAAAAGTAAAGATAAAAATTATGAACTAATACATATCTATCAATAAGTGAATCTAAAAGTCAAGTGAATTAAAAATCTGAGGAACAGAATAAACTGGTGAATATAATAGAATCAATGGCATAAAATGGGAGGAGATTGATAATTCTCGGGGAAAGGAGTGTCTATATGGGGGGTACGGGAAGAGACTGGACAAAAATCATATGAGGAAGAGGGTGGGGAGGTAAGGGCAGAGGGTGGGGTGAGGACTAAGTGGAGGGGAGCTATAGGAGGGGGGCGGAAAAGAGAAACAATTGTAATAATCTGAACAATAAAGATTTATTAAATAAAAAATTAAATAAAATAAAAAGTAAAAAAAGGAAATTATTTCTTCCAGCCAAAATGCAAATAATACTTTTACTCTGTATGTTAATAAATCAAAAGCAATTGTATTATAATGTAACACCCATAAGTAAGTTATTAGTTAATTTGCATGATCTCATTACAATTATTTATTTCATTAGGTCTAAGGCAATCTGAACTATTTTTATCCATCCTGATTTTCATACTTCATCATTTTAGTAAAGATCTGTCTTAGCAAAAAGATGTAAAACAAATGTTAATAGAAGAAATCCACCAAGGAATAAATTTTTAAGGACAACAAAGATATAGATACTATCTGATGAAATGCTAGTTATTGCAATGCTTGCTATATATAGCATATTTATTTATTAATAAAAAAATTTTACATTTTCCAATCAGCATATGAAAGACCAAATCTTATCAATCTCTTTTAAGATGTTTGGAATTTTTAATACACTCCATGACCAAGTAATTTTCATTTAAAAATCAAATTCTAATATAGTGCAAAATGTTAAATGAATTCACAGCCAGCATTGCAGTTCTAATTACATGCTTTATCTAAAGAAGATGGTGCTAAATTATATGGAACAAACTAGTGTTCACTGTTTAGGCTATCCATTAACTGCCAGTCAAACTAATAACAGCAATCACTTCCCTAATTTTCTTGGTGCAGCTGTTTATAGAATATCTTGGGAGTGTTCACTTCAATAGATACATAATAAAGCAGACATCCACAATGTAGGCTGTATTTTTTTTTCACATTTTTCCATAAACTGTGTATTTTTCTACCTTGCATTTTTAATCAGTTTCTTAAACCAACTGCTTTAAACAATCAATAAATAAACTCAACTGCTATATTGTGACTTTAAATTTAAATCTATATTCTAAAGCCCAAATTCCAGGGAAGAAAACAACAAAAAGAAAAAGCCCCAAACACAAAAATCCTTTGTTCTTTTTGAAGTGCAAAATAAAAAATACCTAGCAAAGATTGGTCATGTCTTTACATGTGATTCACCAAGGAATGCCTATGTGACATATACTGACTTCTCTGTAATGTTCTTTGAAAGATAAATTTTACCAGCACTAACCAATCTGAGTACTTACCACTGCTAAGCACATGAGTCAGGTATCTCAATTACTCAATGTAAAAGATACACACACAAAATTATTTGTAAAAGTGTATGTCAACAATTCGGCCTTTTATAACATTAATTTTATCTTTTTATATGTATTTTCATTGATTTTAAAGAAATCAATGGGAGGGAGAGAGGGAGAGAAAAAGAGAAAGAGAGAGAGAGAGAGAGAGAGAGAGAGAGAGAGAGAGAGAGAGAGAGATTGATTGATTATTGGCCACCTCCCTAATATGCCCGACCAGGGATGGAATCAACAACTTGGGTATGTGCCCTGACTGGAATCGATCTCACCACCTTTCAATGCACAGGATGATGCTCCAACTAACTGAACCACACAGGCCAGGGCAACATCATTAATTTTAAAAGAGCTAAACTTATTGTTCTGTATCAGAGGTTGTCAATGTTTTTTATTTAAAGCATGTAAAAATAAAAACATTAAGGAGATCCAATATGCCAAGGAAGAACATTATTTTATAAAAGAAAGGGCATTTAACACTAGATAAGTAGGGCATAAATCCGGAATTAAGGGCATCCTTTACATTTTTAAGATTTAGCATTAAGAAAACTTAATGCTGGTTTCCTTATTTTTCTCATTTTGACAAAAACTAATAAAATTGTGATTCAGGCCAGCAAATAAGAACTATTATCTCTATGCCATAAGCCTAAAAGTATTGTTTAGGTCACCTTTCAACCATATAAATTCAATGAATCTTGAAAACTGGCAACTTACAATTCCTGCCTCAGCCTTCTTATCTTGGCCTTAGCATCTGCCAGTTCCACTGACAGATGTTGTCGACTTTCTGTCCGCTTCATGCCTGGAGAACCACAGGGTGACTGTGCGGACGAAGAGGCCTGGGGTAGAAAATGAAGACCGTCCCGTTCTTCAGAGAGTTCTATGATAGTCTGAGGAAATGTGGAAATGAACACAAAATCACTTTGAGTATTGTTCATATCAAAGACCTAAATACAATAACGCTGTTCACTGTCTCTAAGTACTATACTATAAGATCAAAGTAATTCATTGATTAAAAAAAAACAACTCTGTCATATTTAGTTGTCATTTTTAAAAGTTTGAATCAATAGGTCGTGGGTAAGCTATTTAGTAGATAATAGTAGAAAGAATACTCTTTTCCATTCTTAGTTTAACAAAAGAAATCAATTATAGTAAAATAACTCGACCAGATGGCAACTGCCAGAAAGGCATAAAAGACATTGATGTAGGAAAGTAATTAACCCAAGAATGATATATCTACAACTGTGCTGCCAAATATGGTAGCCAGTAGCACAAGGGCTATTGAAGTACAAATTTAAAAAATTAAAAATAATTTCTTAGTCACACTAGTCACATTTCAAGTGTACAACAGCCATATGTAGCTAATGGTTACTATATTGGATAATGCAGAAATATAATCTTGCCATCATTACAGAATTGGTCAATGCTCTAGAATTATAAACAGGGATCTCAGAGGGACCTAACTGAACCTCAGAGGTCTCGTTTAGTCCTTAATTCTGCAAAGTAAATGAGGCACAAAGATTAACTTGTCCATAATCACACTCAGTAGCAATGCCAAGACTCCTGACCAGTCTCAACTCTATTATTTTACGCTCTCTCTCTCTCACAATAGTTCCAATCTGCTTCCCATCTCAATGCTTCCTTTATCACTTTCTCTAGAAACCTTTTATGAAACACAAATCTCCTTCTAGTTATCCTAAATCTGAATTTTTAGGGCTTTCTAATCTACATATCCCTCACTCAATCATATTCATCCACTCACCTAATTTTCCTTTTATTGGAAAATTCTCTCATTCTACCAATTTCTCAGACTTTGTTTTCTTTGGCAAACAGAAACTGTCTTCTATAGAAATTAAACTGTCCCTCTAGATCAGACAGAATGGGTGGGATTACCACCTCAGGACCATGAGCTCACCATCCTCACTTAGTTTCTCATTACCAAGTCTTACACCACCCTCACTAAATCATGACTTTTCCTCTTCTTTTATTTTTTTTTTTAAACCACACAACAGATTTCATATCCTTATCCCTGAGATATATTTCAGCACCTGAATTAAGGTCTATCCAACTATCACTTTCACAGATTCTATTAATAAAACACAGAATGTTACTTCCCAAGTTCTTTTCTCTCTACAACTCCTCATCCATTCCCTATTTGGCACATACAGGCTTCTACAATGAAGGCACCATTCCTCTTTTGCGCCATGATTCCTTAACTTATCATTACTCCCATATCACCGTACCTATGCCTGAACTTTTAATCATTCAACTCCCACTTTTTATTCAGTCAAACAATTTTTCCATGCCTAGAGTTCTTAATCAGCCTGGAACTACAAATAGGTCCTTAAATGTCACCCTTACTTTCTAATTTAACACTTATGCCATCTTTGGCTATGGCTCACTCTTTTGGGGGGGAAAAGGGGAAATAATTTACAGAACTTTTAACTAGGGATTTTCCAACAAGATCTCATGATTAAATAACTAAAGTCACATATCTAATAATATATATAAAAGGAATTCAATTTCAAATCTGACTCTAACACTGTGTTATTTTCTTTACCTACCATCATTTTTTTTTTTCCATTCCTACTCCAAGATAATAAAGAACTCAAGATAAAAACATAGCCTGACTATAGGTCTATTTTCAATTAGGCTCTTTCCAATGCCCATCCATCCTTTTATGGAAAATCTTTCTGATTTCCTGACAAATTTCCCCATAATGGCTATTGTAAATATAATTCATTTTCTTTATTTTTTAAATAAAAATATTTTATTGATTTTTTACAGAGAGAAAGAGAGAGGGGTAGAGAGTTAGAAACATCGATGAGAGAGAATCATCAATCAGCTGCCTCCTGAACACCAACCCCCCCACACACACACTGGGGATATGCCCACAACTAAGGTACATGCCCTGCCTGGAATAGAACCTGGGCCCCTCAGTCCACAGGCCGATGCTCTATCCACTGAGCCAAACCCGTTTCAGCCATTTTCTTTACATAAGACTTCAACTGCAAACAGCTATCATTACTTCCAATAAATGACCTCTCCTCCAACTTGACTAAGAAACAAAACCACTTGAGATTAATGCCTCCATTTTTTAAGTATCTCTTGTTCCCTACACATAATCCTTATTTCTATAACATTTTCAATTGGCTTTTTTCCCCCTTGTTCTTCAAAGGTATACATACAAGTTCCTTCTATATAGGAAAAAAAAATCACATCTCTCTTGCTACTCTTCTATTTCTCTTTCAATGGTATTTTTTGAAAGACAGTTTATATGTTAATTGACAATAATTCATCCTATATCCACTCATCCAGTATGTCTAGCCCAACTTCCCTGTCACTGTGCATACCATCATTAATCTCCATAGTAGCCCAGGCTCAATTTTCATGGAGTCATTTTTATTGGTTAATTTTCTTTCTGTCTCAATTATCTGTAATTTTGTCTCCTAATCTTTCCTGACTCTAACAATAGTACCTGTACACAGTGTTTAACATTTGTTTCACACACAAATAAATTAGAACTTAATTGTTTACTTTTATTTTTCATTTGCCATGCATTTTTTCCCAGTAAACCAAATAACCTTTCTTATACCGCCTTGCTCAAACATATTATAACTGAGTAACTGATAAAATGGAGAACTCAAGAAAAGGACTGAAGACACATACTACAATTGAACTAAAAAGATGGTAAAATGGAGATATCAAGAGGTTCCAGATGCCAATGAACAGAGCACAAAAAAGCTATGGGCTGAAAAAAATATTCTTTAAAAGAAAAAAAGGAAAGAAAGGAAACTGTTACTAAGAATTAACAGCATCTACAGGTATTTTCCATTGAAGACTATGTAAGCACTTTGACTTTCCTCTAATGATGGTAGTTTCTTGAGCTGAAGGCTTCTGGACATTTTCCCAAAAATCTGACAGGAAATGTCATTAAAGCATAACTTCAATTAAATAAGTCTTCTCTGATCCTAGACATTCCACTAGCAGCTGCAAGTAATATCTTCTTTCTTTAAATTCCTATAGTATTTAAGTACATCTTTTCTTGGTATTTATAACTTTCAATATTTTATTACAATTAATTATTCTATGAAAATAACTTCCCTAATTAGATTGTAACAATCCTTGGTTCTTTTTTTAATGTTTATCAGTTTGTTGCTCCCAAGTACTCTATCACAAAAAGCAGGTATTTATAATATATACTAGAAGCCTGGAGCACAAAATTCATGCACAGGGGGTGGGGGAGTGTCCCTCAGCCCAGTCTGCACCCTCTCCAATTTGGGACACCTAGTGGGAGGTCTGACTGCCTGTTTAGGCCCGATCCTAAATGGGCAGTTGGACATCCCTCTCACAATCCAGGACTGCTGACTCCTAACTGCCCACCTGCCTGCCTGCCCCTAACCGCTTCTGCCTACCAGCCTGATCACCCCCTAACCACGCCCCTGCCAGTCTGATTGAAGCCTAACTGCTCCCCAGCCAGCCTGTTTGCCCCTAACTGCCTTCCCAGCAAGCCTGGTCCCCCCCCCAATTGCCCTTTCCTGCAAGCCTGGTTACCCCCAATTTCCCTCCTTTGCCGGCTCTGTCATCCCTAACTGCCCTGCCCTAAAGCTTGATTGCCCCCAACAGCTCTCCCTTGCAGTCCTGGTCCCTCCCAACTGCCCTCCCCTGTTGGTCTGATCTCCCACAACTGCCCTCCCTTGCAGGACTGGTCCCTCGCAACTGCCCTCCCCTGCTGGCCATCTTGTGTCCACATGGGGGCAGGATCTTTGACTACATGGGGGCAGCCATCTTGTGTGTTGGAGTGACAGTCAATTTGCATATTACTCTTTTATTAAGATAGGATAGAGGCCTGGTACATGGGAGGGGGCCAGCTGGTTTGCCCTGAAGGGTGTTCTGGATCATAGTTGGGGTCCCCTTGGGGCATGGGGCGGCCTGGGCAAGGAGCTTGCGGTGGTTTGCAGGCCAGCCACATCCCCAGTGACCCAAGTGGAGGCCCTGGTATCTGGGATTTATTTATCTTCTATAATTGAAACTTCGTGGTCTTGAGTGGAGGCCTGGTCCCACAAAGGTGTGTGGAAAGCTTGGCTTTCTCCATTGCCGAGGGCAACTCAAACCACCTGCTCTCTCCAGCTCCGTGGCTGCCACCATTTTTCTTGGGATTTATCTTCTATGATTGAAACTTTGTAGCCTTGAGTGGAGGCCAGGGCCCAGCAGGGTATGTAGAAAGCTTGGCTTCCTCCATTGCCAGGAAAACCCAAGCTCCTGCTCACTCCGTGGCCGCAGCCATCTTGGTTGGGGTTAATTTTCATACTTGCTCCTGATTGGCTGGTGGGTGTGGCTTGTGGGTGTACTAGGATGATGGTTAATTTGCATATTGCTATTTTATTAGAGAGATTAAAGAATGAACATTAAAAAATACATCAGTGCTAAGAAAAAATATTCAGGTGAACTAATAATTCTACTTATAGAACTCATTATTAAGGGAAAGAATCAAAGATGTATTCATCACAAACATGGACTTAGGCAAAGGTATTATAATGATTAAGAACATAAGCACAGGAGTTACTTCTCTCCTCTCGAGGATCTTCATCCATAAAATGGGGTAATTGTGCAGACTTAAGAGTATCTGCTAAACTTAACACAGAGCTTGACATAAAATAAACGGTGACAATAAAGAAATCTTAAATTCGTCAAAATCTATTTGGTTTTTAGTAAAAGGAGAGGCCTGAAAAGATCATTGTTCCATAGTATTAATAATGAAAAGAGGAAGAGTCATTAAAGACAGGGTGTTCAAATTATGCTTTCTAGATTAAAGTGAAACAACTATGACAAAAGATCAATCAAAACAAAATTGTCTTTTCTAATTAGTCCTGATGACCCAAATTAAAATTCTCCCTTTCTCCCTCCCCCAAGAGAACTGGGATTAAATCAGCTAGCAACTTGTTTCCTGAATACCATGGTCAGGAGAATGAGACTGGTTCTTTTTTCCTTGTTAGAAAAACAAATGCAACAAAAATGCTTAATTGGGTAAGTTTTAAAAAGGTTTTTCAAATAATCTATATGGTGTTTATTATTCTTTTTAGTTTTAACAGAGAATGTAATGACACATATTTTGTTCACATTTTTCCAAAATAATGTACTGCTTCTTACCATATTAATCAGTTCATGTGAGATTAATTTATCAATGATATAAAACCAAAGTACAGATTTTTTAAAAAAATTAATTTCGAAGAGAGAAAGAAAAAGAGAAAGAGAGACAGAAACATGAATGATGAGAGAGAATCATTGATTGGCTGCCTCCTGCATGCCCTTGCCAGGCATGTGCCCTGACTGGGAATCAATCCGCACCCTCCTGGTTCATAGGCTGATGCTCAACCACTGAGACATAGGAGTCGGGCCAAAGTATAGATTTTTAGAAGTAATTCCTCAGAAATTGGAGAACACCTTAACAGAATACCTTTAATATCTTGACATACAAAAGGATGTTCTAGAAATGAATAAAGTGATGAAAAGATACTAATATAAAAAAATATACAGCATATGGTTCAAAAATCAGATTGAAAATGAAATAAAATTCAGGGTAAATTTGATATATGCTAGAGATTTTTTTTTCAATTTACTCTTTTCTTTCTTCAGTCTCACTGTATTAGCTTTTTAAAAAATTTAATTGTTGCTCTAAAATATTTCTTTATTTCCTATATTGTCTTCTTCAATGACTGAAGAAAAACTGAAACTTCTCATCAGAACTGAATATATTCTAAAGAGACATGAAAGTTTTGTTCATAAAAATAAATCTTTAGGAATCTCTTCTATATAGTCTTTTATTTGTCCCAAGAGTAATCAAATTCTGTATAAATCAGCTCAAAACTGTCTCCATGTAAATGGAACAAATGATCAAAGCTATACATTCTCCTGAATGGCAAAGTACTTTGGTCTGATATTCAGAAAATATTACTCACCAACACATGCACTGAAGTCTAGACTCCTCTAAAAATTACAAGCTGTTTTCAGAGTGCAGGCAAAAAATTCTGGAGCAATTTTTCCTCTTTTTAAAAAGCAAAGTACTGTCTTAAAAGAGTTTATAATAATTCTCTTTTTAAAAAATCACACCTCATTATACTGACTACAAAAATTTGAGAACTTTTGTGGGATATTTTATACATAACACCTGTTATTCTCCTTTTATTAAGACTTCTTTTCCCAACCTCATGTGGTAATAAAACCAAAAATTATCCTTAAGTAAATTCTTATGCTTTAAGGCAATGATTTTTCCACTTACATCAACAATATTTTCAGTTTCACACTTTTGTACTGTTGCCGAGCTAAGGGGATGACTTAAGAAAACACAGGGGGGAAAATCAGAGTAATAATTTAAAAGAAAGGAAGAAAGAAACCCTAATTGTAATCTGTTTACTAGTTTACTATTTAATTTTATCTAATATGGGGCTCTTATGTCCTTTCTGGTTCCTACCTTGCACAAAAAAAAAAGGCATACAGTATTTTAATAAATGATGTATTAATTCTGTAGTGTTTCTAAATACTACTTTTCTCTTTTTTAGGAAAGCAAACTTTGGTAATATACTGAAAGAAATGTACAAACCTCTGAATGTTCATCTCTCTCATCTATAAGTCTTTTTAGATGCAACACCATATTTTTCAAGAGTGGTTCTATTTCCTCCTGAGACATATCAGTAACTTCCATCCATTGCAAATCAAACACATTTTCCTGATTATGGGTAACCTTTAGAAAAACAACCAAGATAAATAACTTTTAAAATGGCTAATACTTAAAATCTATTTCATTTTAGCAAAATATTAGCTCAAATATTATGTCCCATATAATAAAAATATAAAAAGCAAATATGTTTAAAAAGTAATGAGTGATGAAAAAGCTACTATTGATACTAAAAATTATTTTTAAAAACATTATTTTTAATATAAAATTTTAAATAAAATTCTATTTCTTTTCCAGTCAATTAAAAAAAATAAGATATTTAATTCAAAGCATTTTTAAAGGAAGGTAACATTGATTCTGACAACTGCTTTAACAAAATCAATTTAACTTTTCATTAGATAATACTAAATGTACTGTACTTTAATTCAAAAGCAAAAGTTTTTAATCATATAGGATATATGTTCTTATATTTTTATACTTATAAAACTAATTTGTTATAAATTCTGAAGATGACACCATCACAGAACTTAAGGAAAAAAGAACTCCCAGTATAAAGGTTTTTTAAAAAAATGAAAATTATGTAAGTGAAATACTTAGTTCTTGCTTTCCTTTTCTCATCATGATTCTGATATTTTGCTTTAACTTTCGCATTAAGCAGCAAAAATAACATTTTCAAGAATGTTGGCAAATTTAGTGACTTGTAACAATTAGCATTTATCTAAAATAAAATACAAGCCACAGAGCTAGCATAAACAAGCAAACACATATAAGGGGAAACTACCAATAAAACCATATTTTATAGAGTTTTACCATGCATACTGTTGACAATAATATTACTGACAAGAAAGCTGGGATCTCTGAATGTTAAGAGAAAAGATGACATATGGAAACACAAAGTTATTTAAGTACATAATATTTTAAACACTACCAATTTTAACTATTTAAAAATCCTCTCCCTTCCCTTTCCCTTAGTTCTCTTTCTAACCAGCATGCGAAATTTAGCATGCTCTAATTCTAAAGTCTTGTAAAGTATACAAGATTATTAAAGGACCAAGTCTAGATAAATGCAGAAACAGCACCTTTTAAAAGCATTCTTAACAAATAAATATATAACTTCAATTACTTGACATTGCACAATATGTACTAGACAATACATACTAGATTTAAGTTTTTATAAAGATATTACAAATCACCATTTATAATCCAAGTAAAAGTTTCAATAAAAATTATGCTGTGTCCATTCATTTCAAGTAAAAATCACTGGATGACAAAATACTACAGTAATCATCTTAGCTCACTTTAGTTTTGAATTACATGCAACGATCCACTTTCTGCTGCTTCCATTTACTATACTATTTATTCTGTGCTATCTATAAAAGACATATACTTCATTCCTCAAATAACATTTTTTGTCTATGTCTTTCTGTATAAACACAATAGTACATTTATGGTTAGCACTATGCCACATATAAGATGATTGATTCATTTAAGAAACTGTCTCTAAAGAGAAGATGGCAATTTGTCTAAAAGCAGGGCTCATCTATATTTGACCTTGATTTGCTTTTGCTTATCTTATGTCTTTGGGAGATTACATATATAAACACACCACAGCTTCATAAAAACTGTACACAAGTTTTTACCTCTTGAATATGTGCTGCAACTGCTGCTTTTGTATCAAAATCTAAACCTTGAATTCTTTCAATAAATTCTTCTTTTTTCTGACACTAAAAGAAATGAATAAAATGATCATTTATACTTTATAGGGTATAATACTTAATATGTTGTACGTAACTGAAAACTCATCAGGGTAAAACTCTTGGCTATGTTTTGAACAGTACAATGAGGGTTTTGTTTTGTTTTGCATGTAAATGGTCTCTTTAATATGCTTACCTAATAAAAAGATAACAATTTAGAAGTATTTATTTAAAAGGCAAAGCATTGAAAATCCATACTATTTTTATTCCTCAAAGTTCTAAAGTGGGAAACTATTACACAACCCATCTGAGGTCAGTACAATATTATTATGCTAACTTTACAAACAGAGAAGTAAAGAATCAAGAACTTGTTTCAGGGAGGATAAGTTACTTGCCAAAAAACACAGTGAGTCAGTGGCAGAATTCGGAATACAGCCAAAATGCTCAGTCAGTCTTTGGCTATCATCAAACAACACAGCCTTTCTTCTTGGAAAAAAATTGTAAGCAATTTTTACCTCAAGCTTACAATTCATTCTCACATCTTTAGCATTTCAATCTAAGAAACCTACTTTTGTATACCAGCTCAACATTTATAAGGCACTACCATAAATATTTGACTTGTTTATAACAAAGTTACCAGGGGCAAATTTTAAAAATGTATATACAAGTACACAAGTGTCAAGTGGAATAAAGGCAGCATTTGTGTAACATTTTAAAGACATTATATAAATTAGAATATTAAAATGCAAAGCCAAACTTTTTCTTTCTAAACAGTATTAACATGCACCTTAATCTCTGCCTCCCCTCTACATCTCTTACACTGCGTTCATTCCAACTGCTAGCGTACCGTCACTGTATTCCTCCAGCTACCAAATGAGAAGTGCATACAAAATAACCAGCACTGCCTTGTCTCGCCTAGTGGCATCCCCTGGGCCAATTACTGAACACTAGTGAAGACTCTATACTCACAAAAAGAAAATCAACTCTTTGATCATTAAGAAACCTAGCAAGATTCTGATTTATATTTACATATTCATTACATCAAATTGTAACATCCTATTCTACTGCCACACAATTTAACTACATTTCCATTAATGCAGAAAGTAAAACAAAATTATTAGGATGACATAATAATATTTAAAATTAAATGACCAGGAACGTGCAATTCCTAGCTGTGACTAAAAAAGGAAGCCAAAATTTGGGATATAAAACAAAAATTTGTTTAAAAACAAGAATTTTTATGTATAAGTAATATTTGACAGGCCTAATAAGAACAATTAAGAATGACTTTGGACAGTACATTTGAAACATATATAAAATAACTTTTTATGTAGGATATAAAAAATAAAATCTTCAATTTAATGCTTTTGAAAATGTTAACTTTTTTTTGATGGCTGTCTGAGCTAATGAGCATATAAAATAGTGAGAGACTATTACTCACTAAAGGGACAGTCCTCCAATTCAACTGTCATATCTGACTGCCTTCAATTTTTTTTTTTTCATGGAACGCTGTCTCCTGCATGTCCCCTACTGGGGATGGAGCCTGCAACCCAGGCATATGCCCTGACGGGAATCAACCTGGACCTCCTGGTTCATAGGTCCAAGCTCTACCACTGAGCCACGCCAGCCTGGCTCTCTCCCTTCAATTTAAACTAAACAGAAACTCTTTACTTTCCTAACTCCTAAAGCTTCTGTTTCTTTATTTACACTATCTTTAGGAGCTCAACCTTTAACACAGTCATAACATAAATCAATAAGATTCTTCCTTTACACTTAAAATATCCACAAAGTCTTAAGAATGCTGAAATGCTATATAAATAGGTTAGGCTTTTTTAAATATAGAATGAATGTCATAGAATTTTGAAGAGCAGAAAAGAGAAAGATTATCAAGATGGAAAAGAGAATGAGATAAGATTCAAACTCAGAAGCTGAATAATCAGACCAAATGTTTTATATCAGTGCTGTCCACACAGAAACCCCATGGCTACTAAATGTGGATGGACCTAGAGAAGAGACAGGAAACCTTTTTTTTTTTTTTTTTTGCCAAGGGCCATGTGGAAATTTATAACATCATTCAAGGGCCATACAAAATTATCAACTTGAAAACTAGCCTGCTATATTTGGTCAAACATTTAATTACTTCGCCCCAAATGCCTTGGCAGGGCTAGACCAAATGATTTCTCGGCCTTATAGGGCTCTCAGGCCAGACGTTCCTCAATCTTGACCTAGAGGGTATTATGTTAAGTGAAATAAGACAGAGAAAGGCAAATACCATATAATTTCACTTATATTTGGGATCTAATTTAAAAACATATAAACACACAAAAAAACAAACAGATTCATAGAAACAGAAAATCGACTGATGGTTGCCAGAGGAAATGAGGTTTGGGGGACTGGGTGAAAAAGGTGAAAGGATTGAGAACTACAGATCTGTAGTTACAAAGTACTGTAAAGTACAGCATAGGGAATATAGTCAATAACATTGTATTAACTATGTATGGTGCCAGGTGGGTACTGGAAATATTGGGGGAATACTTTGTAAAGTCTATTATTATCTAAGTACAATGCTGTACAAAATAGAAAATTAAAAAATAACAATATTGAATGTAAACTATAATTAAAAAACTCTTAAAAATCAATAAAAAGAAAATATCCTCTATTTTCTAGCTTACTTTACAATGTCATACTGCATATTTATAACATTAAAACATGCATATTTATAATTATTCTTTTAAACAACTTTCCCATCCTGTGCCTTCTCTAATGCCTTAATCTCCTCAAATATTCTTCCTTCCTATTCCAATGACTATTTGAAGTAATATCTACCTCATAAACCCTTCCCAGATTATGTGAATCTAAAGTACAGAGAATCATAACCAGCTGATATATTAATAGGAAAAATTAACAATACTTAACACTGCCTGAAAATCTTGTTTTAATTGCATGTACATATCTAATATGATAATTGGTGATTTCTAGCATGGCTTAAGTAGTATTTTTGTTTGTATGTTAAATATATTTTTATTGATTTCAGAGAGAAAGGATAGGGAGAGAAACATCAATGATGAGAGAGAATCATTGATTGGCTTCCTCCTACATATCCTCTACTGGGGATGGGGCCCGAAACCCAGGCATGTGCCCTTGACCAGAATCAAACCTAGGACACTTCAGTTCATAGGCTAATGCTGTATCCACTGAGCCAAACCAGTTAGGGCGATTAACTAGCTTTTTAAAAAGCAGGTCCATTATATAGTTCTGCTTTACTTTAGTAATAAAGGAAAATGAAATGAACATCAAATGTAAAGAAGTCTTGGTAAATTTCTTTAGGAAACACGCAATGGGTTTAGTAACCTATGAAATGCTTTATTTATCTTAGTAAGAAAAAGGACCACGATTTCCATGGCATTCTTTTCATTTTCCAGCATCTGGGATATTATCATGTGAGCTATATAGCAAACAGTAAGGGAGGGGGAAACAGCTTAGATTTTTTATAATATTCTTTTGTTGTCTCTACAGATGGTAATAATGATGGCTTCTTTAATATTTTAGGCTTTACCTACACAGTTCATTTTAAAAGTCTTTGGTTTTGCTCCATTGCTACTATCATTTTTAGTAACGATCAATAACAACTAAATAGTAGCCAGAAGTAATAATCAAATGTATAGTGTCACTATGTTGTCTAAATTTATATAATATTCACCAATAGAGGTATTTTAAAAAACAAATACAGTACACAAAAGATGTATGTAAATAATTTAGAGCTGTTTCTAACTCAGAATCTGATGACCAAATTAGAAAAGCAATGACTACAAACACTATATTTAATTTAATATGTAATCAATTATGAAGTAAACACCTGTACATAATACAGCATGAAATTTAAATAACATACACTGTATATACAGTTCCCAAGCAGTCAGCTCTAAAAGTCAACATTCTTTTTGTGTTTAATTTCTGACATATGTGTGTAAAACATTATTAGGGCCACATTATTGGTTTACCAATACTTCATTCAATAAAGAATTGAGATAGTTTAAATTTATATTGTGTCCTGGCCAGGTAGCTCAGTTGGTTAGAGCATCAGGCTGATACACCAAAGTTTGTGGGTTCGATCTCTGGTCAGAGTACATACAAGAATCAATCAATGACTGTGTAAGTAAGTAGAACAACAAATCAATATTTCTCTCTGTTTCTCTCAGGGTTTATCTCTCTTCCTGTCTCCAAAATCAATAAATTTAAAGAAAAGTTTAAAGTATCATTGTGATAATTCATCCAAACATTGGCTGATTAAAGGAAAAATCAAATTGAAGTTGCATCTCTACTCTTTGGCCTACTAACAATATGACTTGAATCTAGAGCGACCACTTTTGTCTGGGGCAGTCCCAGTTTATACAAGCAGTGCCACTGTAATTGTTAATAGTACCCCTTTTTGACTCTCCTAAGTGTTTTAATTTTGAGTTACTTAAAAATCATCCTACATAAACACCAATTCCCTTATCTGAAAAGAAATATAAGAAAACCTATATAAGTTAATAGCTGCTATTATTATTAGTCATTGATTAAAAGGGCAATATACAATAACCCAGACTCCTAAAACATTTTTCATAATTTCTACCCCCTTCATATTGCCATTCTCACTTTTCTTCAGTACCACACACACATGTATTAATTATAAGGATGTTTTGAGAGAGGTTTTTACAGGTATCTTTAAGGAAACTTGAAAAACTTGGGGGCCTTAGAAGCCTCAGGATAAAGAATAATTAAAGATTTTAAATCATATAACTACCTGGTAATATAACTAAAGTTTGAAATAAAATAAGAGAATAATTATTTTTCTTCAAAATCTAAAACCTCTAACATAGATTATGAAAACCAATGGCCCATCCTGAAGTCTTTCAGAAATTAGAGCCTAAAAAAGCATAAAGAAGTTATCAAAATTAAATATGAAGAAATTTTAAACTTACCTGAACTGCACAACCCAGTAAAAGTAAAAGCAACTTTTTAACTTCTTCTGTGCCTTGTTCTGAAATAAAAACAATAACTGAGTATAACATTTGACATTAGTTCAATTCTCTTTCATATATATATATTTAAAAATAAAATTTTTAAAAAATAATTGAAAAAAAAACCAAAAACTCCCTACTGAGTATGCGCCTGAAAGCAAGGTACATGCCCTTGACCGGAATCGAACCTGAGACCCTTCAGTCCGCAGGCCGATGCTCTATCCACTGAGCTAAACCAGTTAGGCCCCCTTTCTTATATTGATAGAAGCATGTCTATTGGTAATATTCACAACTTGACTAAAAGATTAAAAACATAAGTACAATGAAAAATTTTAAGAAAACAGCTCTGTGTACAATGTGGTAACAGCAGGAGAAATGGACAAGGATTTCAATTTTGAGGAGCTGCAGTATAGATAAAATAGGCTTCAAGGTTCTGTGCAATGAAGTATGCAACTATAAATCCACTACTTTTCCATAAATGATAATACCACACTAGCGTACTAAATTAAGAATTGTAGGGACATGCCTCAAGATCAGTCAAAATGGTTCCGAACATATAAGGCTTCTTTTAGGACTATTGTTTTCTTTCTAAAATAACTTGTATGAGTCATCTACAAGTAAAATTTAAATGGCTTTCCACTGTGTAGGTTCATGAGGATCAAAACCTTGTCATGAAATTGGTAAAATAGATGTATATAATGAGCTGGACAAAATGAATGGTCTGCAAAAGAACTGAAAAACACATCTGCTAACCAATTCAACTCAGATTTGCTTAAAACATTTAGCAGATGAAAAAAAAAGTCAATTCTTTGGACCAGAATTTCACCCTTAGGCCAATCTGGTTTATTATAAACTCCAAATCTTCTTTTCAAAAATTTCCTCCTACTCTCCCTGAAACAGCCTACTTTCTTAGCTACACTAATCACCTTTGCCCAAATATAAATACACCCAAACTGCTTAACTTCTGTTACTCTGCCTTTCTTCTCTTCCCTCTTGCCCCTCTACTTACTAATCACAATCCTAGGCACAGCTGTATGTAACATCTCTGTGTAGTCTTCTTCGACCTAACCATCAATGGTCCCAAACCTCCCTAATCTGCCAACATAAATAAGTAATAGCTCCATATTTTATGTCTTAACATTTTTACATATCTCTATTTTGTACCAATTCTTACATGATTTCCCAGTAATCTATATCTCTCAACAAAACACAAGGTCCTGAAGAGCATAGACCATTTTCTTTATATTGTTGGTTCCTACTTGGTAGGTAATTACTAAATACATGTGGAAATAAAAATAGTTCTATTCTACGTACAAAATATTTTTTCCCTTTTTATTTGTATAACCAAATATCCCAGAATAGTGCCCCCATCTAACTGGTAGTTTCTTCAATAAAAACAGCTATGTGATTTTAGTATTTTTTTTAAGCTACCATCCTTTCTTTCTTTTTAATATATTTTATTGAGTTTTTATAGAGAGGAAGGGAAAGAGATAGAGAATTAGAAACATCAATGAGAGAGAAACATCGATCAGCTGCCTTCTGCACACCCCTTGCTAGGGATGTGCCCACAACCAAGGTATATGACCCTGACCTGAATCAAACCTGAGACCCTTCAGTCTGCAGGCAGACACTCTAACTACTGAGCTAAACCAGCTAGGGCTGATTTTAGTTTTTATTTTGGTGGAGGTACAATTTGGAGAAGATAACTTTATTTTGGTTACATGCAGCCTGTTAGAGTAAGTCCATTGTTGAAATGGTTATGTAGTTGCTAATTTCCCCAATTATTCAAAAATTAAAACTCTAAATATGTCACGTTTAAAGTCTAGCAAAGTACAGAAACTTTTGGAAAAATAATTTAAATGATCTAAGAAACTGGTTTTCCTCTTTCCATTCAGAAGTAATTTATATTTATAAATTACAGCATATCAATCAGTAAAACCTTAGTCTCAAACAACTGAGCAATGGTACATAGTAGATAAGAAGAAATATATAAAAATAAACCTAAAAATTATTTCAGAAACACTTCTTTTCTAAGGTTATATTCCTTGAAGCCAACAGCTACATTATCTTCTATCCTTGTTTATGACTCACTAAAACTTATCACAGAAAACTGTCAATTTGTATAGTAGAAAAAACATCAGACTTAGTGAAAATGTATGCCTGATCCCATCCACAACTTACAAATATTCTGAGTTTATTTTCTCTATATAAAATGGAATATCATTTCCAGCTTTCCCTATAGAGTCATGAACAACTTGGTCTGTTGATGTAAATAAGCATGATCTGGGTAAGCATTCTAGTACTACAAAAGCAAAGACTTTATTATCACATATGCTAAAGTTAATACTTACCACAAAAGGGGGTTTTCCCAATAATTAAGATATTTGGCAATGACATCATGATCAACTGCTGCAATGTCTCCTATAAAAAAATGTCCAAAGGTTGTTACATAGGAAATGCTGACTAGGTAATTACTCAACAAGCTATAACTTATGATTTGTGCACTTCTCTGCATGTATGCTATACTGCATTAAATTGTCATCCAGCAAACGTTAATGAAATACATACAGATATGTCTAAAAAAAGTGACAGTCAAGAAAAAGCAAGTAGTAAAGTGTCACCCTGATACACCAAGGTTGCAAATTTGATTCCCAGTCCAGGACACATACAAGGATCAACCAGAAATGCATAAATAAATGGAACCACAACTCATTGTTTCTCTCTCATATCAATAAATAAATAAAAAAGAAAAGAAAAAGAAAATCATTATTAATATCTTGACACTATTAACATCTGGGCTTAAAAATTTTATAAGAAATTTAGCTTAGACTTTTATTTCTGGCAACTATGAGTACTAGCTATTAGAAAGGAATCTAAAAATACTGAAGGATTAAAAATTTTTTTTAAATATATGACTAAGTTCAAAACAAAATAAAAAGATAATTTCTCAGAAAAAATTAAGCCGTGTCGAGGGAAGCAAGGAAAAAGCTGTTTTTCTTAGCCTCTGGCAGATGTTGAGGAGGGTTGTTTCTCTAAGAAAAGATCACACTGAACTTCCAGAAAGGAACAATATAATTATTGAGGGTCAAATTAATCAGTGGGTAAAACAGAGATTTGACAAATATGCAGACCAAATTAGCAAACTGAAAAGATAGTTTGGAAAAACTCCTCAGAATTTAGCACAAGATTGAATATAAAAGAAAAACATATTATTTGTTAATCTTCACCCGAGGATATTTTTTCATTGATTTTCAGAGCGTGGAAAGGAGGGGGAGAGACAGAGAGAGAAACATCGAAGTAAGAATGATACAGTGGCCTAAACCGGTTTGGCTCAGCGGATAGAGCGTCGGCCTGCGGACTGAAAGGTCCCAGGTTCGATTCTGGTCAAGGGCATGTACTCTGGTTGCGGGCAACATCCCCAATAGGGGGTGTGCAAGAGGCAGCTGATTGATGTTTCTCTCACTGATGTTTCTAAATCTCTATCCCTCTCTCTTCTTCTCTGTAAAAAAATCAATAAAATATATATTTTTTAAATGATACAGTGATTAGTAGCCTCCCACACATGCCCCGACCAGGACCAGGGATTGACCTGCAATTGAGGTACATGCCCTTGACTGGAATTCAATCTGGACCCTTTAATCCACAGGCCAATGCTCTAATCACTCAGCAAAACCAGCTAGGGCTAAAAGAAAATTTAATATACATGGAGGACAGAGTTAAGAAAGCCTAGTATACATTTAACAGAAAATATTTGAAGTATATCTGGTAACAGAATAGTAAAAAGAGTTAATATCCGAAGAGATAAAATTAGCAGCCAAGAGTGAAAAATCACAGTTCAACCTAAGAACAAAAATGAGACTGATAGCTGACTTCTTCAGAACAATAAAGAATCCAGAGACAGAAGAATAGAATCTGTAAAACACTGTGAGGAAACTCATTTGCACCCAATAACATAGCTTTAAAGTGTACAAAGGAAAACTTGAACAATCCACTCTATCATTATAATGGGAGATTTCAAGTCATCTTAATAACTGGGAGACCAAGAGACAAAATTAATCTGGCTGCAAAAGGTTTCAACAATACATTAACAAACAAGCTCACTCTGACTCTGCACCCAGACAATGAAAGAATACAAATCTCTTTCAAGCACACATGGAATTTTAATAAAATCTGACAACATACTAGGCCAAGTCAAGTAATTTTTAACAAATGTCAAAAAGTCAGTATCATACAAACCAAATTCTTTGACCAAAATTCAACAAATTGTTTTAAAAATACCATTATTTTTGGAAATCTAAAAGCAGAGTTTAAATAACTCATAACTGAAAATAGAAATCATAACAAAAATTAGAAAATTCACAGAATAAACATTTTAAAAATATAACATACTAAAATTTGTATGATGCAGCTATAGCAATTCTTAGTGATATATTGATAACCATGAGAATGCTCATATTTAAATTGTACAATATGCATCCAATTTAAGTTTAAAAAAGAATAAAAAGTACACTCTTGGAAAGCATAATTAGAGCAAGCTAATAAGATATTGCATTATATAAATCTCAGGAAACTGAGAACTTGTCTTAAAAATTTATAAAATACAATAATTATTTGTAAAATTAGCTAATAATGAAGTGCTTACTTGTATCTTAACATTGCATAAAAGGAACTATGTCATTATTGTTCTATCTCCAGGAAACAGACCAGTACCTGGCATATAATAAGCACTGTTAGGTGATTGATCCTAAGTAACACAACAATGTATGTGAGCAGTTATTAAAATATAATAGATGAAAATAAACACACTTACCTGATAATAACATTTTATCTGTCTCACCAAAATGGATAGATTATGAATTCTAAGTGAGGCATCATTGTTGACTTTTTTATTTACTCTCTGAATCTCCGATTTGGGATTACTGAAAGAAATTTAAAAAAATACGTTAAACTAAAATTATACTGAAATATAATAGCAACCTATAGATGACTAAAAATCATGTATTTTTCTTTAAACAAATTGTACATTCATCTACATTATGAGAGATAATTCAAAAGGACAGATGATTACTTTGAAGCATATTCTGTGCTTCTAATAAAAATGCATCTGATGATTGGATCAAAAAAGTATGGTATATCTACACAATGGAATATTATGCTGCCATAAAAAAGAAGGGATTCTCATCATTTGCAGCAACCTGTATGGAACTGGAGAATATCATGCTGAGTGAAATAAGCCAATCAATGAAAGAGAAACACCACATGACCTCACTCATTTATGGATAATAAAGAACATTATAAACTGACGAACCAAAAGATAGATATAGAGACAGTAAAGCAACAAGCAGACTGTCAAATTACAGCGGGGAGGGGAGGGAGATCTGGGAAAGATAAGAGATCAACCAAAGGACTTGTATACATGCATATAAGTACAACCAATGGACACAAAACTCTGGGGAGGGAGGGCATGTATGGTGGGGGCAATGGTATATGTACACAGATAATCATCATTTAATAAAAAAAATTTTTAAATGCATTTGATATTTCTAAGACAATAACAAACTAAATTTGAAATACAAGTTAGATGTTGCACTTCATTCTCATTTTGTCTCTACAACTTCCTTAGATAAATAACCTCTTATTTCCTTGAAAGAAAAAAAAAATACACACACACACTAGAGGCCCGGTGCACAAAATCCATGTAGCGGGGGGGGGGGGGAGAGAGCCTAAACTGGCAATCAGACATCTCTCACAATCCTGGACCTTTGGTTTCTAATTGCTCACCTGCCTGTCTGCCTGCCTGGTTGCCCCTAACTGCCCACCTCTGCCAGCCTGACCACCCCTAACTGCCCCCCCCTCTGCTGGCCTGGTCATACCTAACTGCCTCCCCTTGCTGGTCTGGTCACTCCCAACTGCCACCCCTTGCTGGCCTGGTTGCCCCCAACTGCCCCTCCTGCTGACCTGGTCACCCCACACAGCCTGCTTGTTCAGTTGTTTGGTGGTTCCTCACTAACTCCCCTGCTAGCCTGGTCATAGGCAACCATCTTGTGAGGGCATGAGGGTCAATTTGCATATTACCTCTTTATTATATAGGATATATTTCCATAACCTAAAATAAAGCTATTTCAATCAAGAATGTAAACTATGGGCTAATAACCAATAAATGTTCTATATTCTCACTGGATAATGTAGGGTATATGTGAATAGGCAACATTCCAAGGAAATTAAAGAATGCACTGATGACTCAGGTTAACACTTTTATCTTGGGTAATCTTTATAGATTTAATGAAAGCAAAGGGTTCAATGATTTTGAATCAGCAGAAACTGAAGAAGAAAAACAGGCCACGGTTAAGAATGAGAAATTCAATGACACCAAAAGCAAAGATAACAAATGCAAAAATAAACAAGTGTGATAACATCAAAATTAAAAGCTTCTTACAGCAAAGGAAACCATCAACAAAATGAAAAGGCAACCTATGGAATGAAAAAAAAATTGCAAATCATATATCTGATAAAGGATTAATATCCAAAATATATAAAAAACTCGATACAACTCAATAGTAAAACACAAACAAATAATCTAATTTTAAAATGGGCAAAGAAACTGAACAGACATTTTTCAAAAGAATGACATATAAGAAAAGGTGCTCAACACCACTAATCATCAGGCAAATTCAAACCACAATGAGACATCACCTCATACCTATTACAATGGCAGCTACATCAAGAGAGAAGAGATCACAAGTGCTGGTGAGTGTGTGGAGAAGAGGGAACCGTTGTGTGCTGTTGGTGGGAATGTAAATGGGTGCCATCACTATGGAGGTTCCTCAAAAAATCAAAAATAGAACTATCATATAATCCAGCAATCCCACTTCTGGGTATATTTCCAAAGGAGTTGAAATCAAGATTTCAAATTATTCTCTGCAGGTACACAGCAGCATTATTTACAATAGCCAAGATATGGAAACAACTTAAGTATACATCAGCAGATAAATAGATAAAGATCAGATTGATACACACACACACACACACACACACACACACACACACACACACACTATTCAGCTATGAGAAAGAAGGAAATCCTGCCCAGTCAGGTATGGCTCAGTGGTTGGGTGTCAACCTAGGAACCAGGAGATCACTGATTCAATTCCTGGTTGGGCATATGTCCAGGTGTGGACTCGATCCCCAATTGGGGGCATGTAGGAGGCAGCCTATCAATGATTCCCTCTCATCATTGATGTTTCCATCTCTCCCTTTCGCTTCCTCTCTGAAATCAAAAGAGAGAGAGAGAGAGAGATTGAAAGAGAGAGAAAGAGAGAAGGAAATCCTAGCATTTGTGACAACATGGATGGACCTTGACAACATTATGTCAAATGAAATAAGCCAGAGAAAGAAAATACTCTTTTCATTTACACATGGAATTTTTAAAAAGTCAAATTCATAAAAACAGAAAATAGAAAAGTAGTTGCCAGAGGCTAAGGGGGTGAAGAGACTAGAAAGAAGTTGGTAAAAGGGTACAAATTTTTTTTCTTTTTTGTTGTTGTTGTTGTTAATCCTCACCTAAGGATATTTTTCCCATTGATTTTTTGGGGCTTTTTTTTTTTTTTTTAGAGAGAGTAGAAAGGAGGAAAGGAGAGAGGGAGAAAGAGAGGAAGGGAAGAAAGGAGGAAGGGAGAAAAAGAGAGAGAGAGAGAGAGAGAGAGACAGACAGACATTGATTTGAGAGAGACTCATCAATTGGTTGCCTCCCTCCCACATAGCTGGGAATAAAAGCTACAACCTAGGTATATGCCCTTGACCAGGAATCGAATCTGTGATCCTTTAGTCCAAGGGTTGACACTCTTACCACTAAGCCAAATCAGCCAGGGCAAGGGTACAAACTTTCAGTTGTACCCTTGTTTGGCTGTCAGCACCTGGATCTCAAAGTAGGAGAATAAAGTTTTCTATATTCTCATATAAAACTGTGGTGCTTTGTATTTACAAATCTTTGCTATGATTATATGGAATTTGAGGGAATTTCTATAATCTAGTAGACTCATAAGTAAGTCTGATAGAATAGTGGAATTTTTTGGAAGAACAGGCTGATACCAGAGCCTCAGTTTCAGTTTCTAATCTACACTATACCATTCACAAGTTATTTCAACATGCAAACAGAACTGGAAAGTTCCTACTTCTTTAGAATCACTGGATATCACATCACAGTCTATCTATCAGCTCTTTGGAGTTGGATACCAGCATAACTGCTAAGCACTCTAGGCATGGACCTAGAGAGCAATAAACTCTCAATTACAAGGCTTAGGTTTCTCATTTGATGCATGCCTAATGTGAGTTAGGGTCAAACTGACATATGTTAGGATCCTGGAAAACAAGCCCTTTAACCCCAAGAATACGATCTTCTTTATGTGAGAGAAACTAACCTCAGGTGAAGCTGCCTGAAAGGTCTTAATCTCCCCTCCTATGAAAAATAAAGGTTATCCCAAAAAAAAATGTACGCACACTTTCACAGCTGATAACTCACTTAATTTTCACTCCTTTTCAGGTTTAAGTGATTTGAAATAATAGGTGAAGTCAGACTAAGCTTTGAACAAAGAAAATTTATCCTAAAGTCCCACTAGACTTTTATGGAGATTCATAAAAGATAAAGTTTCGGGTACAAAATTGGCAACAAGTCAATGAATTGAAGGCATACAAATACCAAATGAAATGATTCTTGATGTTTGAAATTCCATTGCTTCATGTTATTAGCAGTGCCTAGACCAGAATGTTCAGCAGTTTGAAAACAGGCATTGACAAAAAAAAAATAATTTCTGTAAATTCTTGCAAATTTTGAAATCGAACTATATATTAATAAACACTGACTTTATAATCTTTAAAGTGTGTGTACATTTTTTTTGGAGACCCTGTAATTGTATATTTAAGAAAAGATTTACTGAAAATTATGTAAATCAAGGAAATGAGTAACTTCAGGAAAAATAGTACTTTTAAAAAAAGAACAATGTAATGATATACTACCTGGCAGGAAACATAACAGGGTGGGGCAAAAATAGGTTTACAGTTGTGAGTACACGAGTTTATTATTGTATTATTATTTATCACTGTATTATTTTTCATATAAACAATTGCAAACCTACTTTTCCCCATCCTGTATAGTTATACTAATGTAAATACTGATTACTGACTTAACTGTATTTACAATACGTTAGAAAAACAAGGCAAGAAATAGAGATGAGCATTAAAAAGCTAAAATCTCATCTATCATTATCAGGAAGTCAATAGATAATGTATAAAAAGGGAGAAATAAAAAAAAATACTAGGGTAAGCATATTATCACCATAGTATATGGGGCTAAGTGAAAGAAGAAACTGCTTTTAAAAAAGGAAGTAGGATTGCTATTTATTCTTCACTGTGAAACTTTTGGTATCAAATAATGCTTTTAATCATGTAAAACATTTTTATTTAATGTTTGATTTTAGAAAGAGAAAGGCAGAGAGAAAGGGAGAGGGAAAGAGAGAGGAAGAGGGAGAGGGAGAGGGAGAGGGAGAGGGAGAGGGAGAGAAACATTGATTTGTTGTTTCCCTTATTTATGCATTCATTGGTTGATTCTTCTATGTGCCCTGACTAGAGATCAAATCAGATGACATTCTAATCAAATGAGCTATCTGGCCAGGCTAAAATATATTTTAAAAGAGGGACAAAACTCCCACAAAAATTCTGTTTTATGAATCCTGGTCATCTTATTTACTTCTAGGGAAAAAATAAGTAATTTTGTCTGTTACTTAGCTGAAGCACATTTTATATATATATGCTAAAAATTCAGTCGTAAAATGTGAGACTGCACATAAACATAAGAAAATAAAACTGGAAAGCATTACGCTAAGCGAAATAAGCCAGTCAGAGAAAGATAAATATCACATGATCT